CCTAAAGGTTGATGGGGACCCTTCCAGATTTTGACTTCTTATCTTATACTCTCCCTAACCACGATTTAAGTAACTTTATTAGCAATTATTGTTAATAGGAAAAAGATATATAGACTTCTATGTTAGAATAAAATTTTTATCATCATGTGTTGTAATTTTATTGATAGAAAAAAAAAATGAGAGTAATAAAAATCAGTAGTTCACTCTTTATATATATATATATATATATATAAATCAAAATATGTCAAGTAAGTCGGAAGTATAAAATGAGGTAGAAATTGAGAATATGTGCTTACTTTAGTTTACTTTAAGTAAGGATATAGAGAGGAAGGGGTGTGTTCTTGTTATTAATCCAGTACAGGTAAGACACTTTCTAAATATAATGAGACTGGAAAAAATGATCAGTTACGTGTGATAAAAAAACCTCCAGTAAAATACAATAATAAGATGCAAGATGTAAAATAATAGAGATAATCCAATACGCAATGCTAAAAAAAAAAAAAAAAAAAAAAAAAAAAAAAAAACAATTTATACAAATCCAAGCTACTTACACTTTGCAAGTAGGTTAACATAACGTTCTATAGTTGGTTGGTGTATTGGTTAGTGCCAGACACTACAATAGTGCTCTCAAACAGTTCTGGCGGCCTATGACTTCAATGTTTGCAAGAGCTCAGTTACGTACTTCAGCTACTATATACCTTTCTTTTTTAGTACTACTGACTTTGTTACAGTGTAGTATCTGTCCATACATACTTTCTCCATTTATTGAAACACAAAGAACCCAGTGAATTAGGTTTAGGTCGATTATTCAAATAGTTAATCCTCAATAAACATACATATAATTCAACTCCACGCAAAATGGGAGGTGCATGCATATATGTCACGAATATTTGGCACAAGTTTTGTTTGTGAACGGGCAACAATTCAAGGAATCATCAATTGCTCATAGTACTCTTGATTGTCGTTTGAGTACAATATAATACGTAAGAACATTGTGACAGGGACAACACTGGACTTGTAACAGTGATACTCAACAAACATAATTATTATGAGAAGCAGTAAGGTGATCAGATGAGTTAATGATGTGGTACGACGTTAATTTGTCTTAAGTAAACAAATAAAATGTGCAATTAAAGCAATTGGGTGTAGTGAAAGCTAGAATAGATTAGGTCCCCCATTGTCACCCTTGCAACTTGCTTCTCCTTCTTCATACAATTAATGGAATCATCATATATAATTAGGTGCAGTACAATACAAAGTCTTTGATAGATGACAATATCATTTTAACCATATATTAATTGGTTTCCTTTTTTTTTTTATTTATTTACATGGAAAATAATAGTATTACTTTTACGAACTCACACGGCAGACTCTTCAGTGATTAATTTATTATCAAGTTACCTGATTCGATTTGTAATTAAATAATTAATTAATTACAACGCGTTACGTAAAGTGCGATCTTAAAAATCTGGTAGATGAATTGGCCAATGTGTTAGTCACTGCACTGTTATTCAATGTGTGGTCCCCGCGGTAAATAAAGGTTGTTGTTAAAGATCCAATAAGATTGAGCGAGGATTCAAAATAAAGAAATGATTTGATACAAATTAAAGTTGCAATTCTTTATTCTCATCAACCTAATGCGTGGTAGGCTGATGGCTTTTAATTACCATCACATTTTTCATGCATTTCATGCCATTATTGCGGGGGGAAATGGTATATAGATTTGCGAGAGTACAATTTCTGTCATATATTATAATTTTATTAGTGAAAGAAAAAGAAATGATCTCAATTCTATTACAATTTTTATAGATCAATCACTTAAGTCGAAAGTAAAAAATGGGAGTACTCGTCGCAGTAATATTCTTATGTTTGTGAAGTAATACAAGAAGACGCCGGACTACATTACTACACATGATCTCAATTCTACTCTACATTTTGCTCTTTGTTTAGATATGGTAGAAGTTAATTCTATGAGAGTCCATATATCACTTTCCATACAAGAATTTAGCACAATAATAATTATTTTAATAGCCCCCAGGATGGTGTTCTAGTGAATACTCTCTCTCAATGGCAGAGTGAGAGTTCGAACTCAATCATAGACAATTTGGAGATAAACACCGATCTACTGACCCACCAATTTGGTTGTCCGCATGTTTAGCATAGTGGTTCAATGCCTGACTTGATATCATGATCGGTGGAGGTTGGATCCATTATGCGCGTATGAAGATTACAATCTGACCGGTGGACTGATTGCGTAACTCGTGATTTACTCTTACTAGGGAAAAGGTCCTACGGATTTAAAATTAATCAAGCGAAGCAGGGGATCACCTAAGTATTAAAAAAATGTTAATAATATATAGCGAAATTTTTTGGTGGTTGGAGGGGTTAATTATTGTGACAAATCCATCCCCATCATTAACAGACTTTGGTATTGATTTTAATCATTTTATTATCACACAGTCATGCACATCACAAAGTTTTGTTAGTCAATTGCCTTGACTTTTTTGGTAATTTTGTCCGATTCTTACGTAATATATATAATCGTGTAATAAATGTTTGCTTAATCCAACAGCTTTCATTAATTTCAAATATGAACATCAAGAAAAATTGTGAGGAACAATCAAATAAAATTCCTTCAAGTTAGACTAATTGAACATCTAACTATCTAAGGTGAGATAGTAAAGAAAAAAGGAAAAAAAAAAAAAGAAAAAAACATTTTTCAGAGTATTGAGTTTCTAAATTTTTATATCACCACGGTTCCGACTATCTTGAATTAATCTCTAGTTGAGTTGGTTAGGTAATTGACTTGATAACCTCGAGATTTTCAGTTTAGCTCCCACATGCCTAATGATTTCTCTTTGTTTGAGTCACTCAGATATGACAACATTTGATTTACCGATTTGTAGTCCTTAATCAGCTAGGGTCACAAGGAATTGGGTGGCAATTACGGGTTTTTCTTAAATAAAATGTTGTCTAATCTAATTTCTCTAGGATGATAGTCTTTCGTTTATGATTTTTCTCCATATTACCCAGAAAAATGGTAATGAGTTTCAAATTTGTTATATCAAATGGTGTGACTTCATACTAACCTAAAGTAGGTCATGGTGAATGTGTTCACGAGTTAGACAATAATGAAAATAAGTGTTTGTAATGAGACAGTGTTTTGCCACCGTTGAGGTCATATTAGCATGAATAAGATTAGTTTCAGTGTGTGATTTTCATTGACTGGTCAAGAAAATCGGTAATTTAAAAAGAAAAAAACTTTGCTACACCTATTATAAATCGAATCATTTGGAATAACATTTGTTAAAGATAGTATGTTCCTTCAATAAGAAAAAGTAGTCCATCATCTTATTTACTATATATTGCTCAAAATTTTGATTTTCAAGCACCAAAAAGAATTTTTGTTAATAGAAAGGCGAGGTTAATAAATTCTTAAAGTGGTGTCATTATTGTGAAGGGGAACAAAATTTAAAAATAAAAAATAAAAAAAGAGATGGTGGTGGACAAATTACACATGCTAATAATTGTTTATTTTAAAGCATTTGAAATGATGTAAATCAGGTGATTCAGCTGTGGCAAAATTGGCAGGGCCAAATCTTGGCCTACACTGCTAATGTCGAGGTTCGAACATTGATCTGTTCAAACATTGGTCTCTTTCTTCAAAATACTGTCTACTGAACCAGTAAGTTAAACCCGTGCGGGCTGAGTGGTTTACCTTGCAACATGGATGATGATGGTCATGTTATAGTGATGGGTAGTGGGGGGTGGGCAGGGGGGAGTGCAAGCATGATATCAATATGTTGAAGCATAAAGATGGAAAAGAAGAAAACAAAAGCAATAAATGCATGGATGACAATGAATAACCGTCGAAAAAATGCAAAATAAAAAATGATCATAAAAGAGGACAAAATCCCCCCAGCTTGATAGCAAAAATGAAAGAGGAAAGCAAAAAGGGTACAAAAAGGTCAAAAATCAAAGCTCATTGTTGCTTGAGGAAGAAAAAATGTATGTGTGTGTATGACAGTGTAGCTAAGCCAGTTATGCTTGTGATGGAAGAAAAAAGTACCAAACAAGATTCTTGGTTTATTTGTAGCTGGGCACATGCAAACATTAATGGCACTATGCTGCTTTGCTTTATTGGTTGTGCCATCATGGGGCAGAAGCCATGGGAGGGTTTTGTTTTTTACCTCACTTTTGTGGGGCTTCAATGGAAGTCCAAGAAAGAATAGCAATGCCATTTCTGTCTTCTCTTGAGCTTTGAATTTGTGCAGTCCTTTTCTACTCAAAATCTTGAAATCTGGGTTAAAAGTTTGAGAACAGATTGCAGTAAACTGTCATATGAGACATTATTATTAACCTCTCTCTCTATTCTTGCTGTGCTGTTATATCAGAAAGATGCAATGATTCTGAGAAAGTTGAGAGCTTTTTGGATCAATGCACATGCAAATATTTCATTCCAGTAGTAAATTCATTCATGCATGTCAAACAAACCAAAACGACGAATTCTTGATGTATATATCCTGATCTTGATTTCGATCTGAAACTGACCTGCGAACCGTCTTCCAATTCTTCCTCTTCTGTCATTGTGTAGTCTATTTGAGTGGCACCTTAATTGAAGAAGAGGGTAAAAACACAGTGGGATTCTTGGAATGATTTGTTAGTTCATGCATGAACCTCATAGTAATCATTTTGATCTTGACTTGCTGATTTAATCTCACTAATCTTGATTTCTTGGTGGATTAATGTGTACTAATACCTGATTACCATCTGCATTTACTATTAAGTATCTCAGTAATCTCATGCATGAAAAGGACAAAAAGAGGCAGCACACAGATGGCATCAAACTGGGCCATACAAGATCAGTTCCAACAACCCAAGATCAAGTTTTTATCTGCCCTGCATAATTTGGTTCAGATTCATGAAATCATCTGTTAATAAGACTCAAGAGTTGATAGAGGAGAACACACAAGTATCAGAGTTGACAAGAGACAAAGACATGAAAACCGAGGTAACATAATACTTCATTAGACAAATCATTCAGAAAACTCAGACAAACAACAATCATTCCACTGATTTAGTGATTACAACGTGTGTATCTCTCGTATTATATACAAACTAAAGTCCCTCCTTTTGTCTATAAACTAGACACCAAGAAGTTGAACCTCGACGCAGAAAAACATAAACTAAGATCACTCTTTTGTCTATATTTTAGACAACAAGATATGTTGGACTAATGAACTCTCAATCCAGAGAACGGAATTAAAGTCACTCTTGTGCTCATCAAACAATATAGTGATAATATCGTTCGAGCTTCACTGACTCTTCACATCATTATATTGCTCTATCGCAGAAAAATCCTTGCAGCCATTAACTGAATAAAGATTGGTATTGGGCTGTCTCCTTGTTGAGCTTAGATTTGAAGCTTTCTGCTTATTTTTTGCCTTGACAGATTTAGTAGGGTTCATATAGCTTGGTCTCACACTATATCCCTCCTCTAAGTTGATGCTAGACCCGAGAGTTTCGGGTGTTGAAATTGTTGAGTCTGTAGTTGCTCTATCATCATAAGGATAATCTGAACTCTGATCAGACCACACAAGCTGCCCACTTCTTGGTTCTTTAGCAGAAATCCTTGTAGAAACATTGTTTCTCCTTATCTTCATTGAGAACGATCCCGTTCCATAATCTTCAGATTTCTTGGAAATTGGGCTCATCCATGAGGAGCAACCATCTTCCATAAGCCTACTCTCCCAAGGCTTGGTTGGCATCCATCTTTCTACCCAACTAAACCCACCGTTATCGTTATCAAGCATATTTGGAGTCACCCTCTTGTTTGCTCTCGAATACGAGGACACATTTGATCTTGGTTGCTAGTAATACAAACACAATCACATCATAATCACGAAAACCAAACTAACAAAGAGCATAAATATAAATATATCTTCAAAGTACCAATTGAGAATAGGCATATGCCATTGCCCTCTCCCTCCTCGAAGCCCCTTCTTGTTTCATTTGTAACTTCGACTTAAGTTCCTCTACTGTTCCCGGGCTGCTACACCATCCCTTCTGCAAGAGACAACTATTAGAACAGAATACTATCCCTAAATCCCTAATGCCATAAACTGCCTATTACTAGCTCTCATGTTACCTCGGCCTGCTTGATTGGATTAGCAGCCTCTATACCGTCAATAGATCCTTGGCCAGATTGGGATCTAACTCGAGCCTGAACACGAACAAGAGCCTGCATACACCTAAGCGTAACTGCAGCTTGCTTTCTCACCTGTCGACCTCGGAATATAGCCTGGATCCTTACCACTGCTCTCAACGCCCTTAATGCACGCCTCGCCTTCCATCATTGCAAGAATCTTATCATTAGCATTAAGCAATAAAGCTTTAAACTTTAGATATTACTCATCCTCATCATACTAATTTCCAGATATGTCACTCAAGCATTCAAGCTAAGCTAAACCATACAGAACTTTGAAGGATAAATCTTAACTAAAAGCTAGTCTCATAGAAACCAACTTTTATTCTTTTATATGTGTAATGTTCAACAATTATTTACAGCAGAGTACATTTTTTGTATGAAATTTGAAGTCAAAATTACAGAGACAAAACTGAAACCGAGGTGGAAGAGAGGGTGATTACCAGAAAGGCCCGGAACAAGGTCTGGATACGGACGGCAGCCCATTCTTGCTTGACCATCATGAAATCTCTGTGCGGTGCCCTGACAAGAGTGGCCATGGCAGCGGCCAAAGCTCCATTATCAGACACGAAGGAAGATTCAGAACCCTCAGAATCTCCGACAATAAATTTCCCTCCTTTCCCGGTTTTCGCAGACGACATAGTTAGCCCACCGGAGGCACTCCTCCATAGCTTCCATTTCCTGCTTTTTCCGCCGCCCTCCTACACACCCCCGATAAAAATCACAACTTTGCAGAAAAAAAAAACCATAAGTTAAAGGAAACTTAAAGTAGAGTCGGGATCTTACGTTGTTGTTGGAGTGGGTTTTGTTGAGAGTGATCAGTGATTTGATCCACTTCCCCGAACCCCCCATTGTTGAAACGAATTGAAACCGTTTGTTCTTGAGCAGAAATGTGAGAGGTTAAGACAGACCAAACGCGGAGGTTATGAAACACGTACGAGAGAGCCGGATTTTAGGGGACAATGTCGAGCAAAAAAAGAGTGCACGGAGGAGCGTTTGGAATTTGAAGGGTTTGAATTTCGAAATTCGAAAATTAAAGCAGTGAGGTTGTAACGGATAGTACACTGCAGTCTCTTTCTTCTTTTCTTTTCATTTGTGGTCCAGTAATTTACGGAATTGCCCTCCCTTTTGCCGGCAAAGTGGGCCAACTAGGCCCACCAAAACCCGCCATTTAGTAGGGCCCACTTCGGTCTTCTTTTTTTTTTTTTTCTTTTTCTTTTTTGTTTAAATGACAACACAAATTAAAGACAGTGCAGAGATTTACTCTGTAGAGGTGGTAGCATCGAGTTAGTGCATGTCTTTTGTGAACAGAATTTTGTTGCGGATTTTTTGGCTACGATAGCTGCTAACAGGAGGGAGCCTTGTATTATTTTTGCTTCCCCTCCCCCTGACTGTGAAACTTTGATTTGTAATGATCAAATGGGAGCTGTGAATGATCGTCTCATGCTTGAGACAGAGTAGGCTGTTTTATTTTTCTCCCTCAGCCTGGGGTGTCCCCCTCCCGTTTGTAGTTTCAAAAAAAATGACAATACAAACTAAACCGATTTTAATGACTCTTCAATTTTTGAGAAAACTTAAAACATAAAGAACATGTTTAGGGATTTGTTGGAAATATGTGATAGTAAAATGAGTGATCTAATTGCATTCTACAATTTATTACATTATTTGCTCCAAATCTGATCTTAAACTAAAGTTATTCCTTTTCTATTCTAAGTCATCTACAAAGTTACATGGAAACAACCTTAAAACATTGCCAAAAAAAAATATTAGTTCATCTTTTTTTTTCTTTTAACTAGTATTTGTCCCCGTGCGATGCACGGAATGAATTTGTTAAAATATTTTAAGAATATTTGAATCGATCTATAATTATATAAATTATTATATCGAATATTATATAATGTAATTGATAAATTGAGTTGTATCGATTGTATTTTCTAATGTTATAATTGCTTGAATTCGATCAAATAATTGACCAAAATTAATAGTCAATGTGTAGATGTACGCATTAAGTGCTGAAACTTTAGATATTTTAAATATCAGTGTTCAGTGAATTATATATGGGGGTCATATTTAATTTTGAGTGAATTATTAATATTCATTACCTTTTCCAATTCGTCTAATTTGTTTTCCATCTTTAAGCAAAATCTTCCTTACACATTCTATACATAATTTTACATCTTTATATATGCGTATTGTAATGAGGTCCTGTAATTTTGAATAAAGATTTGCTACAAAATCAGTCATAATTAATTTCTTTTAAATCATTCATACGTATTGCAAGAACATTTCCATCTTTAACTACACAATTTTTCTTATAAATTGTGAATACTAAACGATTCTATTCAATTTTCCATTTGTAAATATATATATATATATATCTTTACACAACTATATTTCCAGTAACATATATACAAATATTTTTTAATATTTCTACTAACTTTACATTTTATAAAATATATAATCGAGATTAATATTTTTTCATCTCGGCTAAACTTTTTGTTTTTTGACATACTCGGCTAAACCTTATAATTGCGCAATCCTTATATTCTTAGTATAAAATAACATTTTGTGTAAAAAATTTTAATTTTCATATCGATTAATATTCTTTCCATCTCGGCTAAACCTTATATTTCCATATCGTATTGCAAAACATTTTCCATCTTTAATTACAAAATTTCCTTACAAATTGTGAATACTGAATGATTCTATTTCATTTTCAATTTTTAAATTTATATCTTTACATAACTTTATTTCAGTAACATATATATACAGATTTTTTTTTATATATTTCCAGTAACTTTATATTTTATAAAATATATAACCGAGATTAATATTCTTTCTATATACTAAGTCAGTTTGGAAGTATTTTTCATTTCCAGTCAATTATTAATAGTCATTTCCTATTTCAATTCGCATAAATTTTATGTCATTTTTATTCTCAATCAATTATTTTTTTTAATACATATTAATTAATTAGTTAATTATTAATAACATTGTTTTTATATTTCCACTAACTTTACATTTTATAAAATATATAACCGATATAAATATTTCTTTCCATCTCGGTTATACGTTGAGATGCAAACTTCATTTTACATTTTTATTAATGCATTTTATATCAGTAATTTTTATATTTTTAGTAATTTATTAATATTCATTTCCTTTTCCAATTGGCCTAGTTTCCATAAAAAAAAAAAATTATATTTTCAGTAATTTGTTAATATTCATTTCATTTTTATTTTTTAATCAATTATTAATATTCATTTCATTTTGTGCATTTGAGTCAATTTCAAAAAAAATTTACTTTTCAGTTAATTATTAATAGTCATTTTGTATTTCAATTGGCCTAAATTCTGTGCCGTTTTTATTGTCAGCTAATAATTATTTTTGTAATATTATTTTAAATACTATAATTTCACCTATGGACATGCAGGTGTGGGTAAACAAATAAAAAAAATGAATATTCAAAGGAATGTAAACCCATTAAATCTTTCAATTTAAACAAAAGACATAAATTTAAAATTATAAATATAAAATTAATATGGTTATTCGTGTAGTTTACTGAATATGTTTATTACCAATTAATTATATTACCAATTATATTATAAAATACCATACATATTATTACTAATTATGCTATTTTGTTATTACTTAATTAATATTTTTTTGTACATAGTATTACCAATAGAATATTTAATTAATTAACTACAAAAGTTTGAGTGGAAAAAATAAAATAGGAAGATTTTGTTTATAATTAAGGTATAATATTATTAAATCAAAATTATTTAAAATATATAGATCCACATTAAGAAAAAGGAGATATAATTTAAAAAATAAATTATTAATTAGATTACTTAATATAATTGTCCTACTAATTGATTCTATGCTACTATGTATAATTCATATATTTGAAGACTTTTTAAATCTAAATACCTATTAATTATAGTCCAAGTAAACAGTACTCACTCTTACTACTACCCTCAAACAATTTGAAAACTGAATCATAACTTATGTGATACTTTCAAAGCCTAATGAGTAGTAAATAGTCCAAGTAAACAGTACTCACTCCTACTGAACACCACACAATATATTATTTTCTCAAAATTTCATTATTTCTCCACAAATAAATATTTTCTCCACAAAAATACAATTTTCTCCAGAACATATAATTTTCTTCAAATACAATTTTCAAAAAAAAAATTTACAATTTTAATTTCTCCAAAATACAATTTTCTCGACATGATTTGTCCAAAATATAATTATAGTCCATAATCCAGTATTAATACAATTTCACAATACTACTATGTATACAACACCAAAAATTTCAAGCCAAGTATTTACATAACGCATGAGTTTGACAAATCGAAACTCATTCTCAATATTTCAAGAACCACCACTCACAATATTACCATTTATCGATAAATGTACATGTGTTCACATGAATAACATATAGCATATAATATCACATATAATATCAATACATACAATACTCGGAGAAAATAATAATTTTGGTGAACATAAAATCTTACCCTCGAAGGCAAACTTTCTATCAACCTTAATAGCATCCTAACCACCTTGATAAAAAATCTGTGAATCAAATAAATCCAATAATAATAATAACCGAAGCATATTATTCACCATCAATCTCAACAAACTTAGATTTAAACAAAAGAATTTGGAGAGTAGAAACCATTACCTGAAGTAGAGATTAAGTGAATGAGTTTTGCTAGAATTGAAGAAGACGTAGGAATATATTGAAAATCATGAAGAACCGGTAGTGTGAGGGAAGATGAATGAATGCCAAAGTCTATAAATTTTTATTTATAGGTGGAAAATAGTAATTCAAAAGGAAAGTATAATAATTTATTTGGCTAGGAGGATTTTATTTATATATATATATATATAGATATAGATTTTTTTTTGAACAATCTTTCATTTTCCTTTTTCATTTTCATTGAATTAAGTATCCTTTTTTATTTTCTAATTTTATTAAATAAACTTCAGAAATATGCATATAAATTTACCTCAAAATATACATATAAATTTACCTCTTACTATTGAATACCCTGTACGAAATATGCATATATAAATATGCAATCTATATTATCTATATTATATATATTATATATATAATAAATTCGTATATGGTAAATATGCCATCTATATTATCTATCTATATTATATATATAAATTGGATGATGTTACAAAAATGCCCCTAAGTTTTGGGGGGAAAACTTGATTAGGAGGATTTTATTTTTATATATATATAGATATAGATATAGATTATTATTATTATTATTTATTTATTTAATTTCCATTTGACATTTACTTACCAAATAAGTTTACTACAAAAGTTTTGGGGGGGAAATTTGTTAGGAGGATTTTATTTATTTATTTTCCATTTGACATTTACTTACCAAATAAGTTTTACTACAAAAGTTTTGGGGGAAAAATTTGTTATGAGGATTTTACTTTTATATATATATATAGATATAGATTATTATTATTATTATTATTATTATTATTATTATTATTATTTATTTATTTAATTTCCATTTGACATTTACTTACCAAATAAGTTTACTACAAAAGTTTTGGGGGGAAAATTTGTTAGGAGGATTTTATTTATTTATTTTCCATTTGACATTTACATACCAAATAAGTTTTACTACAAAAGTTTTGGGGGGAAAATTTGTTATGAGGATTTTACTTTTATATATATATAAATTATATATATATAATAAATTCGTATATGGTAAATATGCCATCTATATTATCTATCTATATTATATATATAAATTGGATGATGTTACAAAAATGTCCCTAAGTTTTGGGGGGAAAACTTGATTAGGAGGATTTTGTTTTTATATATATATATAGATATATAGATATATAGATTATTGTTGTTATTATTATTATTATTATTGTTGTTGTTGTTGTTGTTATTATTATTATTATTATTATTATTATTATTATTATTATTATTATTATTATTGTTGTTGTTGTTATTGTTATTATTGTTATTATTTTAATTTTTTTTTATACTTGAACAATAATATTTTTATTATACTTGAACAATAATATTATCAATTATATTATATTATAGAATATAATACCATATATAATATTACCAATTAATAGATTTTATTTAATTTCCATTTGACATTTACTTACCAAATAAGTTTTTGATCTCTATATTCATAATTACATAACTATATGTTCACAATTATGCTCACAACACTATGTTCATAATTATAGAACTATATGTTCATAATTGTTGAACTATATATATTCATAATTATGAACAATTTTGGAATCGTGTTTACCTTGCAAGGTGGACACAATTCCACAACATAATTTATCGGGTCAATAGTACTAAAAAAAAAAAAATCTTTAAACTTCTCAATAGTTGCCCACATTGATGAGCAAGCAATTATTATGTTTGTAAAAGGAGCATTGCTCCTCTTATATAGAGGAGCTCAAGAGCTCCTTTTCTAAACATTTTCAATGTGGGATCAAGTGATCCAACATCATTTACAAAGGTGAGTCCGTGGCACCCTTTTATCTTCTTCTTATTTATTTTAGTTTTAATTTTATTTTGTATATCGTTTTGTTTGGATTACTATTATTATTATTATTATTATTATTATTATTATTATTGTTATTATTATTATTATTTTTATTGTTATTTATTTATTTGATTATTGATAAATTCGCCAAAATTTTAACAAATTCATCATTTTAACATTTTAATTTTAACCAAAACCCGCAAAAAATTATATAGTAATTCAGTAATTTGCTTCAAATGGCTAAAAACTAATACAACACATACATTTTGTGTTAATCTTTCACAACCCCCATTAATAATTAATAATAAATAAATAAATAAAAACTAAAATAAGAAGACATAGTTGAGGCTTCTTAAATAAGAAGCTTTTGACATCTCAATACTTGCCCACATTGATGGGCAAGAAATTATGTTTGTAAGGTGATCATTGCTCCTCTTATATAGATGGGCTCTCTACTTTCAAACATTTTCAATGTGGGATAAAAATGATCTCAAAATCATTTACAAATGCAGCCCGTGACTCCCCTTTGTCTTTTTTTCTTTTTGTTTTTTTTTTGTTTTTAATTTTAATTGTATTTTGTATATAGTTTTGTGTGGATTATTATTATTATTGTTGTTGTTGTTGTTGTTGTTATTGTAATTTGATTATTTGACAAATTCGTCAAAATTTTAAGAAATTTGTCTGTTTACCATTTTATATTTTATCAAAACAACAAAAATATTATTTAATAACTTAATAAATTTGCTCGAAACTGCTAAAAACTAAAATAACTCATATACATTTTTGGTTAATCTTTCTCAAATCTCCTAATAAATTTAAAAAAAAATTAAAATAAAAATTAAGAATCCATTAAGATAAGTTTTTTTAAATAAGAGCCATTTGACACGTTGGGTTTTAATAGGTTGTGGAACCGTGCCCACCTTGCAGTTCTATGTTTATAAATATTGAACTATAAGTTCATTATTATAAAGCTATATATTCATAATCTTTGAACTTCATACTCATAATTATTGAACTCTATATTTATAATTACAGAACTCTATGTTCATAGTTATTGAATTATATGTTCATAATTATACAGATATATATTCATAATTTTTGAACTTCATATTCACAATTATTGAATCTCTATATTCATAATTAGATAACTATGTGTTTATAATTATGTTCACAACACTATGTTCATAATTTTTGAACTATATATTGATTATTATATTCATAATTATGAATTATTTTTGAACCATGTCTACCTTGCAAGGTGGACACATTTCCACAGCATAATTGTCGGGTCAATATAGTACTATAAAAAGCCTTTGGACTTTTCAATCCTTGCCAACACTGATGGGCAAGCAATTGTATGGCTATATAGAGGAGATCAAGAGCTCATCTTTTCAAACATTTTCAATGTGGGATCAAAATGATCCCACATCATTTACTAAGGGGAGCCACCTTTGTCTTCTTCTTATTTTATAATTAATTTTAATTTTATTTTTATTTTGTATATAGTTTTGTTTGGATGATGATGATGATGATGATGATTATTATTATTATTATTATTATTATTATTATTATTATTATTGTTGTTGTTGTTGTTGTTATTATTATAATTTTATTTTATACTTGAACAATAATATTTTTATTATACTTGAACAATAATATTATCAATTATATTATATTATAGAATATAATACCATATATAATATTACCAATTAATAGATTTTATTTAATTTTCATTTGACATTTACTTTTACTTACCAAATAAGTTTTGAATCTCTATATTCATAATTACATAACTATATGTTCATAATTATGCTCACAACACTATGTTCATAATTATAAAACTATATGTTCATAATTGTTGTTGAACAATATATTCATAATTATGAACAATTTTAGAATCGTGTCTACCTTGCAAGGTGGACACAATTCCACAACATAATTTATCGAGTCAATAGTACTAAAAAAAAAATATTTGGACTTCTCAATACTTGCCCACATTGATGGGCAAGCAATTATGTTTGTAAAAGGAGCATTGCTCTTCTTATATAGAGGAGCTCAAGAGCTCCTTCTCTAAACATTACCAATGTGGGATCAAATGATCCAACATCATTTACAAAGGGGAGTCTATGGCACCCTTTTGTTTTCTTCATATTTATTTTAGTTTTAGTTTTATTTTGTATATCGTTTTGTTTGGATTACTATTATTATATTATTATTTTTATTTTTTTTTAATTTGATTATTGATAATTCGTCAAAATTTTAACAAATTTGTCATTTTAACATTTTAACTTTAATCAAAACCCCCCAAAAAATTATATAGTAACTCACTAATTTGCTCCAAATAGCTAAAAACTAATACAACACATACATTTTGTGTTAATCTTTCACAACCCCCATTAATAACAAATAAATACAAACTAAAATAAGAAGACAAAGTTGAGGCTTCTTAAATAAGAAGCTTTTGACATCTCAATACTTGCCCACATTGATGGGCAAGAAATTATGTTTGTAAGGGGATCATTGCTCCTGTTATATAGAGGAGATCTCTCTTTTCAATCATTCAATGTGGGATAAAAATGATCTCAACATCATTTACAAAGGGAGCCCGTGACTCCCCTTTGTCTATTTTTTTTTTCTTTTTTCTTTTTAATTTTAATTTTATTTTGTATATATTTTTGTTTGGATTATTATTATTGTTGTTGTTGTTGTTGTTATTGTTATTTGATTTTTTGGCAAATTCGTTAGAATTTTAAGAAATTCGTCTGTTTAACATTTTATATTTATCAAAACACCAAAAATATTATTTAATAACTTAACAATTTGCTTGAAACGGCTAAAAACTAAAACAACTCATATACATTTTTGGTTAATCTTTCCCAAACACCCTAATAAATTAAAAAAAATTAAAAAAAATAAGAATCCATTAAGATAAGTTTTTTTATATAAGAGCCATTTGACACGTTGAGTTTTAATAGATTGTGGAACCGTGTCCACCTTGCATTTCTATGTTCATAAATACTAAACTATAAGTTCATTATTTTAAAGTTATATATTCATAATCTTTGAACTTCATATTCAAAATTATTGAACTCTATATTCATAATTATAGAACTCTATGTTCATAATTATTGAATTATATGTTCATAATTATAAAAATATATATTCATAATTATTGAATCTCTATATTCATAATTAGATAACTATGTGTTCATAATTATGTTCACAACACTATGTTCATAATTATAGAACTATATGTTCATAATTTTTGAACTATATATTGATTATTATATTCATAATTATGAACTATTTTTGAACCATATCTACCTTGCAAGGTGAACACATTTCCACAACATAATTTGTCGAGTCAATAATAGTACTATAAAAAGCCTTTGGACTTCTCAATACTTGCCCACATTGATGGGCAAGCAATTGTGTGGTTGTAAGAAGAGCATTGCTTCTCTTATATAGAGGAGATCTAGAACTCCTCTTTCTAAACATTTTCAATGTGGGATCAAAATGATCCCACATCATTTACTAATGGGATGGGAGCCACCTTTGTCTTTTTTTTTTTTTTTTTTTTTTTTTTAAAATTAATTTTAATTTTATTTTGTATATAGTTTGGTTTGGATTATTATTATTATTATTATTATTATTATTATTATTATTATTATTATATATTATTGTTGTTGTTGTTATTTTAATTTTATTTTATACTTGAATAATAATATTATCAATTATATTATATTATAGAATATAATACCATATATAATATTACCAATTAAGAGATTTTATTTAATTTCCATTTGACATTTACTTACCAAATAAGTTTTACTACTAAAGTTTTGGGGGGAAAATTTGTTAGGAGGATTTTACTTATATATATATATAGATATAGATATAGATAGATGAATAAAGAAATCCATAATCACAATTTAAAGATATGCGCCGAGTAAATTTCGCTCATGTGTAATAACTCACAAATTTCATATTTTCCTGACAAGTTAACATAGTCAAAATTGGTTACTGCATAATGCTTATGTTCATGCACTTCAAGCACGGTTACTCGGATTAGTTATCTCCCTTCCATCTGCTTCTTTAAGACTTGTTTGTTTTGACATTGTCGCACCATCAGTTTCTTTCTTCGTAACAAACATGTCACAAAACGTACTTGGCATAACTCTTTCTTCACCGTTGAAAGTGTAGGTCTACATATATATTAATCAATTTATACCAAGTACAAAGTAGAACGGTGTAAATCTACAAAATGTTCATATTTTTACTTATTTAGAGATGAAATATGTTTACTAACTTACCTTGAAACTGCTAGGGTCAATATGGTGTTCCACAAGGAAGCCAATGAACAGAAAGTTCTCTTCTGGTTGCCTGTAATGGCCACTATATGGCCATACAGCCTGCAAATAATTAAACACAAAATAATATAAATTGTTAGTTCAGACAGAACACATATTTTAATCAACTATTAGAATCGTCATACTCATGTTACGTTAAAGGTCATGGGAAGCATTATGTGTCCTCGCGTCCTGTTACATGATGTCTTAGATAAGAGTTTTAGTTGAGACGAAAGACATTGTTGAATTAAAATTAAAGTTAATTTTCATTGCCCTAAAGGGGTGGCTGAGTGGGTGGAACCATGAAACATAATTTTTGTAGGAGAATGTTGGTTGAACCCGTCATGCAAAATCTTTCGCTCATTTCTTAATACTAACCGGATTTATCCCGTATACACTGTACTCTTGATAGTGGCTGCGAGTTTCCACGTCACCAAAAATTTGTAATAAAAAAAAATAATAATAATAAAGCTAACTAAGGATAGCATAATTGTTAGAAATGGACTACCTTAATTACTCCATTAGAGACAAGCAATTTTCCAGCTGCAATGGCGGCTCCTCCTGCGAGAAAACTGGAGTGGTGAAAACGGCCCTTTTCCTTTTGTGCCACGTACAATACTCTCTCTGGGCTAAGAACATATATCCATTCTGTGCCCTCAATGCTGTCCACAAAACTTCCATTTCTTGAGTACTTCATCTTCCCCTCCTCCAATATTACTTCATATTCTTCCCTCTCTCTCTGCAAATAATTAAACACCCATAATATTTAATGAAAATCTTACAACATATATATCATGTATATCTATATATCTTAAAGAATAATATATATGAAGTGTATGTATATATGCTTACTGGTCCTAAATATTTAACGCATTGACGCTGTAGTTCACTCCTCGGACATTTCTCCAGATTTACTTCCTTACCATCTCCGATATCTAACCTTAATTTCATAAAAATATATTGTCAGATCAAATCAAAACACATCAGAAATGTATACTAAGAAAGGCATATATAATTATATTACCAATAGAAGAAAGGCTGCGTGGTGGGGCTATCGACCCACACGTCGTGATACAAGTTTAAACTGCAGCCATATCGATGGCGTGGATCAACCTATTGTAAACCAAAATTCACAAGAAATTAGATTGTTAGGGATACGAGGTCGGAGTTTACGAGGTTGTTTTTTTGTTTGTTTTTTTTTTTTTTGTCACTTACAGCCTCTAGCCAGTGCTTAAGATACAATGGTTTTGCCTCTTTGTCTTTGGACAACCCCTTTCCAAGCTTCGACGCTTTAGACTTGAGCCGTGCCCACCGCGCCACGGCGGTTTCCGGCTTCCCGGCGGCGTCAAAGAATGTCACCGAACTTTGTCTAAGAACCCCAAAGTGTGTCGCGCACCACCTATAAATCCACATTTATTAAATTTTAAGATTTAAGATATAGATGGACATCGATTAGTTTGTATTGTTGTATCAATTTCAACATCTAGAAACAATTAACATTAACCATAAATCTTGGACAATGAGGCGACAGTCTCCAAGGTGTCTTCTGGTTCGGAAAGCATTGTAAACTTTCTGAAACGTGGCTGCATGTGCATGGAAATCTCGGCTCGGAGGTTCTGTCGTACTAAATTGATGATCCCATGATGTCGTCTTCTCCATAACTGATGATCTCATCACCATTGCTGCAAATACCCAATGAAAATTGCAGAAAACCCTTCACACTTTTGTTTGAGTACAGTAAAGAATGGAATTGGAAAACGTGGGCTGTGGGCTTTCTTGTAAATGAAAGAAAACGATGACAGGTGGGTAGTTGTGCACTGAAACTCCCTTTAATGTCTTCTTTTATAGTCTATATATATATATATGCATGGCGAGTTTATTAATTATTGATTTTGGTAATGGAGGAATATAATAAAATGGTCAAATTCAAAATCAGAGTACACTGCAATTCATGGTATGTATGTGTTGAATATGATGGAGTGTGATTCCCCCAAACGGTGAATGATAATAAAGAAGGTAGGATAGATAGATGCAATAATGGAGGGATTGAAAGTTTCTATTATATTGAGTTGAACCTGGAAAAGGGGTTTGACTGGATTCAAGATTTGTTCATTCTCAAGGTTGGAATGAGGTCAATGGTATAAACTCCCATTTCCCACAGATCCCATCCCCCTCAAATCTCCTACTAGAGCTTTCCTTTTGATCCTGATAAGGGTTAAGTGCCTTTTATTGTTAATTTGATTTGACTAACTTCAACTCTTTCACTAATTAGCTAGGATCCACCCTAATGTATATTTGATATCCTTCCCAATATAATATTCGGTATCTCCACCACTATGAGACTAATTCAAATTCAAATCTTATCAATGAAATTTAACTTTTACTTGAGAAAGATCTGATTTAGAGTTTTTTAACATGTCATGCTTACATACATGAGTTGATATTTTGACCAATTTGATCTAATACTTTCGAATAAAGAGAGTGAGTGCTCGATTTATTTTATTAAGGGAAAATGGCACTTTTCCCCCTGTGTTGTTTACATATAGCATATTTTACCCCTGTGTTGTTTATGTAACCACTTTATTCCCCTTAATTGTTTTTGAAGTGGCTATTTTTCCCCTCTCCTTTAAATAAGTGTTAGGGCTGTTAAATATGAGGGTAAAAATGGCATTTCACTTATTATTATTATTATTATTATTATTATTATTATTATTATTATTATTATTATTATTATTATTATTATTATTATTATGTGCTTAAATCATATTTTGTTTTTTATGATAGTGCTTATTTTCTCTGTCTCATCTTACTTATCTTATTTATAATTTATTAATTAATTTAACTCTTTTTTAGTTACTTCGTTAATTTTTTAAATTGTTAAATTAATTTTTTTGTGTTTAATAATATTTTTAATAAATTAAAAATAAAAAAAGTTAAATTATACGGAGTATTAATTTAAAGAAATGTTAACATGGTTATAAAGTGGGGTTAATGACTTTTTTTTTAGACACCTAACTGGCTAACTTAGATATGTTATTGCGTAGTATAATTTAAAATATATTATCCAACTATGTATTTGCATTCAAAAAAAAAAAAATGTATCACATTGCCATTGCATATGAAAGGATGATAAAGGTTAGGAAATTCCTTCCTTGTCCAAGAAGTTTGGCACCGTGTTAATTAGAAGAATATTCCGTATGACAATCTTGAACGCCCGTGTAACTAGAATGTTGTGGCCTGGGCTTGGTGTAATTAAGTGTATGATGGGGTTTTGTTTGAAATTCAAATTTCAATACATTTACTTCCTATCACAACATTAAAATGAGTAATTGCATATCAATACTTTTCCATATCAAGAATCAATTTCATTGTCTCTGCATTGCAGCAAGTTCCAAAACAGTTGGAATGGGTCCAAGTGCATATATGATTGTAAAACAGTAAAAGTATTGTGGTGTTTTCTGATATTTTTCAACTATTCAAGCCCCTTCAAACAAGGAAAAGTATAATACTCCGTAATAATAAAAGGTCAAAAATTAAGTCAAAATTTTTTATTGGGCCATTAGTGGTCGGCCCAATGGAAAATAGGCCCAATTCATTTCCCTATTCTTCTTCTTCTTGGGCTCTTTGTCATCATCCCTGCAAAACTGCAAAAGCTCGTCTCTGCTCTATCACCAATCTCTCATGGCGGAAACAAACGCAAGAAAGAACGAATCCGCTCCTTCAGGTACAGATTTCCTCTTATTTACACCTTCTGCCATTAGCGCTCTTCTACGGTTGTACGATAAAGCTTTCGTTGTTGTTTGGGGGATTTAAAGTTTGAATCTTTAATCTAGGACTATATTCATATCCTCGAACCAGCTGGTTTTTCATGTTCAACTGGAAAATTAACAAAATGGGTTTTCTTGTGAGGATTAATCTTGGATAAATGATTGCCAGAAAAGATTAATGTTCTCCTGGAATTGGAGACCTAACTTGGGTACTGTTCTTCTGCATATTTTATTTATTAAAAGATTTCGACTTTTATACAGTTCAACAATTTCTGGGCTGCAGAAATATTTTAGCCTTTTTTTTGTTTTATCGAATCAGCCCATATATTTTGGGCTTAAATTGACATCCTATGTATCAGTGATCTAATTTATGTAATTTTTGACCTTTGTGGATGAGAAAGATGTGAAATCAGCAAACATGACTGAGCGAGCTAAGGAAGAGATGCAGACTATGTTTCAGCACGATAAACCTCAAATCCACGACAAAGAAACACATGGAAGCAGCGATGATATTGATGAGACCACCTCGGTTGATGAAGTTAAGGCACCGGGTGTGTTTGAACGAGTGAAGGAAGAAGTAGAGGCTGTTGTCGGAGCAATTCATCCCAAGAAGAACAAGTGATTTGGCTGTTGCTTAGAAATATATATTGTTGTATGAATTATGAGATTTAACTGTGGACATTTTATGGTTTCCTTTAGCACTTTGATGATGTTGTATCTTGTTAACCTCTGAGCCTGCAATAAACTGCGAGTCTACAGCAAAAAATATGTAATTCGCTAGAAAAAGGGCTTGAACCTTCGACCTTGTGGTTAACAGCCACACGCTCTAACCAACTGAGCTATTCCAGCTATGTATTCATGAAATACAAAAATATTGATAATGGGTGTGCCATTAAAGAGTTATGACCAAAGATAAGGATACCATATGAAATGTAACTAAAGCCGAATTGTATCCTAGAAACCCGGACCCTATTAACCTGTCCCAAACTCAAAGTAGGTAAATTGAGCTAATCTGATTTTTGAAAATCAACACTAAATTGTACACTTTTATTTTTATGCACAAGGAATTCAACTCGGACTCAAATCTTGAATATTCGTAATATAAATTGAACCCACACGTTGTTATTGAAAGCAAGTCTTAGCGGGAGATTGTCATAGGCAAACTCATGGCCAGAAACAATCGATATTTTTAAAAGAGTTATGGGGAGGACATTTAAAATGTTTCATCATGCTCATCACATTTTCAACACCAGCCAGTTGGCATTGTTAGTCAAAATTTGATAGAAAATTTGGCAAATCAGAGCAGGATCTCAAAGATACTAGTCAACTTTCAACAGAAATTTGGCAATCAAAGGTGTGGGTGATCTGTAGTAATGGAAAATCATGTGTCTTTTTTTTTTTTTTTTTAAATAATGTGTCTTTCTGTCTTTTAACAATTTTTTTAATTTTTTAAAATTAAAAATTTTGAAAGTGTAAAATCATGTACATAGTTAAACTGATCAATTATTTTACTAAGAGTTGTTGGTTGTAAGGTTCAAGAGATATGGACTTAGAGTGTGTTTGGTTCGAACATGGGAATCATAATCGAAATGTGTATCAAATACTTCGTAATGATAATGAGTTTTGATAAAAGTATTTTGCATGTTTGGTAGTATGGTGGAATGAGAATGATTAGGTTAAGGAGGAATAATGAAATGAAACTCTTATTTTATCAGAGAGTGAGTCTTTCAATTAAGGTGATAATCAAATCCATAATAATGTTTTAAAAATATGTCAATCAAACAACCGAAGTTGGTTATTCCTCAATCGTATTTGAATTATGATAACTTGAAAGAAAAATAAAAATAAAAAGAAAACGTTGTTGGATTTATGCAATAATTAATAGTCCAGCAGTACCACTAATCTCTCCTATGATTGTTGATTAGGAAGAAACTAACGTTGGAATGGTTGGAGCTTCCCAGAAACTTCCATAGGTGTCGGCCCCACACAAATTCCAACATCCATTTAATGCGTCCCACTACTTGCCACGTACTATACGTCACTATGCTTTGCACTATTTGCCCACAACTCCCGCCCAGATTACACATTTTTATTTTTATATATATATTTTTTAAATTATAATGGATTCGCATATACGTAATTTTGCATCATGCAATTCTGTAATTACTTTTAAAATTTGAATTGTACATCTTATAATGTCTAATTATGTAATTCACACGAGAACAATAATTTTTAAATTAAAATATGTATATTAATGTAAGATTATGTATGAGAGGTGGATTGAAAGTTGAATTTATTTATTTAAAATGGTAATTCAAAGTATATAAATGCAAGATAATATAGGAGATATTGATTATAATTGTCATTAAAATAAATATAATGTTTGTAACTTTGTAAAAACACCAGTGCAAGCGTCAATTGATGTTTGACAGCGGTAGTTTTTTTCACTATATGTTTTATGTGTTGCGAGATGTGTGTGTAGATTCTCATATAAAAGTATTGAACAATTATAATGTTCATGAGTAGTACCTATTATTTTGGTTCCATAACTTGGTTACTTGATAGGAAAAAGTACTAGGGCCGGTTTTTAGATTTTTGTGGCCCATTCTGGTAAATAAATGAGGTCTTATCAAAATTACAATCTTTTAAACCAATACAATAATTTTTTCTAATAATAATAATGTAGTAAAATGTTGTTGTGCGCAAAGAAAAAATCAAATGTTATGGAATAAATTACAATTATAACAATAATAATAATAATAATAATAATGGTGTGCGCGCAATGCAAAGGTGCAAGTTTTGAACTTTTGACCTCTAAATTGAAACACAATAAACACATGTTTCTATCATTTATCCATTAAGCCTTTTAACTATAATTGACAACTTTTATTATTTATTTCTAAATTAGCTAAGTAAAAATTAAATATTGGACTCTTCAAAATTTGGGACCCTCTAAAATTTGGGGGTCCTGTGCGATAGGCCTAACTTGCACAGTCCAAAATCCGGCCCTAGTAACAACAATGACTCTGCAAGTAGTCTGAATACTGGTGTTGTAATGTGTCTAGTTTCATCACTAGTTTTCACATCAATTTTGCACATGTTCATTTTGAAGTTCATATTTTTAGAATTATTAAGAATGAGTGTTGATTTTGTGTGTGCGTTTTTTTGTAAATTTGTTTTGAAGAATTTCACATCATTTTTGAAAGACTCATTAGAGCAACTACATTGATTTGATTTTTTATTTTTATTTTTTGTGTGAATTTTTGTTAATAAAAAAAAACATTTCTAATAGGATAAAAGAAAAATGTTAATAGCTTTTAATGCACCCATGTGTCCGCTGGGTGAATTGTGCTTGAATGTAATTGACCTTTCAACGTTTTTATTGGTTATTACTCTAAGAAGGTATGCCAAAAATTAATTTAACATAACATACTCCCACATTCTCTCATCTAACAATCAAAATTCCTAACAAAAATTAAAAAATTAAAAATGACATATAACGTGATTCTTAGTGTTCACTCTCAAATAGTGTTTGCGAGTGACGGTAAATATGATTACCGGAGTATATTTTAGTATACGTAAATTGAGACAAGTTGTATTACTAACCGTGAGTACCGAGCTTTAGAATGTCTCCATTTTGCGACATGGACTTAGATTTTTATACTGTAGTAACGACTATAATAATGAGCATTGATGACTCCCTCACAAATGCAACGACTCCTCTTCATAAATGTCAGGGCTCCTCAGTAACTCTTGATGAGGCGGTGCTTAATGTGTTGCCTCTTGTAACTGTTCCACATGCTTTCAACTGTTATTATTTGACTGTCATCACTCATTTGATGGGTCAAACCAAGTGCACTGAGTCGGGTTCGGTACTTGTCCAATTATCTTGTCAGCGAGTTTTCATCGTCATTCAAACAAAAAAAAAAAAAAAAAACCATATAATGTGATATAATATATAGTTTTAATAAGAAAAAATGCATTGAACCCTCTCGATACAATATTATTCTATTTGCATATGCTCTCTCTAATACGAAGGAATTTAGAGTAGTGTCTTATACAATCTAAATGTCATGATTGTAAAACATAATTATACTAGCCAGACAAATAGAGCATATAAAGAAAATTATATATTTCATATAACCTATAATCTAATCTGTCTAAAATATTATTTTGAGATTCTATTTATCCTATATATTAGATTATTTTATTTGAGACTTAAGTTAATGAATTACACCTGCGCCAAAAACATATTATTTAGCACTATTAAAAAAGTTATGAGAAATATGATGAAAAATATATAAATATTTTTCAAGAATTTCACCCCAAAATGGCCTTTTAGACCTGTAGTAACCTCTCCCATGTAGGATGTCATGAGATCGAATTTGAGTGGAGGCGTTGCTGACTCTTTGTGCTTCATTAGGTTGAGAAAGTATGTTTGAACAGATACTACAATGTAATAAGGTCGGTAGCATTAAAAAAAATTAAAAAAGAAAAGATAATAAAAATATTTGATGAATAATCTCAAAATCAGAGCCAATCAAAGAACAGTAGAAATTCACCCAAAAATATATATGATATTTTTGGTACATTTCCAAAAATAAATGCATGTATGTACAGAAAATAGAAAATGATGGACAGAGGGAGGGAGAGAGAGGCCCCGTAAAATACTGGTAATCGGTTCGGACGAGATTGCTCTGTTTTCTTTTCTTTCTTTCTCTCTCTCTCTCTCTTCCAACTTTTCTCTCTCCTACTTCGCGATCTCTGCAACTTTGCACCTGCATTCCCCTTCATCGCCGTGCTTTCCTTTCTGGGTCTGCTTCAAATTTTCAACTTGCTCGACCCCCTGTTTCGCACCTGGTACATTTCTCTTCATCATACTTTTTTTTTTTTTTTTTTTTTTTTGCCGCACTTCTTTGCAATGGCGCGGAATGTGTTGTCTTTGAAAGAGGGCATCATTTCGCGTTTAATTTTGTAGGTTATAAGGAACAATCCGGGATTCTTTGTTTGTTTTCTTTTTTTTTTTCCAAATTATTATTCGTTTCAATTCCAGCTAAAACTTTGGTTGATGTTGCCAATGCCAATTTGTGGATAATGTGATTGTTTGAATATTGAGCGACGGGATTGTTAGGTGTGGAGGTTTCGTTTAATATGCTGTGCTGTGCTGTGCTGTGCTGTAACTCTTTAAGAAACTTAAATGGTGGAATTAAGATTGATTTTGTTTTGGATGCCGTTATTTAACGATTCCTTTTGATTCTAGTCGACTGAGAATTTGTTCTTGAAGTGAGCATTATGCATATGCCTGAATTGGTTTAGAATATGAATTAATGATGATTTCTTTGTTTGTTTTTTCTTGATAATAATATGCAATTCTGTTATAAAGAATAACACAACACGTTTCTCAGGGATGCTGCTCCATTGTCACTTTTTGATTTGTAGTATGTGGTGGTGGTAGAATTGAATAGAGATTGACACTTGAGGGAGAAAGGGAAAATGGCAAGAGGCAAGATAAGGGCGAAGTTTCGCAGGAGCAATTTGTACACATTTGCATGTATCAGGCCAAGAACTCAAGAGGATGAAAGGCCTCATCCGTTAGGCCCTGGATTTACTCGTGTAGTGAATTGCAACCAGCCCCAAATCCATGATATCAAACCTCTCAAGTACTGTACAAACTATATAACAACCACAAAGTACAATTTCTTGTCGTTCCTGCCCAAGGCCATCTTTGAGCAGTTCAGGCGTGTTGCCAACTTGTACTTTCTGCTGGCTGCAATTCTGTCTCTCACACCGGTTTCACCATTCTCGGCTGTTAGTATGATAGCTCCTTTAGTCTTTGTTGTTGGGTTGAGCATGGCAAAGGAAGCAATGGAGGACTGGCAGCGGTTCATCCAGGATATGAAGGTCAATCTGAGAAAATCTAATGTTCACAAGAAGGATGGTTCTTTTGGTAATAAGCCATGGATGAAGCTTCGGGTTGGAGATGTTATCAAAGTGTCAAAGGATCAGTTTTTTCCTGCAGATTTACTTCTTTTGTCATCTAGTTATGAAGATGGAATCTGTTATGTGGAAACGATGAACTTAGATGGAGAGACAAACTTGAAGGTAAAAAGAGCTTTAGAGGTAACCTTACCCTTGGAAGATGACGAGTCTTTCAAGGAGTTCACGGCAACTATAAAATGTGAAGATCCCAACCCCAATCTTTACACTTTTGTTGGTAATCTTGAGTATGAGCGCCAGATTTATCCTCTTGATCCTGGTCAGATTCTTCTTAGAGATTCAAAGCTTAGGAATACTGCTTATGTGTATGGAGTGGTGATATTCACTGGTCATGACAGCAAAGTTATGCAGAATTCTACAAAGTCTCCCTCAAAAAGGAGTCGGATTGAAAGACAAATGGACAAAATCATTTACATCCTTTTTACTCTCCTCATGTTGATCTCATTGATTAGCTCAGTGGGCTTTACTGTGAAGACGAGGTACCAGATACCTGACTGGTGGTATATACAACCATATGATATAAATAATATCCTTTATAATCCTAACAAACCTGAGTTGTCTGGGATTTTTCACCTGGTCACTGCTCTTTTATTGTATGGATACTTAATACCCATCTCCCTTTACGTGTCCATTGAAGTGGTGAAAGTCCTACAGGCAGTGTTCATCAATCAGGATGTTCATATGTACGACGAAGAGACTGGAACTCCTGCTCAAGCAAGAACATCAAATCTGAATGAGGAGTTAGGCCAGGTTGACACAATCCTTTCTGACAAAACTGGTACTTTGACCTGCAACCAGATGGATTACCTGAAATGCTCCATCGCTGGTGTTGCATATGGAAAGCGTGCTAGTGATGTAGAGCTTGCAGCTGCAAAGCAAATGGCTATGGAACTTGATGAGGAAGATGCTGAGAGCATACCTAGTACAACTGGATGTGCTGCATCAGATATTGAGTTGGAGACAGTTGTTACTTGTAAAGATGATGATGAAAAAAAACCAGCAATAAAGGGTTTTAGCTTTGAGGACAACCGCCTCATGAATGGAAATTGGGTAAATGAACCTAACGCAGATGTCATCTTATTATTCTTCAGGATACTGTCAGTTTGTCATACAGCAATTCCTGAACTAAATGAGGAGACTGGTATCTTCACCTATGAAGCAGAGTCACCAGACGAAGGTTCATTTCTTGTTGCAGCTAGAGAATTTGGTTTTGAGTTTTGTAAAAGAACTCAATCATCCATAGTTGTTCGTGAGAGATATCCTTCTTTTCAAGAGCCTAATGAAAGGTGAGTTTCTTGTTAAAGGAGCAGCTTACAATACTCTCCAGACTCCAGTATATGAATTCTGTTGTCAATTACGTATCTTATTATCATTCCTTTTTTTTTTTCTCCAATATGTAGGGAAGTCAAACTTCTCAATTTGTTGGACTTCACAAGCAAGAGGAAGAGAATGTCTGTCATTGTCCGAGATGAGACTGGGCAGATTTTTCTCTTGTGCAAAGGAGCAGACAGGTCTGGTCCGGAATTAATATCATTATACTACAATAGGTTCTTCATGAACTCCCATAGCACCAAAATTCATTCTTTTTTGCACTCTTTATTGCTTTTTTTCCCCTCCTGCTTGTTTTACCCCTCTCCTACCTTTGGGCAGTTTGGGGGTTGGGTAGCATCATCCTTGGAATTTATAGCTTATAAATGTTTTTTATATAATTTTGTTTAGACTGGCATTGTTCTGCTTTGATCTGATTTAATTTGCAATATATCTGCTGTTTATGTGCATTCTACAGCATCATATTTGATAGACTAGCAAAAAATGGAAAAATGTATCTAGAGGCTACCACAAAGCATTTGAATGATTATGGAGAAGCTGGCTTACGTACACTTGCACTTGCATACAAGAAGCTTGAGGAGGCAGAGTATAATGCATGGAATGAAGAATTTACTAAAGCAAGAACTTCAATTGGAGGTGATAGGGAAGCAATGCTTGAGCGGGTATCTGATATGATGGAAAGGGATCTGGTTCTTGTTGGTGCTACTGCTGTGGAGGATAAACTGCAGAGAGGAGTACGTATTTTGTATATGCATTATCAGTTTAATGAACTCTGTTGTGCTTCTGGACTTAGTATTCTATTTTTCCCACCAGGTTCCTCAATGCATAGACAAATTGGCACAAGCTGGGTTAAAGATTTGGGTTCTAACAGGGGATAAGATGGAAACTGCAATCAATATAGGGTGGGTCTCTGACCACAAGACAGAGAGCTTTGCATAGTTATTAAGTCATTGGATCAATGGATCCATATGATTAATTGGAATTTTGGTTTGTGTAGATTCGCTTGCAGTTTGCTTCGACAGGGTATGAAGCAAATTTGTATATCAGCAAATACAGATGCAGTTGAGAACGATTCCAAAGAGGTATATTTTATAAAACAATACTAAGATTCTCAAGAAATGTATTATAATTCATGGTAGTCCTTGCTATTTGTTACTCCTCAGGCTGTTAAGGAGAGTATTTTGTTGCAAATGACAAATGGTTCTCAAATGGTCAAGCTCGAAAAGGACCCACATGCTGCATTTGCAGTGATCATTGATGGAAAAACTCTAACTTATGCATTGGAGGATGATATGAAGCATCAATTTTTGAACTTAGCTGTTGATTGTGCGTCTGTGATTTGCTGTCGTGTGTCTCCAAAGCAGAAGGCTCTGGTAAGATGTCCTCAAATTTTCTCTCAGTTCCACTGACATTTTTTGGTTTCTCCCTCCTCCAAGTATGTCTCTCTATATGTGTGCGGCTGTGTGCACAGACTGATCGGTATAATATTATTCGGTTGCATAGGTGACAAGGTTAGTGAAAGAGGGAACTGGAAAAACAACCTTAGCAATTGGCGATGGTGCAAATGATGTTGGAATGATTCAGGAAGCTGACATTGGCGTTGGAATCAGTGGGGCAGAAGGAATGCAGGTTGGTAGTGCATCTAGCTGACCAATTGCTTATTTATTTTGCTATTTCCCACTCAAGACGACTTGATGTGGCTCTTACCGTTCTCCAAAACTAGAAAAAAAGAGTGTGACTGGAAAGAAATGAAGAATAAGATCAACATATTCGATACTAAAACTTGATGATTCAAACGAAACTATTTATCTGAATAAGCATTTTTTGAATTTGGGTGTTTTTTATGGGCTTAAGTGTTAGTTTCTTGCAGGCTGTGATGTCCAGTGACTTTGCTATTGCACAATTCCGGTTTTTGGAGAGACTTCTTGTTGTACATGGTCACTGGTGCTACAAACGAATTGCTCAGATGGTAACGAATTTACTGCTTTTGGGAGATTTATTTCATTTAATGAAACGAAAACACAATTATCATTGGTTACTTCCGAACTAGTATGCTTTTAAGTTTTAACCACACACGAAGATAAGGATATTTCATTGCCTTACAAATGCTCTCTGTTTCAGATATGCTACTTCTTCTACAAAAATATTGCATTTGGGCTCACACTCTTTTACTTTGAGGCTTTTACTGGTTTTTCGGGGCAGTCAATATACGATGATTGGTATATGCTTCTGTTCAACGTGGTTCTTACTTCGCTGCCTGTCATTTCACTTGGAGTCTTTGAGCAGGATGTGTCTTCTCAAGTCTGTTTACAGGTTAGCCCTCTAAGCACTGTTTATGTTAGGCGGGCGATACTCTAAACTAGTCAAAACCCATCAAAACTGAACCACATTTTGCAGTTCCCAGCGCTGTATCAGCAAGGACCCAGAAACTTGTTTTTCGACTGGAATAGAATATTCGGGTGGATGGGAAATGGCGTCTACACCTCTCTCATTGTATTTTTCCTTAACCTAAGCATCTTCTATGACCAAGCCTTTCGGGCACAAGGCCAGACTGCAGACTTGACTGCTGTAGGTACTGCCATGTTCACTGGCGTTGTCTGGGCAGTAAACGCCCAGATTGCGCTAGCAATGAGTCATTTTACATGGATACAACATGTTCTTATTTGGGGGAGTATTATCAGTTGGTACATATTACTTTTAGTATATGGCGAGATGTCGCCAAGAATTTCCAAAGATGCCTACAAAATGCTGATCGAGTCCCTAGCTCCCGCCCCAATCTACTGGGTTTCCACCTTCTTGACATGCTTAACCTGCATCCTCCCATACCTTGTCCACATAGCTTACCAGAGATCTTTCAACCCCATGGACCACCACATCATCCAAGAAATCAAGTTCTTCAGGAAAGACGTCGAGGACAGGAACATGTGGAGAAGAGAGCGGTCCAAGGCGAAATCAAAGACCAAGATTGGGTTCACGGCAAGAGTAGATGCAAAGATCAGGAATTTGAAAGGGAGGCTGCAGAAGAAGTATTCAACGATGAACTCACACTTAGACGTACCGCGTAAATAATCACGAGATATATCCTCTAGTTTTGCTTTTGCTTTTATCCTTTGTTGTAAGTTAGGGAGGGGGAGGGGTTGGGTTGTTGAGCCACCCTGCAATTTTTATATATATATGTTCTCTGGCTGATCTTTGTAGTCCATCTGTAATATGCTTTTTCTTTATCAGTATGATGGGTTCATCTTAGGCCATTCTTCATTCTTTCATAGCATTTCAGGCTGCTGTATGTACAATACTTTCTTCTATTAGTCTATACACAACATTCAGAACCTATCTCTATCTCCCACTTTTGTCTTTCTTATTTTTACCAACACACATTTGCTTGTGTGTTGTGATGTGATGCTGCCCTGCCTTCATTCACCTACAATTCTTTTCTTGCACTTTATTGTTTCATTTTGTACCATAATGGATAAGGGAAAACAGGAATTAACTAACTAAACAATTTGGAGCAATCGGTATTGCTAATGCAACTGCAAAGTAATATAAGTGGGCTGTTAATGAAATTATAAAGCAGTAATTGTTATAACAGTTTTTGTGATTTTTTTTATAATAAAAGAGGCGGGAACTCGAAGTACTAAACTGGAGAATGGAAGTCCGAGACTAATACCAAATTGGGGAATGAAAGTCATAGACCGACACCCTGATATAGACTCCGGCCTTGCCCCTCATAAATAATGTCTTGGGAGATGTGTAAGGGACCTCGATAACCTTCAAACTATACATTAAAACTATGACGAAATGCTACAACATCATAAAAAAAACTGTCAATGTTTCAAAAAAGAAGAAGTACATATTCAATATAATGATTCATTGATTCATACAGAGTTTATTATTTTTTTAAAGTATAAATATATCTTGTCACTTTTTATTTTTTTGTATACAGAAGTTCTACATAATTTTTTTAATATAATTACTAAAAAATTTATGATTAGAGTACAAATTCTACTCAAAATTTTAATTATAAAAATAAAGAATAAATTATTGAAATGATTCTTCAATTATAATAATTTCTCCCAATAATGTGATTGAGTATAGAATTTGAATATATTTTAGTCATTCTAATAATTCGTCTAAATTTAGTATAAATTTGATAGTGATTAATGAATAATATTATTAGACGAAATTAAAAATCGAAAAAAAAAAGTGATGAAATTGTGATACTTGAGACTTTGAGAAACCATTTTGTAATTTACCCAAAAATAATTTCGGAGTAAAATAAAAAAAGGAGAAAAAGATAAAAGAAAAAAAAAAAAGAGAAAATAATTAACTGCCTTTGAGAAAAACGTATAATTGCAATCGACAGGAAATAGTCAGCTTCGATTGCAAAGCTTCATGATACGCTCTCTTCTCCATCCTCTCCCCACCACCACAGGGGGCACAAACAGAAAGCCATAATCGGCTAATGACCTAAAAAAGCTGTCTTTTTTCTCAAATTATCTCTGGGATTTCTATCCTGTCCCTGAAATTTTGTTATTTTCATCTTTGAATTCGAAATTCCATAGCTAATTTGATCTTTGAAATCGAGGAGCGTTGTTGATGGAGCCTCGCGTTGGCAATAAGTTCCGGCTTGGTCGGAAAATCGGCAGCGGCTCCTTCGGAGAGATCTATCTTGGTATGTTGCCCTAAATTTTGCATCTTTAATGAATATTCTCATTATTTATTTATTATTATTCTAATTTGTTTTACAACTTTTCCAGGGACTAATATTCAGACTAATGAAGAGGTGGCTATCAAGCTTGTGAGTCAAGATCCCTTTTTTTTTCCTAATTCTGGAAATTTTGCTGTATATTATGAACAAATAGTTATTAGTTTATTGCCAAACTTGTGAGACTGTGTATGTTGGTGTGTTCTTCCATTAATAGTCTATCAAAGTTAAATACTAATGAGCTTCTTAGTATCATTTGTTGAATAGCTAGTTATTGAGATTGAGGTAAGTTTAGTGAAAGGGGAATAATAATGCAGGTCCTGGTTTGGTTTCCTTAAGGTAGCTTTTCTGTTTTGCCCGGGAAGAAAGCTTTCATGACAATGTTAGAACAGGAAACTACTATCCTTCATCACTTCAGCAGAATTAGTTAATTTTGGAGTTTGATGAGTCATGAGTGGGATGTGGAATATATTACCTCTGTAAGTAGTTTGAATGTGGTGCTTGGCTGCTTGCTGCTGGATCTATCACCAGTGTTCTGTGGTTACAAAATTTTGTTATTTTTTGAACTGTGTATTATTATGCCTTGGCAATGCATATACTCTATAGTTTAGAAGAAGGTACTCTGAAATTTCTATGTGCAGTTAGTAAGCCTTGTAACTTATTAATGTTGATGAGATTCTTTTTTCATTTTGTTCTGACCCATCAAAAAAAATGAAAAAGAAAACAGAAGTTTTTTTTTTTGGTTTTATATCAGCAAGTTTGGTTAATGATCGTCAAATTCTGACTGTTCTGTCTTTAACTTATTCACATGACTTGTTAGTGATTGAAGATTAAATTACTTTATTCTGCTAATTTGCATTTTTTTTTGTATTTAGGAAAATGTAAAGACAAAGCACCCTCAATTACTATATGAGTCAAAGTTGTATAAATTACTACAAGGAGGAAGTAATTTTTCTTATTCTACCAGTTACCTGTTATTCTTAACTATTTTGGCTTAGTTATCTTGATGTCCTTACCATTGCACCTCTGTGTCTCATTTTGTGTTAGCTGGAATCCCCAATGTGAAATGGTTTGGCGTTGAAGGCGACTATAATGTCCTTGTGATTGATTTACTGGGACCGAGTCTAGAAGATCTATTTAACTTCTGTAGTAGGAAGCTCTCTTTGAAGACTGTTCTTATGCTTGCGGATCAGATGGTAGAGTCAAGTTTTATACATGGTTCTACAGTTTGTTAAGCATGTAATCACCCTTCATCTTTCATGGGAAAAGTGCTTTCTTTTCAGATAAACCGGGTTGAATTTGTTCATTCAAAATCATTCCTTCACCGAGATCTCAAGCCTGACAACTTCCTTATGGGCTTAGGGAGGCGTGCAAATCAGGTTGGGTGAATGTTTTTCTGAATACTGCTCTCTTTTTCCATGTTCTTTTGGAATCGGATTCCTTACTGCCATTATTCCTAATAGGTCTATATTATTGATTTTGGGCTGGCTAAAAAGTACAGGGACTCATCAACTCATCAACATATTCCATATAGGTGATCTTCCTTCCACTAGTTAACATATTCTATAGACCGAAAATGAAGGGTTGTCTGTTAATACAGAGAAATGATTCCATTTGCAGCATTTGCTTTTGGGCTTCATTTCCTTTTCCTATTTGAAATTATCACTTCAGTCTAGACATATGTTTACTTAATCAGAATGGATATATGATGTGTTTTATGATATTACATACAGAGAAAATAAAAATTTGACAGGAACAGCCAGATATGCAAGCATGAATACTCATCTTGGAATTGGTAAGTTTTTCATGTGTTTTCATGCCTTAGTAATTTACTTCAATCGATTACCGTTGTGTCTGATTCATTCTTGTTCCTATCATGTTATAAAGAACAAAGCCGGAGGGATGATTTGGAATCGCTTGGCTTTGTGCTAATGTACTTTTTACGGGGGAGGTAAATATCTCCCTGTCTGTCCATTTTTCCTCTTTTCCTTCAGTATCAGTTTTTTATTACTTCCAAAATTGTAGTCTTCCTTGGCAGGGGTTAAAAGCTGGCAACAAGAAACAGAAATATGACAAGATTAGCGAGAAGAAAGTATCCACATCTATAGAGGTAGTGCCTGTTCCATATTCTACTGTGCAGGTGATCAATTTCTAACGTTTCATTCTAACTTTTATTTTTTTTTACTTTTCTTCTGTAGGCCCTGTGTCGGGGCTATCCTGCGGAATTTGCTTCTTATTTTCATTACTGTCGGTCACTTAGATTTGAGGATACTCCAGATTATGCTTATCTCAAGAGAATTTTCCGAGAGCTTTTTATTCGTGAAGGTTTGATTCTTTTTTTCATATCTGCAGTTTTCTTTGATGTCTAGATTATCAAAGTGAAGGAATCTTCAACACTGACTCTGTTGCGATGTATTCATCCAGGTTTTCAGTTTGATTATGTTTTCGACTGGACAATTCTTAAATATCAGCAATCGCAGCTTGCAAATCCTCCTTCTCGTGCTCTTGTTAGTGCCATTAACAGATGAAATATTTTTTGCTCTCTCTCTCTCTCAGTAAATATGAGATCAATTATTTGTACTTTTCAGCTCCTAGATTTGAAAATAATACGGATTAATAAAATAAAATAATCATGTTTCTGTGACAGGGTGGTAGTGGAATGAACTCGGGAATGCCTCGTGCTGTTGCTAATGTTGACAGGCAACCAGGTGGGTCTCTTCTTTTTTATGGTCTCTATGATGGAACCTTCCCTGGGCCCCGGATGTACCCGAGCTTTGTGCTCCATCCCGCCCTTCTTTTAAATGTTTGCAGATCTTACGGTTTTGTCCTTTTGTTCACTGCCTTGAACAAGACTATTCATCTTGGAATAAGATGTTTTAAGTGCACGTTTCATATTATTCTACAGGTGGTGATGAAGGTAAACCTCCTGCAAATTTGGCACACAGTAGAAGCACAAATGCTGGAATCAAGCAGAAAAATTCAGCTAACGACTCAGGCATGGGTAAAATGGTAAGCGCCACTAGTTGCTTGAATGCGGGGCACTTGATATTTGCTTTTGGTTATATATATGAAATGCTTCGTGAACCTGTCGTATCTATCCAATTGAAGCATGTGCTCCATCTCAACTAAAAGCCTAAGGTGATAGTTGGATTGCATATTAATGGTTATATGCCCCCTCACGTGTGCGGCGAATCCATGACCTTTGTCTGGCTCTGATACCAAATTGAAGCATGTGCTCCATCTCAACTAAAAGCCTAAGCTGATAGTTGGATTGCACATTAATGATTATATGCTCAACACAACAAAGAAAACGAAGATTTTGACTAGTATCTTGCATGCAGCTATCGAGCTCGAGTTTCTTCCGATTAGGTGGATCTTCGAGGCAACCTGCTGTATCCACTAGCCGCGATGCAGCAACTGCTGGGGCTGACCCCGACGCCCCCCGCACTCGTGGAACAGATGCAGAAGCACCACACAAAATGTCTAGTTCTGCTGCCCAGAGGATCTCTCCAGTCGTGCCGTCTGATCACAAGCGCAACCCCACATCAAGAAACGCGAATTCAAAAAATTTAGATTCCACCCTTAAAGGCATAGAGGGTCTAAGTTTCAGCAATGACGAGAGATTGCCACACTAGCCCTTGCTTCATATTTTCTGGCTGTATATTTTCGTTTGGCTTGAAACGACTTGGCTGTGGTTGTTCCCCCCGAGGGCACTGTAAGCTGAAGTTATAGGGCACGATAACTGGAAACCGCAACTCCAAGAAGAAGAAGAGAATAAAGATGTCATCAGGTTGCTGACACAAAACATCAAGCTCCATCTATGCTGTTTCATTTCTCCTGTTTTTTCATTTAGACTTGATGAAAGCCTTTCCCCCTTTTTTCCCCTTTCATTTGTATCTTTTTACATAGTTTCCTGTATGGGATGCCAGCATGAAAAAGGCATCATTATATTATATAATGTATATCCATGAAAACATCAAAAGAGCAATGTGTGGAATAACATAACATATTCTTTTTGGTGGATTGCCTATACAAATTTGCTGCTTGCTTCTGCTATAAGGCTTTGTTTGTCAATTAGTTAGTTAATATTTACCTGTCACATTAGCCGTTTATACTTAAGATGTTTTTGTAAAAATTGACACTTTATGTAAATGTGTCTGACAGAAGCTAAAAGGACAAGTTCAACTTTAGCATCCTGTCACTGGAAAAATGTTATGCAGAGAAAATATATTCAAAATTTTGATGTATAGATAGTTATACGGTTTACATGAAAAAATGACTAATCAATACCCATCACTGCTGTCATTGGTGTGTGGGCAAACGACTGTCAATACCCGTCACTCCTGTCATTGGTGTGGGCAAACGACTAATAAGTATAAGGAATCGAAATGTCACTCCAATCATTGGTGTGAAGTTCAAAATTCTGTCATTAATGTAGGTAAACGACTACATAAGTACAAGGAATCGTAATTGAAATGCCACTCCATCCTGTATCTAATCCATCCTGTATCTTATCACTAATGTGGGCAAACGACTACATAAGTATAAGTATAAGGAATCGAGATTGAAATGTAATACTACAATTGAAACACAAATTTAATCTTTTTCTTTATGTTCTCTTCTTCACTTTCTTGCCCATTCAACACTCAACAGAGACAAAACCCTAAACTACCACAGCAACTTTCTTTGCCATTGTAGCTCAACCAAACAAGACTTCTCTAGGGGAGGATTGCAAGCTGATCAACCTAATACCCAAGGGAGACCAAAGAATGAACTCATATTACAGGAAAAAAATATCAAACACTTTTACACGTCTCCTCTGTTCACTCAATTACCGACAAAAAGTTGCAGTACTAGATTACAGAACAACACCCCAAGCAAAAATAAAAATAAAAATGCAGACTTTGGAGAAATAAATGGTCTGGTCATATATGTACTGTTTAGAATCTCAAACAGTCAACTCTCTAAAGTTTCTCTTTTTTTTTTCTGATCCATGGAAGATCAGATCCACTTTATGAGTTTCTGCCATGGAAACATTCAAGAAACAGAAAAAAAAAAAACCCAGACAAGTAAAACATCAAGAAATGACATATAATAATTTATGTGTGATATACATATGCAGATCTATACTCAAAACCAAGAACTTCAACCCAGCCTGCATTACATTACATTTGCAGATTCACCAATTTTTAGGGATCTTCATGATCCATAAGTGGATACTCAAAGGGGAAAAGAACACTGAAGAATTTAAGGCAGTATAAGAAAAGAAACAGAAGATGATGATCACCAATCACCACCAACCATGAACAACATGGCTGCAGGTGTTCTTGATCCATCTGAAACTCTTTCTGAAAGAGCCTTTCATCTTCCCTTCCACAGCATAAGCCTTGTACCCAACCACCCTCTTCTTCCTCTGCATCTCTGGGTCATTAAAGCTCCAGCTTTTCGAAGCAAAGCTGGATGAAACCCTGCTCTTGCTTTTCTTGATCCTCACTTCTTTATTATTGTACTGGGGAGCAGCCTCCATGGATGAAGAAGTGTAAGCATAAGAGGTGCTGTAGCTTCTCAAATCCTTCATGCTCTGGGGCCCCACAGCCTCATTACCCCCTCCCCCATAGTAGCTCTCCATCTGCATCCTCCCTTCCCTTGTTGATTTAGATCTGAAATTCTCCATAGCCCACCACAGCTTTCCTGTTTCTTGTTCCTCCTGTGGTTAGGCTACTGGTTCAATCAAATTAAAGGGTTTTCTGCTTTCTCCAACCTTGATTCATCTGTTAACAGCTCAGAAGGGAGGGCCTTTTGATCTTTGTTTATTGTGTGAATGTGTATATATAATTCCAGCGTTTTTCTTTGTGTATTTTTCTTCAATGGAGTGCGGTGACTTTTATCTTTTCCTGTGGACGGCCCTTCATTTATTATTGCATCATTTCTACAGTGACACGCAACCTGCCCAATATTCTATTCAATCCACCTCAGCTGATTTTTTTATTATTATTATTATTATTATTTTTTTGTATATAAGGTTTCCACCGTCGAAAATAGTGACTAATCTCCTCGTTAAATTGTAGACACATCTTCTAAATGTGACAGTTGATCTGAAGATTTAAGACTGCTCTATACTCAAACTCAAAGATAGTGGATGAGTATATATAATAACATATGAACATCCTAAATTTCAATATGTAACATCTAAATAATTAGAAATACAATAAAATGTATCATGTATAGGTAAAAAGTAGGTATTAAATAACATATTTTCGATTAAGTCTGTTGTACTGAATTTCTTTAAATATGATTCGTGGCTATTATACAGATTGTGGTTGGAGTTTCCCTCATCACTCAAAAGTATGTTCTAGCTAAATTCTATTTCGAGATCTTTAGTTAAGTTAAAAGAGATGCATGCATGTCATCTCATGCACACCCGCCTCGCTCCATACGTAATGACCAATTAGTTAATCCAATCAAAAATCATTTGACCTGACCGAATAGATGAAACTTATTCCCGAGAGAAAGAATACAAGGGGAGCTTGTAAGGAGGCAAACTATATACTTCGTACCATGGACCATTGTCTACTAAAAATGAACTTACAATATATTAAAAATGAATATATATGTATGTGAACCTGCAATCACAAATGAAGAAAGTAATTTAATCATATTTTACTCGTTCTTTTAATGATGATTGTCTTAAATTTAATTATTCGTTATTAATTCAATCATATTTTAGTGCAAGTTGTGAGCCATAAAATTAATGATTTAATCAATCATAATTATTATATATCAATTTGCATTGAGTCTGGTCCATCCTAGTATATATATATATATATATATATATATATATATATATATATACATACACACACACACACACATGCCAACATGGAGGCAGTTGGCTAAGAATGATGAATCTAACGAACAGCAGCGACGTATGAAGATGAAAGTTGACTGTTGAAACTTCAATATGAAACCGAAAATCCCTTTTGTTCTATCTGTAACAACTTTCTTTGTGTCGAAAATTGATGTGAAAATGACTTTGGAAATTTTTAAAGTGCGGATTTACTTCAAATACAAGTAAATTTTAATTTTGAATTATTCAGTATTTTGATGATAAATATTTTCACAATATACTTTTGAATCACATTCGATGTAAATTAATTAGCACGATATTAACTGACATTATAATTATTTTGTATTTTAAAACGTGAAGAATTGTATAATGTTAAATTAAGTTTTAAAATTATATATTTCTATATATTAATAACATTACAAACTAACTTACGAAAAATTTTAAGGTGTTGACGGGTATCCGTGCTTCTGGCGCTTAATTAATTAAAAAAAATTACATTTATACGAAATGTTATACATTCTTCTGTTAGCACCCGATACAAATTTAAAACTTTACTATTTATAGATAAAAGTTGTATGAATATTCAATAGTTGGGTATTCATTACATGGACTTAAATTCAAATAATTACGCTGCTAGCAGCAGCATAGCCCTCAGGGAATTAAATAAATGAGAATTGGCCCATGCCTACATGGTTGTGACAGGTGATAATTTCTGACTGTCTATATGTCAAATCAACTGAACCGCCTAACTTTTTGGGTTGAAATATTGAATTCTAAGATGATTTTTATTGTCAAGAGAAATTATGGGTGTTGACTAAAATAAACAAAGACATATTGTGGTTCAATTTTTATTGGAAAAATGGTTAAATAAGTCTCTTAATTTTACCTGAAAAATCAATCAAGTGTTTAAATTTTTTAAAGTTATAATTAAACACATTAACATTTTATTTTGATGCAATGAAACTCAAAAATCAATCAGTGACTTGTGATAATAGATCACTAGGGTTCCCGCATTATTTCTGACCAAAAATCAATCGCCGACGACCGGCACCGATGACCATAGAAAAACGGTCACCTTTTGAAAAGGGACCAGTTCTGGTTGCCTGGAGAAGGCGACCGGGTTTTCGTCGCCTTCTCCGGAGAGGCGACCAGTCTGGAGAAGGCAACCAATTCTAGCCGCCTTCCCGGAGAAGGTGACCAGTTTTGGTCGCCTCTCTCCAGAAAGGCGACCATTTATGGTTTCCTTCTCTGGACGACCAGAAGTGGTCTCCTTTCTCCGGAGAGGCGACCACAAAGGTCACCAAAGAAGCAGCCGTTTTTCCATCGCCGGCGGTTGATTTTTTGTCGGAAATGGTGTCTGAATCTTAGTGACCCGCTATCACAGGTCATTAACTGGTTTTTGGGCTTCGTTGCACCAAAATAAAATGTTAATGGGTTTAATTGTAATTTTAAAAAGTTTAAGCGCCTAATTAACTTTTTAGGTAAAATTTGAGGGCATATTTAATCATTTTTCCCTTAAATAATTAATGTAAAGATTTAAGTCGTCCTACATAATAATGATATGTGTGGGTAAGATAGAAATTTATGTTGTACTTTTCTCTCAAAGCCATGTGAAAAATAAAATATTTAAAGTAACTAAGGAACTCATTTTATATGAAATAAATTATCATATAAATCAAATAAGATAAAACCTGATTTTGTTTTTCAAGTTTTAGGAATAAAATCTCCTAAGAATTTATTCTCTAGTAATTGATACAAATAAATATAAATAATTGAGTTAATATATAATACACACACACAAAAAAACATTAATAATAATAATAAAGTTTGTGCATGAAAATAGGATGTGTCTTATTAAGATCCATAAAAGAACATAAAAGTTTTTTGAAAGACATATTGTTGTACTAGTATTTTTTATGCGCGCAAAAAATAAGTGCTCGATATTAATATTTTATATTAAAATTTTAAATTTACTTAGATTTTAGATATTTATATTATTTTAAATAATAATAATAAAAATGTAAAATATTTTTATAAATTTGATAATTATATTTTGAGAAATAACTAACATATAACTCCAATATATAATTATTATTATTGAAAAAGATAAGAAAATATATGGTGGATTCATGTGCATGGTAACAATAATGGAAAAGATAACGGAATTGAAGTTATAACTGTAGGGGTATGTTTGTCCAAAATATTGTAAAATACAACTTTGAATGCATGTGGGTTGATGTGCACAAACATCTTATTAAAGCCATTAATTAGAGAGAATTGTTATTGTGGGATTGAAAGTGTAGCACAATCCATGTATGTTAGTTCATCGTGATTCATGAAACAAACTTCTACATAAATTGAATGACAATTCCCTATAGGCAATTCAACTACAACGTAACTAGGACTTCAAGTTGTTAATGTGCCGTCAATTAATGTGCAATCACTCTTGACAAGAAATCAACATGTTTATTTTGTTTTCAATATTTTGCTAGCTAGTTATGACTTTTGAGAGCCCAATTAATCTAGGCCATTTACTTACCTAAACTTGGTATAAATAGGGTACCAAATTGTTGCCTTCTTCCATCACTTCCTAACGTTGCTATACTAACAACACAAACATGGGTGCCACCTCTAAACTTTGGCTATTCCCCATGTCTTTCCTCTTGTTAGTCTATGGAGGTGTTGAAACCCAAGCCTCACACATTGTTCTACAAAGCCTTGAAGCCCTCCACCCACCTTTCCCCAACCAAACTTATAGAACATCTTTCCATTTCCAACCTCCTAGGAATTGGATGAATGGTACTATATATATATATATATATCTTCTAACTCAATGAATTAATATATAATATAATCTAATTAGATATATTGTTTTTCTTACCGTTTTTAATTAAATGGCACTTGTACCCATAATATTGCTAATAAAAACTTTTCCCTTTTATGCATGTAACGTGTGACGTTTGTTCGTGAATTAAAAACTGGATGTATGATACATTTGCAGATCCTAATGGTAAGTCTTTATAACTATTGAAAACTGACTAATCTTATTATACACGGGCGATTTAATGTGATTTTATATGTATCTTTGTAATGTGTTTCTTAGGGGCAATGGTTTATAAAGGGCTATACCACATATTCTACCAATACAACCCAAATGGTGCAGCTTTTGGCAATATATCATGGGGACACTCTACTTCAAAAGACCTAGTTAACTGGAGAGCTCATAGTCTTGCCCTCTCTCCATCCCAGCCGTACGATATAAACGGTGCATGGTCCGGTTCAGCGACGATTCTCCGGTCCGGCGAGCCGGCCTTGCTCTACACCGGCAACGATTCAAGAAACCGGCAGGTTCAAAACTTGGCCGTGCCCAAAACCCCATCCGACCCGTACCTCCAAGAATGGGTAAAATCAGCCCGGAATCCATTAATCTCGCCAAACAGATACAACATGATCAATGCTACGTCGTTTAGGGACCCCACGACGGCCTGGCTAGGCCTCGACGGGGATTGGAGAATCGTAATAGGGAGCAAAGTTGAGCGCCGGGGATTAGCTATCCTGTATAGGAGTAAGGATTTCGTTGACTGGGTCGAAGCCGAACAGCCTCTTCATTCAGCTGAAGGAACAGGAATGTGGGAGTGTCCCGATTTCTATCCCGTTTCTGCTGGTAACCCAACCGGCCTGGACACTTCATCGTACGGTCCCGGGATCAAACATGTATTGAAAGTGAGCCTGGATGACTCTAAGCATGAATACTACACAATCGGAACGTACGACCGTGTCGAGGATAAGTATATCCCGGATACAGAATCCGTGGATAACGGCTCCGGCTTAAGATACGATTATGGCAAGTTTTATGCGTCCAAGACGTTTTATGACAGCTTAAAGAGACGAAGAATCCTCTGGGGATGGATTAACGAATCCTTGCCAGAATCTGAATATGTTAAACAAGGATGGTCTGGAGTTCAGGTATTCCTTTAAATTATTTTCATCTTTTTTATTTTTTGGAATTACAAAGAGATGAACCAAGAAGCTGAAATTAAAGTTAACAGACCAACTTGACAGTATATTAAATAAATTTACAATCATTTTCCAGGGAATTCCAAGAATTGTTTGGCTTGATGAACCTGGAAAACAGCTGCTTCAATGGCCAATTCAAGAAATAAAAAAGTTACGTTCAGGGAGAGTTGAGATTCCTAGTACCATGCTCGAGAACGGATCTGTAGCAGAGGTTTCAGGAATCAGTGCCGCACAGGTAATTCTGATCATTATTATAATTATATATACTCCTATATATTTATATAAGAAAACTGTATAATTAAATTCATATACCGATCCGGGTTGTAATTACAGGCGGACGTGGTTGTAAAATTTAAGATAATGGAGTTTGAGAAGGCAGAAAAAATGGAGGAAGGATGGACAGATCCTCAAGAGTTATGCAGGCAGAAGGGAGCATCTGTACGAGGAGGAATAGGGCCGTTTGGGTTGAAGGTTTTGGCTTCAGAAAACATGCAAGAATACACAGCAGTGTTCTTCAGAGTCTTCAAAGGAAGAAACAACAATAATCCTGTCGTGCTCATGTGCAGTGATCAAACCAGGTCTCTCTCTCTCTATATATATATATATATATATCAATTTTGTCGTGTTCCTGTTTGTGTATGTGTGCGCGTATTATTGTGTTTGGCATGCATGCATTTGCAGGTCTTCACTGAACAAGAAGACAGATAAGACCAGCTATGGAGCATTTGTGGATATAGATCCTATGCAAAAAGAATTATCACTCAGGATCTTGGTCATTCTCTCCCTCTCTTCACTATTCTGATAGGAACATTAGTTATTAACTTGATAATCACAAAGTTTTAAATTTCACTCTGAAGCAGACGTTTTTTGTTTGATTCTATCATTAGTGGGTTTTCCTGGTAACTCACAAAAATAACATTATTTAAGGGTGCTTGATTATGGATGTTTTGATGGCACTGTTGATGTTGCAGATTGACCATTCCATAGTGGAGAGCTTTGGTGCAAAAGGAAAGGTTTGCATTACTTCAAGGGTTTATCCGACAGAGGCTATTGGTGAGAAGGCACACTTGTATGCATTCAATTATGGAGTCCACACCATTAAACTCTCCAATTTGACAGCTTGGTCCATGAAAACACCAATCATCAACTGATCCCTCCTAAATAATTTGTGGTAATATATGGATAAATAAATAAATAAGAACAAATTAGTACAATTTAGTTGTTCCGTGTGATTTGCAAATTATTATATGCCGGAATGAATTTATCCAATAATATACATCTTTAGGCATATGATGCGGGTTTCACTCATCACCCCAAAAAAGTGAAAAAATAATATAAACATTGATGATGAAAATAACATGTTCATTTGAGATTAAAACATGAAACTAAAAGCAAAAAAAAAAAAAAAAAATTAAAATTAAAATTAAAATTAAAATTAAAATTACCTACTAAAAAATCTCAACTCTGAAAAAGTAAAGGAAAAAAAACTCTTTGCAAAAATCCTAACAAAAACTCCAAATAAATCTACTCAGAGAAGGTCAGCAACATTTGATGGGAGTTCCTCAATGGTGACATTGTAGAACTTCTGAATGTCAAAGAGCATTCTTTCATCATCCACTGTCACAAAATTGATAGCAACTCCTTTCCTCCCAAACCTTCCACTTCTACCAATCCGATGGAGATAGTTCTCGGGTTGGGTGGGCAGATCGTAGTTGATCACAAGAGAGACTTGCTGCACATCTATCCCTCGAGCCAGCAGATCAGTGGTGATGAGAACACGAGAGGAGCCAGAGCGAAACTCGCGCATGATTATGTCTCGAGTGTTCTGATCCATGTCGCCATGTGTGGCTGAAACTGTGTGGTCCCGGCCCCTCATCTTGTCAGTGAGCCAATCAACCTTGCGACGGGTGTTCACAAAGATCACGCTTTGGGTGATGGCCAGGGTCTCGTAGAGATCACAGAGTGTTTCGAGCTTCCAGTCCTCCTTATCAACATTCACATAAAACTGTTTGATACCCTCAAGAGTCAATTCATCGCGTTTCACCAAGATCCTCACAGGCTTATTCATGAACTTCCTAGTGATTTCGAGGGCTTCTGGGGGCATTGTTGCAGAAAAAACTCCAACTTGAATCTTAGGAGGCAGCAACTGGAAGATATCATAAATCTGCAAATTCATATGTTCAATGTTTTACCAATTCAAGAACAAACATAAGAGAATATCGAGAATGCACCATAACAAGAAAGTGACCAAAACCAAGTTAGACCACTTGTCCAGTCTGCAAATTGACAGTTTCTTGATAGAATTTGATAAAGTATCAGAACTCTTGTAACTTAAAGAAGGGGTGAAGAACAGAAAATTGTATATACCTGGTCCTTAAAACCCCTTGAAAGCATTTCATCTGCCTCATCCAGAACAAACATTTTAATGTAATCAGGGCGGAGTGATTGCCTTCGCAACATATCAAAGACACGACCAGGTGTGCCAACAACAACATGAACTCCAGCCATCAAAATACGCTGATCCTCTCGAACACTGGTCCCACCCACACATGCATGGACCCTGACGCCAAGGTAATCACCAAGTGCCCGCATAACCTTCTCTATCTGTTGTGCAAGTTCTCGAGTAGGCGCCAACACCAAAGCTTGGCATTGAACTAGGCCGTAGTCCAGCTGCTGCAGTATTCCAGAGCAAAAAGTAGCCGTTTTCCCGGTTCCAGATTGAGCCTGCTGAATTACATCAAGCCCCTTACAGAATGGAACAATCCCCCTTTGCTGAATTGCAGAGGGCTTCTCAAAACCTTCAAACGGAAGAAAGATTCTTATCATGAAAAACACACCATTAAACAATTCAGAATTTCAGATAGTACCCTTTAGGAGAAAAGTAAATTATCAATTACCAAATTTCCCAATGCAAGAATGAATAAATTAGATAGTAACAAGGCATAAAGTTTGGAGACACTCTCTATAAACATACAACCATACCATAAGCATAAATGCCCCGAAGAAGGTTCTCTTGCAGACCCATGGAATCAAAAGAATCATAGACTTCATCATACGAAGTGAAAAAATCTTGCCCTTCAACCGTAAGTCTGGAGCAAAGAATTTGATCAACACCACAGATTAGTAAACCAGTATTGCAAGGATTTATCACACACACTAAACATAATTTAAGGTAGGCTATCATATTGGCACTTACAGTTCACTCATTTTGGCATCAAATTGACGAGCATCAAATTGTGCGCCTTCTGGTGCTAAACCTGCCATGACTGCAATCCATTCTTATACATCAGTATATATATATGACTCAAAACCTTGAACAATAACTCACAAGCAAAACTACAATTTGTAAGAATCATACAAAAAGTTTGTATTAATTATAGCTAACAACAACATAGACAATGTACACAAATTTCTCCAATCTCCACAACGAACAATATTCCTAGATTTACAATATTAAATCCAAATCATAGAGCAAAAACACGGAAATCCAAATTACAAGGCATAAAACCAATAAAGATACATTCTTTGTACACAATTTCACCCAGAAAACAGGAGAAAGAGATCCAAAATCAGTTCTAAAAGAGACCCAACACGAGATAAAACATAACATCCAATAAGCATTGAAAGAATCAGACGGATCAATGATATAAAAACAATAAACACGGAGGGGAAAGAAAAGAACCCCGAACACGAACCCAAACCTGAGTTTTGTTACGTGAGAGAGCTTTTGAGATTTCCGCGAACTCCTGGGATCTGAGTCTCAATGAGGTGTAGCTATGGCCTATAAGGAAGGTGACGTTTTTTTCTTCAGTGCAAGACAGGAAAACTGGGTAACAATGGTAACGATTTGCATTATATAGGAGGCCAGGTGTTAACCTTTCGCCTTCTCCTACTAGTATTTGAACTGCTTTTCAGACCCTGATTCTGATTTCTCTTTAATTAATTAATTTATTTATTATTTATTATTCCGTTTTTTTTTTTTTTTTTTATTCCGTATTTATTTATTCAGTTATTCAGGATCTGATATGTACTCCGTATTAGATAAGGAAAAGAAAAAGTATTATGTATAAATTTATTATTTATTTTAATGTTTTATAGATTAAATATGTAAAATTTGAAAACATCCAGAATGAAAATAAATAATAAAAATGATATATACTTATATCCTTATTTGTTAAAAAAAATTAATACGTAGTGGTTAATTAACTTAATTTATACTTGAAATAGTAATTTCAATTAATTCAAATTGTTACATGAATAGTGATGATAGGATTATTTGACAACATAACTTGCACACCAAGTAAAAAGTAGGTCAGAAAAAATAATAAATAAATTAGTGTTATGACAAATTCGATGGACCATGGATGGTTGATAATATTGACAACCAAGTTTACTTGAGCTAAGCAACATATGATAGGGCTCATACATTTGTCATACTATCGAACTAGCTAGTTATAATCCCCTAACAAGTTTGTCGTACCATTTTACTAGCCTACAGTATTGCTTGATCAACCGTCCACGATTGTCAATCAAAACATGTCATGTTAGGGTCTCTTGTTACATGTTATCATAACACTAAATGAGTGTTTGGTTCATGTAATTTTATATTATCTAGGTAATATAGATTTTGGTAATGTTATATTACCTTTGATAAGGATTATTCTCTGAGTATACCTCCCTATACGTTCGGGGCATCTTGCTCAGTATCAGGTCAAGGTCGAATGTCTCTTGACAAATATTTTTATTCTTGAAAGATCAGGCCCTACACCTATATAAGGGCTCTAACCCTTCAACACCATTAGATGATTATATTATTAAAATCAACTTACGTAACACATTTTGTATTTTGTGTATACTTTATTATGCAAATTTAAAAAATATATCATTAGCTTGATTGGCATGAGTGATTGCAGACTCTTATCCTTTAAGAGATGTTAGAAGTTCAAACCATCTCTCTTATGAAAAAATTAATCTGGCACTATGGTACAAGTTTAAAGGCATATTTGATGGACAGATGTAATTACTCTACATAATTCATTGGGCTACTAACTCTCATTTGACTATAACTTTATATATACAAGTTAATACCATCTAAGGTCCTCCGAGTATAGTGATTTTGTCACGTTTAGCCCTAAACTTTCAAATTACCACCTATGATGCTTCAAATTTCAAATTGTTACCATCCGTAGTCCAAGTTAACCACATATAGTCCTTCAACTTTTAAAATTTAACCAGTTGTGGTTCTCTTAGAAGGACCATAAGTGGTTAAAATTTTATAATTGAAGGACCATGGGTGATTAAATTTTGATAGTTGAAGGACCATGTGTGGTTAACTTGGATCATGGATGGTATAATTTGAAAGTTAAAGAACCATGGATGGTGGATTTAAAAGTGTAGGACTAAACATGACAAAACCACTATATTCAGAAGACTCTAAATGATATTAACTCTTTTATATACATATGTATTTGTATTTTGACATTTATTAACGTTTTCTCATAACTAATTTATTAAACATTTATAATTTGAACATATCAATTTTCAACATTCAATTTCAACTACTAACATTTTAGCTTTCAGCTTTTAACCATACTTGTCAAACAGAACTTAATTGTGTGCTTAAATATGAAATCTAACGGTATAGGGCCTCCCAAATCATTGGATTCATATACGGAGTATTTTGTTTCCCCGACCGACCGTAAACTCGCAAAGTCCAAGTCAGAAGATGGATCCGGACCGTGGGCCGCGTACAGGGCGGCTCAGTAAATAGAAAATGGCTGAGGTTGGGATGGTACGATCTGAACGAATCTATAGAGCGAGCGCTCAGTTTCGCTAAATATTTGTGTTTTTTTGTACTTGTGCCTGAAAATTTCACTGCCAGAGAACTGGAAAGAGCTTCGCAGCCACCACCGCTGCCATGACTTGTGCTTCTCAGGTCTTCCGTCACTCCAGAAAGGTGTTTTTCATCTTCCTAAGCTTCAAATTCCTAAATGTTTGTCTCATTTTCATATATACACTTGCTTTCGGATTATTCGTGAAGCTTGATCCGCGTGAATGTGGAATAGTACTGAGAAAGTAGTTCAGATTTAGATTGTAATTGTTCAGTCTCGGACGGCATGTCATTATCGTTTTTTTCGTTTGGCGAATTTAATTATCTCTAGAGTGTGAAACCAATTGGCGAACGAGACGTCTGATCGAGCTCTGTTGTAGTGGTTCTCCGTTCTTCTGAGTCGTGATTTTGTTGTTTGTGTGTTTCAGATCAGGAATACTTCCGGCCTGGTAAAGCATGACTGTGCTGCACTTGTTCGCTGGTTTGCAAGTGACACGAGGGCTTTTACCAATAAAGGAGATGGTAGGATTTTGAAATGAACTTCTGGATTTTCTTATTTTTGCTCTTTAATTGTTGCTTCTGAGACTTTTGTTGTTTTACAGATATTTTAATGGTTAGGCAACCTGGTTATGGCCTTAGTATTTCTAATTATCCTCAGGGGAGTAAGTCAGCTACAATTGGCTTGGGTAACAGTTATAGAGCTATTTGTACTGCCATGGTGATTTCACCTATCAAATATTTCTTTCTTTCTCTTCCTACATTTTTATGAATTTGATCTCTCATTGAGTATGCTGTATGTCAAGTTTTGGTCACAACTTAATTAAGTTTATTTGTGTAGGTATCTTCAGTGGGAAAACCAAAGGAAACTGTTCCAGCGGCTGGCATGTTTTTGAACAGAGAATCTTCATGGTTTGTTTTTTCACCACAGTGAACTTGTTATTACGTAATGCATTCAAATTCTGAGTTTTAGTTATCTTTTCCAGTTCGCTGATGCACTTGAGGAGGCGTTTTTCATCAAAAGCTGGTGAGGTTTTACCATATTAATTCTACATTTAGGAATTGGTATTTCAGTTAGAGTGGGCTTCTCTCCTTACACCATTGCCAACCAGTAAACTCTTTCTAGTCTTGATGGTGTTTATTGAATGAAATGTCATTTGGTGCTTTCTCTATTGAAGTTAAAGCCCAGACTCTGGACTGTTGCTGAGAGGGTTAATCTGTAAACCTTTTTATGTTTAATGTTCAATAATTAAATTGCTTTAGTCTAATCTCTACCCTCAAGAGAGGAGTTACCATGTTTCAAGCGTTTTTTGTTTTGTTTCTATTTCCAAGCCATCAGACGAGGTGAACCCTTTTATTATCCTATTTCATAACAATTTCCTACTTATTTTTCAGATCTTCCTCCTCACCAAGAGATAGGGATGCCTTCTCTTTCACCAACAATGACAGAGGCATGCATTTTCCTTTAAGTTGGATGGATGAGCATTTTACCTTTATGGTTGCCTTGTAACTTGTTTGTTATTATGATGATACAGGGAAATATTGCTCGGTGGTTGAAGAAAGAGGGTGATAAAGTTTCTCCTGGTGAAGTACTTTGTGAAGTTGAAACTGTAGGATCCTTTTTACTTGCTTTTACATGCTTGCTGTTGATTAAGTATTTTATTCACTAATTCACATCTAATATCAATTCTGAATTGATATTAATAGGATAAAGCAACTGTAGAGATGGAATGCATGGAGGAGGGGTATCTAGCTAAGATTCTGCTTGGGGACGGAGCTAGTGGGATTAAAGTTGGTGAGGTATTAATGCTATGTGATCTTTTCTTGTGCAGTACTTGTTTGAGATACCTTGTTTCTTTCTGTATTTATTGTTTTATTTCCTCAAATTTGAATTTTCTAATGTTTCTGTGATTTTTATTTCCCCAATTATCTTATGTAATTGTCATTACCATATGCATGTAAGTGGTCAAAGGATCTTTGCAATAGTATGCCTATCTAAAGATTTGATGCACCATCCAACTGCAAAATGGTTTAAGGGTACAACTTTCTTATACATGAGAAATTGCATAAAATTGCAGGTGATTGCCATTACTGTTGAAGAGCAGGAGGATATTGCAAAATTCAAAGATTACCAGCCTTCAACATCAGATGCTGAACCTGCTCCAAAGGCCCCCCCTCCACCACCCCAACCAAAAGAAGAGGTTGCTAAGGAATCTCTTCCTTCTTCACAACCAAAAGCTTCTAAACCTAGCGCACCTCCAGCAGATCGCATTTTTGCTAGTCCTCTTGCTCGAAAACTGGCTGAAGATCACAATGTATATTTTTGTGGCTATCCAATTTTAATTAAGATTATGTAGCTCTTAGAATTCAAGATTGTTTTTTTCAGCATTGTTATTCCAATCACTTTTGTTTAACACTGGTATAGGTACCTCTGTCAAACATCAAGGGAACAGGTCCTGAAGGACGCATTCTGAAGGCTGACATTGAAGATTACCTTGGTAGTTTTTCCTCCTTGCCTCTACTTACATTTAATATTCTTCTTTTCCAACCAGAGGGTCATTATCTGAAGTTGTATTGCTACAACATGACATTTCGCAGCTCACACAAAATGTATTTTGCACTTCCCATATTTGATACTATGATGCTATTGGAGGCTTTTCTCGAATTAGCCCAGAACGTATTTTCTCATCTTCCCGGCTCTCTTCCTTTCTGTACAATGCAGCATCTCATGGAAGGGATTCAAGGGAAGCTTCAGCAGCAGCAGCACCCAAAGCAGAGTCAGATTTAGATTATACAGACATCCCTCATTCACAGATAAGAAAGGTAATTTAGCGTTTCCTGAACATGCTCGCTATCACCTAAGCCATTTTATCTTCAGACTGTTAAGTTCGGGAAATGATTATGCTGCAATGTTTTTCCACTTTTAACATTATGCTATAACAATTACAACAGGTGACAGCTTCACGTTTGTTGCTATCAAAGCAAACGATTCCCCACTATTATTTAACTGTAGATACATGCGTTGACAAACTTATGGAGTAAGTGCTGCTTATATCATCTGGGAATAACTTGGCAACCTCTTTTTATTGATTGCTTAATAATTGTTATATATGTATGTTTATATATTGCTAAAGGCCTAAAGTTGTTCCTCTTTTTATTGATTGCTTAATAATTGTTATATATGTATGTTTATATATTGCTAAAGTTGTTTGGTACCCTACCCTAGTTTGCTTAGTGCTACTTTTTTCTGTAGATTGCGTAGCCAGCTTAACTTATTACAAGAAGCTTCTGGTGGGAAAAAGATATCTGTCAATGATCTTGTAATTAAGGTATTATTTAATCTCGACTCAATGATATCATGAAGTGTCTACCTGGTGAGTTTTTGGTCCAAGTCAATTATACTTTAATGAACTCTATTGCAGGCTGCTGCTTTAGCTCTTCGAAAAGTTCCACAGTGCAATAGTTCATGGACCAACGATTACATTCGTCAGTAAGTTGAATGCTTACACAGTAAGCACCATTTTATGATTGCCATGGAACACTCGAAATTGAGATTCCACTTTTTGGACCAACACAGGTTTCACAATGTAAATATCAGTGTTGCAGTGCAGACAGATAAAGGCCTATATGTTCCTGTTGTTAGGGTGAGTTACAAGCTCGAAATTTCTTTGCAATCTTTTTTATTTCTAATTTCGTAAGTTCACTTAAGAGAAAAGTTGTATTTGGCAGGATGCTGACAAGAAAGGTTTATCCAAGATTGCTGAGGAAGTCAAGTATTTAGCACAAAAAGCAAAAGAAAATAGCTTGAAGCCTGAAGATTATGAGGTTTGGACTTTGGATTACCCTTTTGTGACTTGAATGTTTGTCTGTTTGATTCAAGTGTAATAAGTCATTTTATATACTTGTCTATTGCTAATCTCGTTTGCAGGGAGGCACATTTACAGTGACCAATTTAGGAGGGCCATTTGGTGTTAAACAGTTCTGTGCAATTGTTAATCCTCCTCAGGCAGCTATTCTAGCCATTGGATCAGGTAAAAAAAAAAAAGGATTGTCTTTCAACAATTTCAATCTCTTAGACTTCTCATCTCTCTTTTGCTTGAGCAGCTGAAAAGAGAGTGGTACCCGGTCAAGGTCCAGACCAATTTAAGTTATCATCTTTAATGTCTGCGACTCTGAGCTGTGATCATCGGGTTATTGATGGTGAGTTTTCAATATTCAACTAGTATGTAAAAGAACTCTAATCCAATTGTGTTTGCTTCACATATTAAGATACTAAAGCTGGAGGTTTCAATTTGTTCCCTGTTTATTAGGTGCAATTGGTGCAGAATGGCTGAAAACATTCAAAGGCTACATCGAGAACCCAGAATCTATGCTTCTGTAGATGATAGATCACTCTTTCTAGCTTGCATATCTTCATTAAAAGCTGATCACTTCTGGACTTCAAAATGTGTTTGCTTGACCTTTAGCAGATCCATCCACCCATTGGGTAAACACTTGACAGCTTCCAAATAACACGGCCTGGGGAGAAATACCTTAATGTTCTTTCATCCCAAAGGATACATAGATTCTTTTTTCCTGCAACAATAACAGCTGACGGCCACTTTGTTGTGTATCTGGACCACAGATTGTTACTCTGAAAGATCTTAATGCGCTCATAATTTCTTTTTGTCATTACGAAATTCTACACTTAGCACAGTTCAACCCTAGACAGTGTGTAATTTAATGCACCATGGCTAACTCCATCGTGTAACAATAGCAGCATACACACATAGATCAAAAGAACACAACAGTATCACACATAAATCTGTAAGAACAAGGTAAATTGTATACTCATCACCTGGTTTTTTCTGCAAAATTTATTGAATAGCACTATGCTACTACAACTACTAAAGAGTATATCAGAAAAAAATGTAGACATGTCTGGTAAAGCATGCACCCTTCATGCCCCAACTACATTGTTGATCAATATGACAATCAATTTCTCAAACGGTTGATCAAAATTTTTTTCTCTACTGATGTAAAACGTGAAAGGCAACAAACAAGACAAAGAAGAAAATTCTCAGATTGGAACATAGCGTTTCATTGCCTGTTTTGCGGTGACTCCCAATCCAACAACCACGCCGCCGATGACTCCGGCGACTGCTGCAGACCTCAGCCCCGACGCCGCCCTGTAGAGCGCGCCAGTGCCCAATCCCGCCACTACGCTGTTGATGACGTCATCCGTATCCCTGGCCGCGACCATGCCGCTCTCCATCCCAGCATAAAGCAGCCCGATAACGCCCGCCCGGTTCCCGAACTTCCGGCCCGTGTGGCCCGACCCGTTGAGGATTCTGTTGACCCGGAGTTTCATGGTGTCTCCAGCCTCCGAAGCTCTGACGCCGTCAACGAAACCTTTACCCGCCCCGACGGTGGCGCCGGCGAGATAGCCGATGCCTGTGTAGTAGGTGAGGTTCTCCCCCCAGGATCGGCGCTGCGCTACGGACTCCTCTTGAAAAAGGAATTCAGGGGACGTGGGGAGCTTGTAAAGAGACTGTATTGGAACTTGGAGGTCGTGGTAAGGGTTGTAGAGCCGTCGATTCTGAAGATCTTGGTCGTTATCTCCGTCGGCGTGATTCGTAGCTCCGGCCTGATACGCCATTTTACAAACTCGCTGTGATCTGCTCCGCCCCTCTCGTACTAAGGTTAGGGTTTGGCTCGAGCAATCAGAAAGAGAAACTCAGGTAGAGAGAGAATGCTGACCACCTTTTCTTATATTTATATGTATATAATGCGTAAGGAGAAAGAAATACGGAGTAGGCTTTCTGAGGTGACAGTATCCGTAATACGACGTCGTGGGCGCTTTACATATATATAACGAAAATTTCCTTTTATAATTTTCTAGAAAATTCTCAAAATAGTCATTGAACTATGTCTATTTCTTTCAAATTGGTCTTATACTTTTAATTGAATTCAAATTGGTCCTCAAACTATTAAATTTTAAACTAAATCGATTATCTGTTAGTTAGGCGTGAATTTAGTCGTCAAATTAAAGAGCAAAACATGAAATTTACATTGTATAATGTTTAGATTATTAGCGCTTTTGATTTTTCTTCCAAATTAGCGAAAGAATTGTTAAAGCCTGAAGAATCTTAATTCAATTGAAGCTAAACAAAAATAACGAAGTCGAAATTTTTATATAACATAATATATGAGTTGAATTTCATATTTTGCCCTTTAATTTGACATCAAGTTCACGCTTAATTAACGAATTATTAATTTGACCTAAAATCTAATAATTAAATGATCATTTTGAGTTCAATTAAAAATCATAGGACTAACATCTAAGATCATTTTGGAAATTTCCTCTATAATTTTCTATCGGAGAAGATAATTAAATCATTAATACATTAACTAATCCGGTTAGAGTGGGAAAGGAATGTACCTCCGTCCCGCCATGGCGCTATCAGCGCCGACGTGTTCCGGTTGCTCAATCGCGGCTGTTCGACGGATAAATGGCCTTTTCCGGGCTATTTTATCCTTCCCTGTTAGGCAATATTGTTTCCAGAGTGACCACTACTACAGTAAGAAGTCTCTGAAGTACTGGGATGACTTCTACAAGCGCCACCAAAACAAGGTCTCCGCGAACTTAGTTATTAGAATTTAATTTAAGGTGTTAAACAACTCTCTGAGTTAATAGTTTCAATTTTTATTTTACGGATTATAGTACATTTGCACGTTTCTACAGTTTTTCAAGGACAGGCATTACTTGGAGAAGGATTGGGGAAGGCATTTTTGTAATGAAGATGCTGATGGTAAAGGAAAGGTTGTTTTAGAGGTGATGACTTTGTATCCATCCCTTCGTCTTAAATTCTTAGAGTTCTCTTACTGAGCAACTTTGATTGTCAAAAATATGCAATTACAGGTAGGTTGTGGAGCTGGGAATTCAATTTTTCCCCTTGTTGCTGCATTTCCCAGGCTCTTTGTTCATGCTTGTGATTTTTCACCTCAAGCAGTAGGACTTGTTAAGGTAGGAGTGTAGGATAATCATTCTTTTCCTACTAAGCAGATTACATATTTGTCTCATCTCTATCTTTGTCAGGTCTTACTGAATTGAAATGTTTTTTTTTTTTCCCCCAATCTTTGTAAGTTGTCAAATTAGGTATTGAAGGAATGTGTTACTAAGCAGTCTTAATCTGGGATAGGGAAATATTTGAAATCTTGGGTTTAGCTGTTGTTGTTTGCGATGAGTAGTTATACAATTGTGTGCATTCATGAAGGAGCTTAACTTTGGATCTTATTAACACAGTCCCATGAAAATTTTGATGCTGAGAGGATACATGTCTTTGTCTGTGATGCTGCTAAGGATGATCTCAGTTCTGAAATCACATCCTCAACTGTTGATGTTGTTACCCTGGTAAGTGTAGGCAGTGACTAATGACTATTAGTGTTCTAGTTTGTGTATCTGCTTCCTATTTGTATCTATTGATTAAAGTACAAACATCTCTATTGATGCATTGTAATTGTCTTCCTTCATTTTTATCTTTATTGTTTTACAAGTTGCACCTAACTTCTTGGTAGATCTTTATGTTGTCTGCAGTTTCTCCAAATAAGATGCCTTCAATTTTACAGAACTGTAAAAAAGTACTAAAGGTACTCTTTGGTTGGATTAAAACATTTTCACTTGCTTTTCCTTTATTCTTTAATCTTGGCCTGTTTATGTCAGTAGATATGCTAATATTGCTTGTGTCTGCAGCCAAACGGTCACATTCTTTTTCGAGATTATGCACTTGGAGATTCTACTCAAGTAAGACATAATGTTGATTCAAGTTCAGAACATTATTATGGACCAAATTGGGTTAAGAAGCCTTTTTGTTGTTCTATTTCCTGTGCAAAAAGAGTGAATATTCTCATTTTACTTTTTAATCTTGAATCTACTTTCTATTTAATCAAGGCATGTTTTGATTCATCAAAACATGGAGCAGCTAGCTTTTTTTCATCAATATTTTTTGCCAATTTTTCAGGTGAAATTGCATAAGAGAAACCAGATGATTAGTCAGAATTTTTATTTTCGAGGAGATGGCACTGTAAGTGGTTGCAAAGTCTGGATATTGATTGTCATCAAGGTCTACCATTTTATTGTTTACAATTCTAATTCTAATGGTTTCTATTACTATGTTAGTGCTCATTCTATTTCTCCGAGGAATTATTGTCAACATTATTTGTACAAGCCGGATTTGATGTTGTAGATGTCAACACATACTGTATGGAAATAGAGAATCGTTATTGGAATATTACCATGCCAAGGTATGCCTATTATTCCTTTTTCTCATTGCCATTATGATTGGTTGTTCTTTATGTTCTCATCTTGACTGTGAATATATAAATTTCTATTATTCTTTATGCTTCCTACTAGCACTTTGCTGTAGCTAAGTTAACGATATTGGTAGATAGGTTCTTCCTTAGAGGGGAAAGTAATAGTAGAATATGGAAACATTAGATATCATTTCTTTAACAAGTTTATACTTGATTCCTAGCACAAATCAGTATCAATATACCTTGTGTATATCAACACATTCTGTCAGTAGAAATACTGTGATCTATGTCCGAGAGCCAACCTGCAAGCTGTTTAACTTCTAGATATTTATCCTTTTATTGCACCTTCATCTTCTGATGAATAACTGTTGGGGCTCCATCTTCTTAGGCGGTGGCTACGGGCTGTTTTCAGGAAGTCCTAAGTTTTGGATGCTTGCCCCATTTGCATTTTTTTGTATTCAGAGAAGAATTCTCAATGATCTAAGTCAACTTGCCCTTCAGATATTCGTTTATTCATTTCAGCCGATGTGACTACTATATGTCAGACACTGACTATGATTAATTGACATTCATGAGGTACGTGGACTGCTTGGTGCATTGTGGTATAAACCAAGATTAAAGGGAATGATATGTTTTGTGTAATTGCTGAGTCTGCAAAGCTGGAAATTTATGTTTCACATGCTAGTCATGGTGGGTTAGCTTATATGCAGTTTTTTAGCAGGGTTTAGAAAAACATGATTTTCTTAGGATGAACCCTCTTTTGTAAAATTATACATGTGTAATGACATTGGCTGGAATTAGCATTGGTATCAAAACCCAAATGAAATTTTGTCATAATGATTATTTCTTGCATATTTGTACATCTGTTATTTGTTATTATTATTATTATTATTATTATTATTATTATTATTATTATTTGCATATATATGAAAACTTTGGAGAAAAGTTCTGAAAAGTCAAATTGATACCATCACACATGTTCATTGTCAGTGTGGGTTTCTGTCAATGAAGGTCAATCTTTCATTGAATAAATGGAAGGTTATAAAATTACATCACAATGCACCCCACCCCCCAACCCCTGAAGAAAAAAAAAAGGATTGAGGAAAGGAGTGTGTTACAAGTTTTGGGTCACAGCATATTATATATACAACCAGCAGGGCAACAAAACAACCTACCAAAAGCTTCCTTCTTGATAGCACCCTTGAATGACTCGTTAAGATTGAAGAAAGAGAGTTTAATGTAGATAGAACTTACCTGGCTTATTGGTAAGGTTTCTGGAAAATTTTGAGGTCTCTTAGTCGTTCCAATTCAGGCAATATGACTGAACCAAGATCTGGTCTATCACCCCCCCTCAATTCACAACACTGCACAGCCAAATTTGCATAGGATAGAGCATCCTGGACAGGCCAATCATTCACTGCCGGATCAAGTATGCCTGCAAAATTTCCTTCTTCTATTGCCATCTTAACATGGTGTGCCAGGCCTATTGGAGGCCTAGCCGTAATAATTTGTAACAGCAATACACCCAGTGAGTAAACATCTGATTTTGTACTCAACTTCCCGGTTTGTTGATACTCGGGGTCAATATAACAGAATGTCCCAGCGGCTGCTGTCATTTGATACTGAGTGACACAATCAGCCACAGATGGTGGAACTAGCCTGGCTAAGCCCACGTCAGCGATCTTGCTCACATAATTTCTATCTAAGAGAATGTTTGCAGGTTTGATATCACGATGCACGATGGGGGCTGGTTTTGTCTTATGAAGGAAGTGAAGGGCAGTGGCTATCTCAGCAGCTATTTTGAAACGGATGTTACATGGTATTGGAGGCGTGTTGTTTTTGCAAAAGAGCCTATCATCTAAGCTGCCATTATCCAAGTATTCATAGACAAGGCAACCATACTCGTGGCAGGCACCCATCAAGAGAACCATATTTGGATGCCTTAAGCTGCTCAGAATCCCAATCTGCAGCATAAAAGTAAGTTGCAAGAGAAATAGTTTATTAAGCTAGGCTGGCATTTGGCATATATATATATATATATATATATATATATATACACACACTGAAAACAATGGATCTAAAATACCTCTTGCTGAAACTGTATATGCCCTTGTGAGATATCAGGCCTCAGAACTTTAATAGCAACATCCATGCAGTCCATAAAGGCCCTGAACACCGGGCCATATCCACCTTCACCAATCTTTCCTGAATCTGCAAAATAATTTGTTGCAACTTCAATCTCTTCAATTGTGTATCTTCTATACTGAAACTTGTTGTGTTCTAATGTATCTACTGCCTCCTGCTGACGCTTAAATTCTGTGTCCTTTTTCTTCTGGGATTCCAATTCTGCTTTGTGTTGTGCCATTTCTTCTCCAAAAGTACTCTTGCTCTTTATATGCTTCTCCCTTTGTATAGTGAGCAGTGCAGGGGCTTGCTTGGAATCTTCTAATCTGTGCTTCTCTTCTGGCTTCCGTTCAAATCCTCTTAAAACCTGGTAATGAAATACAAACTCGTTGATGTACTGATACACACCCAAGGGAATGGGTGGTTTACTCACGCAAAAAAAGGGAATCAATACAAGATTGGAAAGCAAGAAATCTGGACAGCAAATCAGGCAAATCAAACAATCAACACACTGATCAAGGGACAAGTTGAAATCATGCAACTTGACAGAAATAAATCAGCTTCTCAATTCTCTCCCTTTACTATATTTATTTTCTGCATTGCATTATAAAGTGTAACCTTCTCAAGAGAGGAGGGCATCCGATAATCTTCCTTAGTCTTTAAGCTTTAGTAGCTAGGCAAGAGCCTAAAACTCTTGTGGGGCAAGAGCCTAAAACTCTTGTTGGGGAAAGTCTTGTGACTTCCTGTTTTTTTTTTTTCTTTAGTTTCTAGTCTATCAAAATACCTCCTTGTTCTTTTCTCTAACAAATTGGTCCGACCTGCCGTTGAATGGCGAACACACAAGATTCCCGCATAGAGACGTTAGAGAAGAACCAAGATGCAATCCGTACAGAGTTGACTACATTGACCGATCGATTTACAGCCATAGAAGCTTCTGTGGCTAGGATGTCTGATCTCATCGCTCTCTCCTTCCAAGGCGGAGGGCACAACAATGCCAATGCTTCATCAACTTCCATCCCACGCCGAATTCAACCTCTCTTCCAGAACATGTTCAGCCGGACAACACCTCGCTGCCCATTGGAAAAACAGAACTTCCTACATTTGAAGGCACAGATCCGATTGGGTGGTTAGCTAGAGTGGAGCAGTACTTTGCCACTCATCACACCCCAGAGGATTTGAAGGTCCCAACAGCTTTCGTTAGTATGGAGGGGGCAGCTCTGCATTGGCTCCGATGGCTACAACAACAACAACCCACTCTTACTTGGACTCAATTCACACATGACCTTTTGGAAGAATTTGGCGAAGAATTGCCTGGGCCACCGTTTGAACAGCTTGCCGCTCTTCGTCAAACGGGCTTGGTGGATGAATTCATAGCTGCGTTTCGAGCGCGCATTGCCCAAATTCCTGGACTTGCTCCTCACATTCAATTAGGGCTTTTTTCTCAATGGCTTGAAACCTGCAATTCGGGTGCGGCTCTGACCGAATGATGTGACAGATCTCCGAACAGCGCGCGGCAGAACGAGAAATTGAATTTCTCTCCACAGGACGGCTCCTTGGACGCAGTCTGCATGACGAAAATGCAGCGCTCCAGATAATTCATTCACATAGTGGGTCTACTTGGTCTAATGGGCATGGGAAGAATTCCCAAACCAATTCTGTTTTGAATTATTCACAGCCCAAACCCATTCCAACCCAGTCTCAATTCTCTGGTAGCAATCAAACATCTTCCTTCTCCTCCCAAACACAACCTGCGTTTCCTGCTATGCAATCTTCGGTGCGCAATTCCGACACGTCAACGTCACGAGCTCCGGCATGACATTATTCTAACAAAGAGTATCTAGACATGCGCGCCAAGGGACTTTGTTTCCGTTGTCAGCAACCGTACAGTCCGCTTCATGTATGCCTGAATAAATCCTTGCGAACTCTAATTGCAGCAGAGGATGACGAGGACGAAACGAGCGACGAACCTGGTGTAACTGACCAAATTGACACCGGGCAATATAAGACAATTTTTCCACTCTAGCCTTGGGGACAAGGCTGTTTCTTTGGTGGGTGGCAATGATACACACCCAAGGGAATGGGTGGTTTACTCACGCAAAAAATGGGAATCAACATAAGATTGGAAAGCAAGAAATCTGGACAGTAAATCAGGCAAATCAAACAATCAAACAATCAACACACTGATCAAGGGACAAGCTTAAATCATGCAACCTGACAGAAATAAATCAGCTTCTCAATTCTCTCCCTTTACTATATTTATTTTCTGCATTGCATTATAAAGTGTAACCTCCTCAAGAGAGGAGGGCATCCAATAATATTCCTTAGTCTTTAAGCTTTAGTAGCTAGGCAAGAGCCTAAAACTCTTGTTGGGGAAAGTCTTGTGATTTCCTGTTTCTTTTCTTTAGTTTCTAGTCTATCAAAATACCTCCTTGTTCTTTTCTCTAACATGTACACCCTATGAACAGATGTTCAATGTGTCATGATCAATACAAGTAGTACTAACCGCCTGTTTAGCAAAATCTGCTTGTTTGGTAGCTTCATTAAGTTTTGCTAGGGTCCTGTTTAATTCTTGTCTTAGTCTTATCACTTCCTCATCTTCTTCCACCTGTAATATATGCATCACAGTAAGCGGAAACACAAGTCTAGTGAGATATTTCATAATTTTTACTCTCCTTTTCCTGATTGGAAACTTATATGAACTCACCCCTATGGCAGAGATGATAGAGGCCCCAGAAGTAGCATCTGAAATGACAGAATGTTCATAGTGTCCAAATGACACATTGGAGGAGAGAGTCGTTGGCCCTGAAAGTTCAGTTTCAGCTTCAGAACAGAACGAGCTATCTCCAGTATAACCACCATGGAGATTTAGCTGGCTATGCTTGTCGTGCAGCATCTGTTGCATAGAACCGGCGCTAGTTTTTGCAGGGGAAGGATTCTTGTTGCCATAGTTGTTGGTAGGTCTTGGGCCTCTTGGCGTTGCCTGTGGAGAAGTCATATTCCTGCAGCCAAGCTGCCTCAATAACATCTGTGAGGTATTATTGTCAGTGATGCTCTTTGCAGAACTAGCACTGCTAATGCTGGACATGCTCTCCCATTGGCTCCTTGGTATAGATTCACTGCTGTAGCTGATGGTGCTGGCGGCAGATGGCGGCGGCAAAGGATTCTTGCAGCCTTGAAAACCGTCCCAGGGATCACCTCCTCTCCTCTCAACCCACCCCTGGCTGCCTCCATCACAGGACTCCATAGAGCCTGCACTGGATCTCCAAGTCCCCTGGCTGAAAATGAAGCCAACCAGAAAACTGAATGATCGTGTTCTGTTTCAACTAACAGTGAAACTGCATATCTACCAGAGCTTTCTTACCTAGGGAAATCCCCGATAAAATGGGTATCAGGTGAAGGTAGACTTGACAGAGGTGAATGGTGGCCGGACTTGCCTCCCACAGGAGGACGAGTAGCTGTTCTTATGTTGTGCACTTTCCCCTTGGAGGATACTACATGCACCGAACAGAAATCAGGAACCGATTTTCCTAAGCTGGTCGGGACATCAGCATTCTTAAACGCTCTGTCAGACACAACAATGTACAACCAATCAAGAATCCATTATAATCCCCTCATCCAACAGAGCTCTGAAACCTGCAGAGGATCATTGAACTGGAAATACCTTGCGAGAACGCCCCTGTTTGAAGCTCCCACCACGATGTTGGCAATGGAACACCCACATATATACTCAGATAGCGAGGTGGCAACGTCAACCCCAACCAAAATCACCTCTCTTGCTGCAACCTGCAAGAACCCAAATAATCTCATGCATCCACCAGCTTCAGTTTGCATCTCCTTTCAGATACAAATACTAGCCAAGTTGGTAAGACTCTTGACTTAGTAACTACAAGATTTCATGTTTAACTCCCAATGGGAGCGGTTTTGAGCTTTTGACCACCTAGACTGGTTTACTTCATTGTGGCCCGGTCGATTAGATCACAAGATGACAATATGTGATTTACTCACTGCACATCCTTTTGGATAGTGAGAAAAATAAAATATAAAGACGAGGACTAGGACTTACCCCTCTTCGAGCACATAAACCACGGAAAGGAAGGAAAAAGCTGTGCATTTCATGCGCTGTTGTGCCCCGATCCGCTAAAGAAACAATCTTTTGTTAATTGATTTGATGAATGTAACAGCAAAGGCGAAAAATCAATGAAATACACGTACATGATTGCATGGTCTGTTGGAGGAAGACATGGGCGAGGATGATGGTGCGGGATTTGATGGCGAGGTTTTCCAATGCCCATTTGACAGCCTGTTGGCTGTTCTTGTCTTTGTCTATGGCCACGGCGGTAACGCTGCCGATTTCTTGATGACCCATCGCGATACTATTCCTTTGCCGCGCCGTGAAAATGTGTGTGTATATATATATAATGTATATATATAAAGAATGGATATTTACCTACCTCCGGCCTTCAAATATGTATGTTGGCTGTGCTGTTTGGCCGGAAGGTTGGTGTACACGGCGGTGCCACTACCGGACCACCTGTTAAGCACAGCTACGCATGATGCATACCCGCCCGGAGGAGATGGAGCAATGGTTAGTTATTTGCCATAAATATTGAAAAATGGTTGTTGGGCTCCCAATTTCATATTCCTTATTTTTCTCGGGTTCTTATTTGGGCCAACCTAACCCGACTCCATTCCAATTCTCAAGCATGCATGCGCATCATTATATCCATAGATCATAGTTACTACTTTGTACTTCTTGTTGGAGGTAAATTATATTGCACCATTAATAAATGTTCCTTCTTAATATATTAAATGTACATTATTTGTTTATTAAAAATTTATTATTTGGTAGTATATATATCAAATAATATATCTTTAAAAATAAACATTTAATGTATTAAAAATAAATCTTATGTCAATGGTCTATGATATAATGATTGTTCGACAGAACAATAGGTTCGACTGAAAGAATATTGATTAGAATCAAAATGTTGGGTAACTCTAGGGATAACAACGGTCCTTGTTCAACTCCTGGTTGAAGTGTATAATTAGTACAAGTTTTAAGTATATTATTAAGTATAATAAGAATATATAGACTAGAGATCAAATACGGAGTTCTTAGGTAAAAAAATGGGTGAAATATTAGCCATTGATCTAGCAAAAATCAATAGCTCAAAATGAAGATTTTTACTTTTTTTTTTATAAAAAAAATACAGTGGCATTATGGTAATTTTGTATAAGTTCAATGCTTAAGGTGCGCAAGTTTAAAGCTTAAGGTGTGTAAGTTTATAACTTAAGTGCGTAAATTTATAGCTTTAGTTATTGCCTAAGTTTAAAACTTAAGGTGCTTAAGTTTATAGCTTAAGGTGCGTATGTTTAAAGCTTAATGTGCGTATTTTTAAAGCTTAAGGTGCATTGATTTAACTCTTAAGGTGCACGACTTACAGACTCGCATAAATTTCAAGCTCAAGGTGCATCAGTTTCCAACTTAAATGCATGAATTTAACTCTTAAGGTGCACAACTTTGATTCATTAGGAATATCGACTTACATACTCTAGGTGCATAAATTTAAAGCTTAAGGTCCATTATTTTATAGCTTAAGGTGCATCAGTTCAGTAGCTAAGATGCATCATTTTAAAACTTAAGGTGCATCAATTCAATACATAAGGTGCAATAATTCGACACTTAAGGTGCATCAATTCAATACATAAGGTGCAATAATTCGACACTTAAGGTGCATCAATTCGAGACTTAAGGTACATAAGTTCAGTACTTAAGGTGCATAATTTCGACACTTAAGGTGCATCAGTTTGAGACTTAAAGGTACATAAATTTGAAGACTTAAGGTACATAAGTTTGAAGACTTAAGATACATAAGTTTGAAGACTTAAGGTGCATCAGTTCAGAGCTTAAAGTGCATATATAAGTTCAACACTTAAGGTGCATCAGTTCGAAACACTAAAGATCATTTGCATCCATATTGTCAGGAAACACGTTTTTTTTTTTTAAAAAAAAAAAATCCTTCATTTTGAGTTGTTGATCTAATTTAGATCAACAACTCAGATCTCACATCATTTTCACCAGGGAGACCCTTCGCAGAACCATCCCTTATATGTGTGTGTGTGTGTGTATGTCACACACACAGAGGTCGAGTCAATATGCAAATTTAATACTTATACTAGTAAATGTAATACTAAATCATGAATAAATTGTTTGTTACTTATAAAGAAAAAAATAAAAATGTAATAATAATAATAATAATAATAATAATAATAATAATAATATATTATTATTATTATTATTATTATTATTATTATTATTATTATTATTATTGTGGTTGGGGTATCCTCGTACCCATTCTTGTTCTCCATTTTTTTTTTCTTCCTCATCCCCATTGGAGCGGGGATCCGTTGGGTTGGAAAAAAAATCGTCATTCTTAGGTAGTTCTTGTAGTCCATGAAGATGTCATAAGGTTCTTGGGTGGCAACGGGTGATTCTTGAAACTGATGCCCAGGTGGTGACATGTGCTGTTGAAGATGGAGTGCATCTTACTCCTTTCGGGGCTATAATTCATGAGGTAAGGACTTCTCTTAAGCAGTTACCTTTTATTACTTTTGTTTTTGTGAAGCGTGATGGGAATACATCATCCCATGTTTTGGCTAAGAAAGGCTTTATGTTATGAGGGAGAGAAGAGGGTTAATTATTGTTATGATTTTATTTCTGCGTTTCTTTCTGCTTTCGTTTGTACTCACCTTATGATGGTTTAATTTAATATATGTGTGGTTTGTTTGGTTTTCAAAATTTTTTTATTTTTTATTTTACTTATATAAAATAATTTAAGTAGTCGTTTAATTAACGTCTAGTCTTACTTTCAAGACACCTAATGAGTCATTGGTCAAACATTGCATGCAATTCCCCATATACAAGTGTATACAATGGTTTGGTTGTCTAAAATGTCTTATTAGCTAAGTAGGCTCTTTCTCTATCAATAGACCAAACAGGCAATTCCCCACTCAACCAACCTTCTTCACTGTCCAAACCTCATTGGCCATCGGAGACCATCCCAAACACCCCTAAATAACGTGTCACTCTTTTAGGGTTTCACATGTATATTTTATCACTTTTTAAATTTTGAATTCATCCTCCATATCCCAAGTGTGATCAAGCCATCTAACCAATTCTTACACGTTAGGCTATTTTAATAATTTGAACAAGAAAATTATAAGTCAAATGACAAATCATCGGATTTTTCAACTACCTCCCACTTTCTAGTATTACACCCATGCATCTATTTCCCTAGAGAACTTCATTGTCATCCTTGGCCTTCCAAAAAATAAAATTATTAAAATATCATAAAATTTGTTAACCGTAATCACATAACTTAATATAACGTATTTTCAAAAAAAAGTAAGAATAATATAATAAACAATTACATAATATAAAAAGAAAATTTCACAATTACGTTATTATAAATAAGATTTGAATGAATGGTTGTGTTCTTTTCATTAGGCGGCACGCCAATACTGAAGGCGTGGGTCGATATGCAGCTAGACTGTTGGATTGGGAGTATTGTTTGGATTATTAGACCACCGTGGTTGTCATATAATTCCATCAATTATAGATGCTTCTTTATTTTCTGCCTAATCTGATCTGGATTCAACTTTTTAACATGTCATACAAATGCAAAAGTTGATTCTTTGGTCCTAAAAAGAGTGACTAATTGAGTTGAACATGATTCACGTACCTAAAATATTTGATTATATATGGTTCTTTATTTTTGGGTAAGGAAGAATAATAAGTGATGGGTTTTCAAAAAAGAATAATAAGTGATGGAATATACTTGCATTAGTACTATAGCATAACCTTTGTGATTGGATCAAGGCACATGATTATTGAGGAGCCAAGTAAAATAATGAGTACATTTTTAGGTAACGGCTGACCTGCCAAGCATGGACACGTGGTCTTCTTGAAGTTTGTCTCATGGAAAGTCCATGATTTTAATATAAAGAAATTAGAGTAACCTAATAAAAAGCCATTCTTTCTTTCTACCCTTCTTTTCTTTTTAAGATAAAAATGGAATTTTTATTAAAATAAAAAACAAATATTAATAGTGATGGCAAGAAGAAGAAGGCACTGTGGTGCCAAAGCATTTTTCTGTGTCCAGAGCATTGATTGGAGTTAGATAATTGAATGCATACGTGTCACTTCCATGTACCCAATAGTAAAAAGCTTTTCCACAAACATCTCTTTCTCTTTCCTCCTTCAAGACAAGACTCCCAGGCACAGAAAAGAAGGGGCAAAATAAAATTTTTAAGGGAAAAGAAAGAGGACATTGCTGCCCATACTTGGTGAGCCATCAGCAATTTGGGGTTTCTATTCTATGTTGGTGAGAATCTGTCAACTGTTTATCTAATTCATTGCAAACTACTGTAAATTTCTTGATTTTATTTCTATTTTTGTTGGATTAGAAATACCATGTGACTTTCTTGTATTTCTTTTTCCTTTTTTGTAAATTTTGTAGCTCAATATTCTTGGGGATTTTTTTGGGGGGTGGGGTTGGATCTTTGTTGTGGAGGGAGGAACAAAAAGTAAGGAAATACTGTATAAATTAAATTAAGAAAACCCATATTTCAAGAGGTTGAGAAGTGTTGCCTTAGATCCATGAAACCCAAGTTCCATGTGGCAAAAAGGCACCATCTTTTTAGGGTTTTCCTTGTGATTCTTGGGGTTCGGGGTAGTAGGGTTGTTGATTTTCATTTTCTCACCTAGGTTCTTTTCCATGATCTCTTTTTCTCAGCCCCTTCTTGAAATTTATGGATAAGGCTTTGATTTTGTCCTTTTCTACTTCTTTCCCTCTATTTAAGGGTTGGTGGTATGCTTGGTTTGATTATCCTCTAGAAGGGAATTGGATTTTACTAGTTCAAGGTATTAGAGAGAACCCAAACTCTGCTTTATCTTCAATTGTGTTATAAATAAGTTTAGATCCATTTACATCACTAGATCACCTCACTCATATTTATTTTCTTTTGATAATTTCTAGCTCTGTCCACCTTTAGTTTGCTCTTGGAAATCTTCAAATCTTCAGGAGGCTGTTGACTGAGGCCTTGTTGCTGATTTGCTGTATCTTTCCTCATCATCCTTGCTTTTTATTGTACTAAATGGTGATAGGACGGGGGGGACGGGATCAATGTTTAGGCAGAAGAAGTTGAGAAAGCTCAGGTGTGATTGACTTGTGGCTTTGCTAGATTTTTTGTTTATATTGTGCTGTTAATTTCCAAAAGTGGGAATTAATGGAAGAGATGTCTCCAGCTGTTGCCGTTACCCTTAGCTTAAGTAACACGATTGTTGATAGCCCTGTAATGTCGAACCACGTGGAAATTACTAGGCTGAAACTAGTGACTGATGCCGCGAGTTTGCTTGCAGAGCCAGCATCGTTGTTGCATGCTGACTCCAATTCTAGTTGGGATGGCGTGAAAGTTGATGTTAGTATCGGTTCCTTGTTTGCATCGGGAGAGGTAGGAGGATCTGATCTCTCGGAGTCTGTGCTGAAACTTGGCAAAGATCTGACCTTTAGTGATGCCATGATTCAGGAAAATGAGTACGATGAGATTTTGTCGGTTGGGGAGGAGCCTAACGAGATTAACGGGGCCTCAGATATAAGTTTGCCCATTGCTGTCGAGATTGAAGGCATTGATAACGGCCAAATAGTTGCTAAGGTTATAAGTTTGGAGGAAAGAAGTTTCGAGAGGAAGGTGATTAACAATCTATCCTCCTTAGCGGCCTGCTCGAATGAAGGAATAATTCCACCCGGTCCTACAATTAAAGCATCGGTTGTGGCTCTTCCATTGCCTAGCGAGAAGGACCCTGTGAAAGGAGGCGTGAAGAGTGTTTTCGAATTGGATTGTGTACCACTCTGGGGTTCGGTGTCTATCTGTGGAAAGAGGCCGGAAATGGAAGATTCAGTTATGGCAGCTCCACACTTTATGAAAATTCCGATTAAGATGTTTGTTGGTGATCGTGTGCTGGATGGACTCGGGCAAACGTTGAGTCACCTAACTTCTCATTTTTTTGGAGTATACGATGGTCATGGAGGATCCCAGGTATGCCTCATTTATTATATTGTTTTTATTTAAAGAAAAAGAGAATCGTTCTTGAAATGTCATATGTTGTGTGTAACTGAAAGGATAGTTTATGGTTGATAGCTGTATAAGTTTGAAACAGCATTTCAAAAAATATTCAACTCTTCAAGTTTTTATGGCTTGGGAGCTTTTGTCTTGCAGGTTGCCAACTACTGTCGGGAACGGATCCATCTGGCTTTAGCCGAGGAGTTGGAAATGCCCAAAGATGATTCGATAAGCAATAATACAACAGACACTCGGCTATTGTTGTGGGAGAAAGTCTTTAGAAGCTGCTTTCTGAAGGTCGATGATGAAGTTGGAGGAAAAGTGGAGAGAGGCGGCCCGGGAGATGATGTTTGCACATCCGACCCTATTGCCCCTGAAACCGTGGGGTCCACAGCTGTGGTTGCGGTGATTTCTTCGTCCCATATTGTCGTTGCAAACTGTGGGGATTCAAGAGCTGTGCTTTATCGTGGGAAAGAAGCTATGGCTTTGTCGATTGATCACAAAGTATGGCATATTGTTAACTGCTAATCTTTCTTTCACATTACCGTGCTTTGAGAAAACGCATCTTATTTCTTTCTTTCGTTGATATGGTTTTTCTCAGCCTAATCGAGAAGATGAGTATGCAAGAATTGAAGCATCAGGTGGCAGGGTGATACAGTGGAATGGACATCGCGTTTTTGGTGTTCTCGCAATGTCAAGGTCCATTGGTAAGTAGACATTAACAGGGTGTTTGGTTCACTGTAATTTAGCTATAGTTGAATTGCAATTCAGTGGATGCCTCAATTACACTGTTTGGTTGGAGGGAATTGCAATTCCCTCCTTTTGTTGAATTGCAATTCAATGAATTTGAGAAAGGAAAAACATATGAAATGACATTACTACCCTTGGTTGTTATTACTATTATTATTACACAAGGATATTTTAGTCTTTATACCACTTATTTCATTCTCAATTCCAATAATTCTATTTCTCCCTACCAAACAACGTAATTTGAATTCTTACTTTATTCCCACCTTATTCTTTTCCCACCGAATTACAATTCCTTTCCCCCCTAATTCCTTCCTTCCAACCAAACGCCCCGTTAAGACAGTAAGAATCTTAAACAATCCTATTATTATAATTTTTTGTTGGCTTCTACTACATGCTTCTCAGCCTGACCACCTCGGATTTTCCTCAGGCGACAGGTACCTTAAACCATGGATTATACCGGAACCAGAAGTCATGTTTATTCCCCGAGCTAGAGAAGACGAATGCCTAGTCTTGGCTAGCGACGGGTTGTGGGATGTGATGACAAACGAGGAAGCATGTGAGGCAGCCCGAAAAAAGATTCTGATTTGGCACAAAAAGAACGGTTCGAACCATTTTGACAGGGGCACGGGAGTCGATCCTGCTGCACAAGCTGCAGCGGAGTATCTTTCCATGCTTGCTCTCCAGAAAGGAAGCAGAGACAATATCTCCATTATTGTAGTGGACTTGAAAGCTCAAAGGAAGTTCAAGACCAAATCATAAAGACTTAAAAAGTGACACTATGGCTCACCATTATTCAGCACTAATACAATTCATGTAAGCCATGAATTTACACTGTCATTATTACATATAATTTTGGTCCATTCATTTTTCATATGGGCTTAAAGTGTGTGTAGGGTTATAGTGCTTAGTATGTATTCATAGAAAACAGTTTAACAGATGACCCTTTTCCTAATTTTTGCTTTTCTCATACACTGCCAATATGTTTATGTAAATCTAGTTGTGTTGTAGAAACAGTGAGCTGTAAAATCTCTTGTATTTAGCCCATGAATGTTCTTGCATCTAGCAACCAAAGTTCAGGAATGTTGCAGAGTTGTGATTTCAGATTGTTATTACTGCACCTCTCTGTACAGATGAATGTATCTTCTTTTATTTTCGGTGTCGAGAAAAACCCAATCACTAACCGAAGACACAGGACAAATCCCGTCTTATGACCCTAACCAGCAAAGGACGTAAACCAGTCTAGGTTGCCAATAGCTGATCTGCTCAAATCAAGAAAGCCAATAGGCTGCTTCTACTGGGAGTCAAACTTGGAACCTCGTGATTGTCAAGCTAATAACACGTATGTATCTTTGAATGAACAGGAGAAAGGCAAATTGTAAATTGATAGAATAAACCATGATTGTATAAGATGGAGTACAAGCTGCCCAGTCACATGCAGAAATGTCTAAACAAAAATGCCTGAAACTGGCTATGGTTTTTAAAACACAAGAAAAATATTCAAATGCTTCTTTACTTTCGCCTTTTCCTTTTTGTTGTGAATTTCAGAGGGACAGGGAGTGTGGCTAGAAACGCTCGCTTCTCCTTAACGAATTTGCAACCCAGTAACTCCAAACGAGGCCTTAAATCTCCAGCACTCATTCTGAGATCTTTGGCTATGTCTGATGGATCACTTCGGAAATTGTCAGCGTATAAAGTGAGAACAAGTACGTAACTGATGAGGAGATCAATTTTTTCAGCAGGAAGTCTCTTCGACTCTGAAACACCAAACAGTGACGAGAATTTCTGGACTAACATGCCTGGAATTTTGTGATGCTTTGCAGAAGAAAAGCCATCCATAGAATGCTTATCCTTGAACTTAACAAGATGAGTAATGTATGAAAAAATCCCAGCCATTCTTCGCTTCTGTGTCTCATCCTGTAACATAATTGAAAGTAAAAGGTGTAACTGCAGTTTAAACAGACATTTTTGCTGCACAAAAACATTATGATTTCAACAAATAATAGTAGCAAAAAGTGATTTCTGCAATGAACATCACCACCAACCCTGTGAGGCAATAAATACACTACATTCTGATTGTGGCTAACACATACCAAGAGAAATGAATACTGATCAACTAATATGTAATATCCTTGCTAAATGAACTAGATCGCTCCCTATCCAGTCAATCTGAGATAATCCATCTTAGAAACACAAAATGTTATCCCATGTATCACGTGATTCACGTCTCCTCATACAGACTAGAAAATAAAATTCAATAATGTAAAAAACTTATGGTGAAATGTGAACACTATAGTTGTTATTACCTTAATATCTGCCAATTTATACGTTCTGTTGCATACAAAGCTTGGAAAAGCATCAAGTGGAATGCGCTCTCCAGTTTCCAAAACATCAAAGATATCTGAGAGATAATCCCACTCTCCCTTGGCAATAATCTTGTCCAGTGGATATGCTGCCTGAGGTGTAGTGGCATCCAAATCATGTGGTGGGATATTGCGGCCACCACCATCTGTTGCGGTGGCGATGGCAACGTTAAGAGCTTCTTGATTTATGAGCTCGTTCCCTTCAACATGCTCGGCACCGGCATTTGCTTGTTCCCGCAAAGTATCAAGTTTCTTAGCCTGCAATGCAATCACCATCATAAATCAAAGCATCAAATACTCCTTAATAAATTCAGAACCATACTTCAATTTTCCTATTCCAGGTGAATCCATGAAGGCCTAGGGGCAAGACGGTAGCTAATTTAACTCCACTTTTGGCTATGGAATGTACAAATTGTTGATAAAGAAAATATTTTTCCTACAATTTGCCAGTAGAAAAAATCAGAAAAAAAGAATACCTTTCGAATAGATTTCTTGTTAGAGTACATTTCAGTTAAAGCTCTGGTTTTGAGAGCCTTTTCCTCTGCAGTGAGCTGTTTCTTATCCATATTTTCATCTTCTGGTATGTCAACTCCTGCAACCTTAGGATCCAATCTAATAACCTAGACAGAGAAGAGGCAAAATCCATGAATAATTAAGAAGCATATACAGAATATAGCACTAATATTTATATATATCCCCAAAAACAACTAAAACTAACCTTGTTTCCAGCAATAGGAACAATCTTAAGCGTTTGGGTCTCCTTGTCCAACACTCCAATCGCGTAATTACAGAGCTGAGGAGCCGTAGCCTCGCCGGAATAATTCGTCCCAACGAAATCCACCGGGGAGTCATTCTGGCTCACGGCGAGCTGTAACCTATTACTCCTTTTTGTATGTCTGTAAACCCTGACCGTGGCATCCGATTGCTCGGCAGAATTTTTTGTAAACGGATCGGAACCGGACGCAAAGTACCCGACAATCGGGGAGATTTTATCTGGGTCTGAGCTCAAAGTTTGCATCTTCACAGTCAGCGTCTCCTCCTCTCCTTTCTGCTTCTCGTTTTCAGCTTCTTCATATGGTATAGGGTTTTCCACATCCAGCTTCTTCTTCTTTTCCTTCCTCTCCATTGTTGAAGATTCCTGCCTCGCGGCGAATGCTAGGGTTTAGTGTCGATCGAGCTACTTTGCTACTCCAAATATATTTTGGAGGTCAGCTGTAACGCCCCCAATGTTTTCCAAATTTGTACCTGTTTGTAGATTTTTAAAAGGAATATAGGTAAATTGAACTAAACATAATAATGCAATGAGTAAATATATAAAATGGTCCTTCGACTATAGTTAAATTCACAAATTGGTCTTCGACTTTTAATTTCAACTAATTAAGTCCTTAACTTTGTAATTTTGACACGATTTGGTCCTCTATCTATTTGATCATTTGTTGACCATGATCCGACGATCTCCAGAAGAACCTTCAGCTCTCGTCGGAGCACGTGGAGGCCTCCAGGATGACGTTGCACCGGTTGGGAAACACGTCGTCTTCTTCGCTTTGGTACGAACTCAACTACATTGAATCCAAAGGGAGGATGAAGAAAGGCAACCGGATTTGATAGATTGCTTTCGGCAGTGGATTAAAATGTAACAGTGCGGTCTGGAAATGCAAGCGGAATCTTAGAAACCCGACGATGGACCATGTAATTACATATATATCCTCAAAAATCACAGTCAACAAACGGTCAAATAAACAGATGATCAAATTGTGTTAAAATTACAAAGTTAAGGACTTAATTAGTTAAAATTGAAAGTCGAGGGACCATTTTGGGTATTTACTCTAATGCAATTATGTCATTGAAGTTTAAAAAAAATTACAATCGAATTATTAAACTAATTAATTTCATGTAATTCCTTTAATTTATAGATATTTCTAATTTTTAATAGGTCACCCAAATTTAAAATATTATTAAAAAAATAATTATTTAAAATTTATATATATATATATATATATATATATATATATATATATATAAAAGAAGAAGAAGATGTCTTCGTAGGAGTCTCCAGTCATGAACACGAAGAAGAAACCTTCTTCGTCTTTGGTTGAAGAAACCTTCTTTATCTCCGACCAGAGACAAAAAAGATATCTTCGTCTCCATGATTGAATATGAAGATAGTTTTTGTCTTCCACCAAAGACAAAGAAGGTCTATTATTATTATTATTATTATTATTATAACAAATAAAATGTTTGTTTTTTTTTAGAAAATGAACCAAACAAATACAAAAAAAAAAAAAAAAAAAAAGATACTTTTCTAACACTCAGCTAAAAATCATAAAATTAATTTTTATTTCTTAAAGTCATTTTATAGAAATCATTTTCCTGATTTATAAACGGACCCTTAATGGAAGCAGTTTATGTATTTATTTATTTATTTATTGAGTTTGCTAGCTATAGGTAACTTAGGATGACGTATATGAGATTTATCGAGTGCATACTCTCGGATAGTATACACAAAGTTCCCTTTTCACTCAAAAAAGATCAATTTCGATCGAATTAAGTAATGTCAAATTGATATATACACTATGTTAAAAAATGTCTAGACCAAATATAATAATAATTATAATAACCGATCAAAATGAGTCAAATTGTGTTAGTTGATTGTTGATATTTAATACAGAGTACCTGATAGCACATTATATTACTTGTTTTGATTAATGAATAGTACTAGTTGTGCCTGACTACCCGTAAACTAAAAGTTACAAATTTTCAACATTAATAGTAAAACTAATTAAATTTAAAATAAATAATTACGTGGGTTTTGCTGTATAAGTAAGTTGAATTATTATTTTCATTTCATAACCCAAAAATCAATAAATATGAAATTATAAATGCAAGTTGATGGAAGTGAAAGCTGCGTACAAGACACGAGAGCATAGCGATTGATAAAGCGCTGGTTCCGCGTTTTATAACTACACTTTTCTGCCAAACCCAAAATAATAACATATCTTTACTACTGGACTTTCCTTTTTGTGAGCTGTAACCTGTAAGTGGTATGCAATTTGGATTCACAAACATTTTTAAATAGTCTTTATATTTAACTCTTTCATTGATTATAACATTTACTTTTTTTTTCTTATCATTATAAAATTTCAGTTTTTTTTCTTTTTTTTTTTGAAAACAAAAAATTTCAATTTTAGCGTACTAACATTATATGCTCTTCTTAGTAGTGTACGATCAATTGACACGTAATTGTCGACATAAATATCATTGTTTGATCCCAAGTATGAGTTAATATCATATGATAGTAGGCTAGACTCATCATGTATATTATATTTTGTCAAGCTCAAACTTATAACTTTATGTTTATTTATCAAATGTTACGTTTTCATGGGATAGAATGTAACACGTACGTATAGTACGCTAAAATGGATCGGAGATGGAGTCCTCCATGGCAGCTCATGTCTGATTCTAAAACCTCTGATCTGGTGCCAAAGGCCTTGTAGTCGAGCACAAGTATGAACAGATACTACATTGTAATAGAGTCAATAGTATTTTTTATTTAAAAAAAAAAAAAAAAAAAAAAAACCTCTGATATGATCTGGTGAATTAGCATATGATTGGGCTACGCGGTTTCCGTTTGGCTGTCAACCTTACAGACAACATGTGACCTTACATTCTTCCTCTGTCCTGGAGTGCATGAATATGTACTATGTTACAGCTGATCCATCCAGCGTCCACATTTCTACATCAATTTTAATTTATTGTTTTTTTTTTCTTTCTGTTTACGATCAGAAAATCTTACTCGTGTATAATAACTTACAAATCACACAAGACATGTAAAATATATTAAAAAGATCACGTATGATAAGCTAAACTGAAAAGTTATTAACAAGAGTCAAATTAATAATTTTATAGTACAATAATCATGTTTTAATTTATTCATTCAGACATTGTTTTTGAAGTATTTGTAAATTTTTATATTATATGTGATCACATGTTTTTTCCAGGACGCATTCCAAATATCATTATAGTTTATGCTAGCTTGACTTGCTTTCTAGTTTAATATGACATAAATGAGTTATGAAGATTCAAACTTTATACACAAGAGTATGTCTAAAAACATTTTAGATTGATGTACCTACCAAATTTTTGTATGTATTCTATTGTTTAGATTACTTAATGTACGTGTGAACTTGAGATAATAGACGACTTAAATTTAAAGAAATAAATTAATGCTTTATGAACATTTTTTTTTTCAAATTAAAAGTATTTAAGATATTTTGGACTAAATTAAATATGAAAAATTTGTAGGTTAAAGATTAAAAGTGAAAATATATATTGAATAGAGTTATTGCTACATTTTTTTTTTGATACTTGATAGGAAACTCGTAGTCACTATCTAAGAATGTGTACGGAATGAACTAAACTCTTATGTAATAGTCCGTAAATCATATATCAGATGTAAACTTCACTAGTTATTATTACTTTTGGTCATCATCTGGTGATATTGTCATCACTATTAGTGCATGACTATAAAAAAAGTGTCACGTACTATATAAGTGCATGATTTATATTGTTCTCACTTTTAGTCTTTTCGGTAAGAACCCCAATAAAATTTTACCAAAATTTGTCACATAACTTGTGAATGATCAATATCTACAATAAAAAATGTCTATTCACATGACATATTCATGTAAAAAGAGTGATTTCTGTTCACAAACTTTAATCACTAACAAATCATGTTACGGAATTCTGCTACTGCGAAATTTCACTAGAAGAAAATAACAAAATCCATTCACATGATCTTTATATTCTTACACCCATAACGAAAATGTCACTAAATTTGTAATATCTTGACTAATACTCAATTGAGTATAAGTGGAATAAACTATAGGTATTATGTGAACTTGATGTGTACTTTAACTAATTATATTTTATACAATTAATACTCATGTCAAAGACAAACCACTTAAATTGATTAATCATTTGGATAATATTCAATCTTTCCTATTAACACAACTGTAGCATTCCAACCCCACAAGCTATCATTACCTACGCCACAAACCTTATAAAAAAACATCATATATCGACTATCGTACTTCACAACATTCATACGAATACCATTTCCTTAAAGCAAAAGCAAAGAAAAAAGCTTTCTTTTTTGTTATCAAAAGCTCTCTCCTGTCGGAAAAGAAGCGATCGATTACTATTAGCTATAACAGATGGAAGAAGACGGTGGGGAAAGCGTGACTCCGTTTTGGGTACAAGGCAACGCCGGCGTCCGCCGCGGCGATGGGATTCGCCGCCGTGTTGAGTCTGCGGTTTTCAGCTCCGGGATCTTGGTGTTTCTTCTCGTTGTGGCTGCCGTTTTCTTCCTGGTTTTTGTTCTTCCTTGGACTGTGTCTTTTACCAGCAGCGTGTTTAGGCCGAGTAGTGTGAAGAAGAGCTGGGATTCGGTGAATGTGGTTCTGGTTTTTCTGGCGATAGTGTTTGGGGTTCTTAGTAGGAGCAAGAATGAGTTGCAGAAATCGAATCCGGGGACGCCGGTTTGGTATGGTTATAGGGACGAAGTAAATCGGAGATCGAATCCGCCGGCTTTTGATCGGTGGGTTGAGAGCTCGGATCGGAGATCGTTTAATGGCGGCGGCGGCGGGGGTTTGCGGCGGACTTTTAGCTCGTACCCTGATCTGTGTGAAATGTCGCCGCGGTGGGTATCCGCCGATGATCAGTGGCGGTTTTATGACGATACCCGAGTTGACGCTTCTCGAGTATATGATTCCGGTCAGCTTTACCGGCGCCGGAGCTGGAGGGAAGTTGATCGGGTTCCGGAGGCAGAAAGTAATAAGATTGTTTATGTTGATGCAGTAGTGAAGGAAGCTCCATTACCGGCACCTTCATCTCCTCCGCCGCCGCCGCCGCCGGCGGCGGAGGCGGCGGCACCAGAACCCGTATATGAAGATAAGGAGAAGGTAACATATGAGAGTCTTGAACCCAAAAGGAAGACTAGAACACGCAAGAAGAGGGATCACGATGTTGAGTCAAAGAAACCTGTAACGCCACCGGCACCTGCAGCATCTCCGCCGCCGCCGCCGCCTCCTCCGCCGTTGCCGCACTATGTGGAGCCAAAGAGCAGTAAAAGTGAACGGAAGAGAAATAGTAGCAGTAGGACTAAGGGGTTCATTATAAGCTCTCTGTATCACAAAAGGAAGAGAAAACATAGATCACAAAGCGTAGACAATTTGGATGCTCTCCTTCATACATCACAGCCTCCTCCTCTGCATTTCCAGTTTCCTCCGCCGTCTCCGCCACCACCTCCGCCGCCGCCGCCTCCACCACCCTCTGTTTTCCACAATTTGTTTTCTTCCAAGAAAACCAAACGAAAGAAAAATGCCACCCCAACTCCATCTGTCCCACCTCCACCACCCCCGCCGCCGCCGACCACCGCCAATCCACGGCGCACATCAAGGCCCAACGCCGGATCTCCAACAGTCAGCAGGCATAGAGCGGCACCAGGGAACGAGAAACGCAACACCGGAGGAGAGTCGCCCTTGATCCCAATCCCGCCGCCGCCGCCTCCGCCGCCATTCTTCAAAAAGTCGGCGTGGAAGTTCGTCGTGCAAGGTGACTACGTGAGGATAGACAGCCTAGAAAGCTCGCGCTCCGGGTCGCCGGACCCTGAAGAGTTGGACTCCGATGTCACCCCGACGGCAGCGGAGAGCGGCGGTGAGCGTACGCCGTTTCCACCGTCGCCATTGTTCTGCCCCAGCCCGGACGTGAACACCAAAGCTGAAAACTTCATCTCAAAGTTCAGAGCTGGGCTGAAGCTGGAGAAGATGAACTCCATGAAAAAACAAGGTTTGGGCTTGTCCAATCTAGGCCCATCTTCAGAACTTAGTTAAATAACTGATTTTTTATTTTCTTTTTTAATCATTTGATTGATTGGTTTGATTTTTTTTTTTATTTTTTTTCCCCATATTTTTATACACACGTTTTTAGATGATTTGATGGTCTCTGGTTTCATGGTGTACACTGTACAGACAATTAGAAGATTCTTCTTCATTTTTTTTTTTGAAATTAATAAATTTGGTTTGATTTTTGGAGGTTTTTATCTTTGTGTTTCAGTAGATTGAGAAAGTAATTATATACAGATATTACATTATAACAGAGTTAGTACTCAAAAAAATATATCTATTGTGTTTAATATTCACATCGGATTCTTGGGCATTGTACGGTTGCGAGATTAATGGTAAGTGGTACTTATAATTAGTCTAGGTTTAAGAATTAATCAATATAGGACAAATGGTTGTTGGTATTTTTGTTGAGAGTTGATATTGACAGTTTGAAAAATGGTGCTATTTTGTGGACTATATGTGAGTAAAGTCCAACTCCATTATTTCATCCAGACCAAGATCCAGTTTTCATGCATTGTTATCAGAACAAACAAGACTACAAACTTTGATTTGTGTATCTTTACCAAAGTAGTTTTGTATTGTTTAGGATGATGATGCGTATAAGAAAGTTCATAGGCGCTACTCAAAAGTATGTTGGGTAAATTCATCTTGTGACTAAATTCAGTTTACATTATCAAATTAATTATTGTCCGACCAATTCAGTTAGGTTGCTCCAATTGTTTTCCATTATTTCACTCAACTGATTCCTTGTTTCATTGGTTATTAAGCTAAAATATGTCTTAGTATGTAGCTTCAAATTGCTGTCTTTACCACAAGAAAATTAAATTCCATGCATTTCAGTTTGATTATATTCTTCAACATTCTTTGCTCATAAACCAAAGTAATGTTTTATTCGTTGGAATTGGCACTTTTTTGAGTTAATAGTGATATAATAAATAATTGCTTCAAGAATAAATAAATAATTGAGGAGGAATAGTGATTGGATCGATACTACTATAATTGAAGGAAAATTTCATTATATCACTATCATTGATCATTCATATATAAGTGTCATTTTAATTTCCCATTTTAAAAGGAAAAAAAAAAAGAAGAAGAAAAAAAGACCAAGACTTGCTCATTTTCCCATTCTAAAAAAAAAAAAAAAAAAAAAAAAAAGATCAAGACTTGCTCTAATTATAATGAATTTGTTTAACCACTACTATGCAATAAATAAATCATACTTTACTCCGATCTGTTTTTCCAAACTATACCGCAGGAGAGTTAAATTAAATCGCACTATGAATTTGTGACATGTTCTACGCATTTAATCACCCTTTCAAGACCTTAAGAAAGAAAGTATTAGTTTATATATATATATATCAAACACAGTATTAGTAGTATTGCATTCATAGATGAGTGACCGAAATAGCATAATAACTACATACATTCAGATAATAATTATGAATTTTTTTCGTAAACGGAAGAGCTAGACTTAGATTATTGGTGGTAGAACACATAAAATTGAAGTAGGTAGATCGAAATGGTAGATAATATTGTGTAAGCAGGTAGCTTAATTAGCAGTGGGCAGGGTGGGGGAGTTTGCACTTCTCAGGAAGCTGCATGGCGAGGTTGGGGTCGATCCCCAGCGACGGCAGCAGCTTCGAGTTCTTGAAGGAGCAGAGGCAGCGCATGTCGGCGTGGCCCAACGCCGAGCAGCAGTTCGGGGAAGGCGGCGGCGGCTTCGGCGGCGTCACCGACGGCTTACACGCCATCAGATCTTTCCCGGACATGTTGCATATCGTCTGCGCCTCCGACACCTTCACCGTCGACGTCATCATTCCGGCGGCTATCGTAGCCAACAACACGCCCACCATCAACTTCATTATCACAAATTCAAATATCCTATCTTAATTATGTTTAGTGTCTTTGTGTGTGTATATATAGTAGTGGTAGGGTGTCCATAGTCCATAGATCAATAATGCATGTCCCCACGTGTAATGGAATTTTTGTGTTAGCCCGAAAAACCAATATCATACCCTGTCTGTTTGATAACCCTGACTAACAAAGGACCACAAGAAAGTAATTCATTTAGGTTTTTCATAGTTGATTAATTGTTTATCTCGTTCCAACTAAGAAGGTCAAATTTGAAACCTTAGAACATTGTAGAATTGTAGTGATTGAGCCAATTATATCTCTACAATAACGTACCTCTATCTAAATATACTTTCGGAGTGAAATTCATCTTATTTTAATTTTAATTAACAAAAAAATAATAAAAGATAAATCAGTTTAAATTATTTTTAAATTGTTTTTGACGACTTAATTACAGAGTGGTATAAGTCGCTATAGTCCCCCATGGCAACAAAATATCTAGAGTTGATGAGACCTAAGTGATTAAATACATAAATGTCCCACCAATAAGTTTCTCTGCAGATGCGTGAAAGACTTAATCAATGCTTGACTTTGACTTGGGTCTTCCTCGGCGATTTGGTCTTCCTCGACGGCGTTTCAAGACTCAACCTCACTCAAAACAAATTTCTTTTATTTACAGAATCCGCTCAATGCAATTTAGTTAGAATTCTCCTTAATTCATTAAAAAAAATTGTATTAAATATAAAATAAATATATAATGTGTAGTGTCTAATAAAAAAAAAATAATGAGTGCATAAAAATATCAAAATATAAACATGAGTGACTTACTAGTTATATGTAAATCGATAAAATTCTTAAAAATATACCAACTAATAAAATATATAAGTATTTAGGGGGGTAAATTTTTGTAATATGTTTCTTGTGATTTAAGACTCAATCGAATTTGAGAAATAATATAATTATTTTTTAAAAATATATGATAAATTAGCTTTAAAATTGTTTGAAGTAAACTTGAAAATTTGTAACACAACCTGTTAATACAATACAAAATAAAACACGAAAATAACATATTAATATTTACCTTTAACGTGTCACAGGTCATTAATGAATTACGTTAATAACATTATATGTTAAGAACTCATTAAAATTTTTGTATTAACAAATTAACCCGCTTAACTACTTAGTATTAACATTAGTTATTATTTTATATTATGAATATTGTAGTATGTTATGAGTTAAATATCATTACTATTTTATTAATTTAATTGTAGATTTAATAACAAATTCTTTTCAAGATACAAGACAGAAAACGTACATATGATTTTATTTTAGGACGACGACAATGACACAACATAAGTAGAATAAACACATTACATGCAGCACAGACATATATAAATATAAATATATTGGATTGGGTGATCTCTAGCAAGAAGTGGCGGTGGAGAGTTTGCACTTCTTGGGCAGGGTCATGGCGAGGTTGGGGTCGACGCCGAGGGAAGGCAGCCAGGAGGAGTTCTTGTAGGAGCAGAGACAGCCAATGTCGGCGTGAGAAATGGCGGTGCAGCACGCGGCGGAAGGCGGCGGGGGATTCGGCGGGGTTACCGCCGGCCGGCAGGACATCAGCGCCTCCCTCGACATGTTGCAAACGGATTGGGCATGGCACACCTCGCCAATGGCGCCAAACATCACAACAGCTAACACTATTATCTTAACGTTGCTTAGCTTCGTGTAAGCCTCCATGGTTGTCTCGATCTATCTATCTGTGTTTTAGCAGGGGTTGAGGTTTTTGTAGAGGAAATGAGTGATGATTTCTTTACTGTTTGTGTAGCTATTGTGCAGTCCGTGAATATAATGCATGAATGATGTAAATTATTTATAGTAAGAAAGTAGTATGGTGTGAGTGTCACGGGATGATGTTTTTGTGGTTCTAATTTTTCCATGAATACTTAAAACAAAAGTGTTTGTCACGTAGTCATGTAAAGAAGTCACAAAATAGAGCTGTCAAAACAGAATAGTATCTTCTAAATCCGTCAATATGACATGTAGGTCCAGTCGCTGTAGATCTATTTTCTTTAATATCTTTTTTTTTTTTTTTTTTTAATTTTGTTGAGTTATATCTTGGACCTTATGAATCAACATTTCAGATTCATTAAAAAAGTTAATTAAGTTAATTTAATTTGAAGACTCAATATTAATTAAATTGTAAAATTTTGTATACAATGAAACCAATTTAAACTCAAACTTCCAATATGCTTGCTAGGAAACCAACAAGGTAAAATTATTTTGATTATAATTACTTTAAAATATAATACTATCCAAGTGGATAATATTAGTATTAATAATAAGAAGAAGAAACATAAATAAAATAAACATTTGACAATCTAGTCAATAAAAACCTAGAGTTAACCTGTTAAAAATGTTAATTCTTTTTTTTTTTCGGGTTCAATGGCTTATTTGCTCTTTTTTTCCGGGTTCAATGACTTATTTGAGTGTTATTTGAGTTTTGAATTGATTGCTTAATTGATGTTTCCCAAATAGTTCAATAGCTTATTTGTACTTTATCCCATGATTTAATATACCGTATTTAAAAGAAGAGACCAATGTTCGAACTTCGACGACAGCAGAGTGGAGATTATGTCTAAAGTAGACGAACATTTGATCATATATACTGAGCCATTAAATCATTGTGATTTTCATCGTCCAACTAAATATTCTGTCAAGCCGGGATGTAAAGGCCTTTGGGTCGGAGAAGAAGAAAAGTAAACAAATGTAGACGTTGGGTTAAGACAAATAGTCATTCACTCGTCAATGCTTAAAGTCACTTCTATTGGTTGGCTCACAATAGACTATATATTTATTTTGGAAAACTAGTTTTACATATACTTTTTTTTTATATTGACCTATTGACTATTCATCAATAGGTCGTATTTATTTTTTAAAATACAAGTTGGCGTTATTGTGCTAAACAAAATTAATCCCTACGCCCAATAATTAATGGAGAAATGAAGGCCACAACCGTACAAGTTGGGTTTAAGAAAAGTCAGATCCGGACCCAATTGCAGAGAGAAAGTAAATAGCTTTCTACACGTTATGCCAGTAGTTATATTATAGACCGCGGTGCATGTGCACCGCGGTAAAAGACGACGCTGTTTCTTTAAGTAAAGAAACGGCCCGTCGTTAGAGTTAACGGAGTCTGCTTGTTTGGTGTATTAAACACCAACTGACACTATAGTATATCTAAACCGACACTGCAGTTATATCAAAATGATACTGTAGTTATAGTGAAATGAAACTGCAGTGTATATAAAATGAAACTGAATAACATTTCACATATTTGAGTGTATATTGTACAATGAAGCTGTAATTATATCAAAATGATCATGTAGTTGTGTTTTAATGAAACTATAGTGTATATAAAATAAAATTAAATAACATTTTCACATATTTGAGTCTATAAATATCGAATGAAACTATAGTTATATCGAAATGAAACTGTAGTTGTGTTGAACTGAAACTGCAGTGTATACAAAATGACACTGAATAACAGAGTTACTTTTTGCAAAAGGGTGCGAAACGACGGAAACAAACACTGTTTATTTTCATTTAAAAAAAAGACGCGCGGTGCATAATCGATTATGCACCGCGGTGCAGTGAGAAAGTAAATAGCTTTCTACACGTTATGCCAACTCGCCCGACATAAATTCTTGAGTAAATACCCAAAATGGTCACTCGATTATAGCTAAATTCATAAATCGATCCTCGACTTTCAATTTTAACCAATTAAGTCTTTAACTTTGTAATTTTAACACAATTTGGTCATCTGTCTATTTGACCGTTTGTTGACTGTGATTTTTGAGAATATATATGTAATTTCATGGTTCATCGTTGGTTTTTTAAGGTTCTGGTTGCATTTTCAGACCGCATTGTTACATTTGAATTTACTGCCGAAAGCAATCTACCAAATCCGGTCGCCTTTCTTCATCCTCCCTGTGGATTCAATGTAGTTGAGTTCGTACCAGAGCGGAGAAGACGACGTGTTTCTGAACCAGTGCAACGTCATCCTGGAGGCCTCCACGTGCTCCGACGAGAGCTGAATGTTCTTCTGGAGATCGTCTATCACGGTCAACAAACGGTCAAATAGATGGATGACCAAATCGTGTCAAAATTACAAAGTTAAGGACTTAATTGGTTGAAATTGAAAGTCGAGAATCAATTTGTGAATTTAGCTATAGTCGAGGGACCATTTTGGGTATTTACTCTAAATTATTATACGGAATATCTATTTCTGGCAAATTATATCGTGTATCACGGTTCATAATCGATTATTCACTAAAGTTCAAAACAACGTCGTTTTGTTTAATGAAAAGAAACGGTACCTGTTTCGTAAAAAAAAAAAATAATTATGTTATTCAGTTTCATTTTCTATACACTGCAGTTTCAGTTCAACACAACTACAGTTTCATTTCGATATAACTACAGTTTCATTTGACATTTATACACTCAAATATGCGAAAATGTTATTTAATTTTAATTTATATACATTATAGTTTCATTAAAACACAACAACATGATCATTTAGATATAACTACAGCTTCATTGCACAATATACATTCAAATATGTGAAATGTTATTCAATTTAATTTTATATAAACTGCAGTTTCATTTCACCACAACTACAGTATCATTTTGATATAACTGCAGTTTCATTTGATAATATATAAAATAATACGTGAGGCAATATCGGTTTAGAAACACTGTAGTGTCAGTTTAGATACACTATAGTTTCAGTTGGTAATTAACACACAAAAAAATGCGCGCTCCGTTAACAGTAACGGCTCGTCGTTTCTGTACTTAAAGAAACGACACCTTTTTGACAACGGTGCACGTACACCGCGATCCACGATATAACAACTGTCTATTTCTAGTATAGCTCATTTTTTGAATTTGTCAGAATATACTCTAAACTTTATAAATTTATATCTACATACATAAAAAATAAAGTGAGTCAATCTAATAACAATTTAAGTTATGATTTTTGCTAATAATGAACCTTTAATCACTAGTTTTGACCCGTGGCAATCACCAGTCTTGTAGCTCAGGAAATTAATCTAGAGTTAGGTCTAATAAATTCTTCTCTTTTGCACAATATGAACTCGTTATTGTTCTAGCTAGAGACTTTGTAGCATGTTTGGTTCACGTAATGAATTTTAAGAGAATGGAAATATTCTTTCATATACTAAAAAAAAAAAAAAATTATTCCATCATGAATGAAACAAGCAAGGAATATAATATGAATTATATTCTATTGATTGGTTTACGGAAGAAATAGACTTTATGAATGTTATTGCCGTGTTTGGTTGGTTTAAGAAATATAAATGAAATATGTGTTTAAAAGATACAAATACTTCTCCTATAAAAAATATAATAGAGTTAATTCCACCGGAAGTCCCTTGTCTTTGGTGGCAATTCCAAATTTAGTCTCAGACTATCGTTTTTTGGACACTTTTAGTCCTTCTCATGATTTTTTTTTTATTTTTAGTAAAATTCATTACTTATTATTTTTAAATATTATTTTATGAATATTGTAGTATGTTATGAGCTAAATATTATTACTATTTTATTAATTTAATTGTAGATTTAATAACAATTTTTTTTCTAAAAAAAAAAAACTTATATGTATTAACATGTCTAAACGGTACGGTCGCGTCATAAACTTGAAACGTGCCAACTCTTTTAATTCATTATGTTTAAAAATCATGTTTAACTCTAATCTATTAACCTAACCTTAATGTACATGTGGTATTTAACCTTATCATGTGTGTTGTATCAACCCTTAACAAAACTCCTTCCTTTCAAAAAAAAAAAAAAAAAAAAAAAAAAAAAAAAAAACTCCTTTACATACACGAATTATGAATCTAGTATATATAAAACACATACGGAAAATGATTTTTGTCCTCTTATCCAATTTTAAAAATCTTCTCATTTTTCTCTGGACCATACATTTTAAAATTTTTTTTTTCTGTGGACCACTCCAATAATTTCCATTTCATTCAATTTCCCAGGCGAATGACTTAGTGTTGACTTGTGGGTCTTCCTCCGCCGGCCGGCCAGTTCGTCTTCCTCGACGGCGTTTCAACGGCCAAGTTTCGAATGAAAACCAAGAACATATATATAATCACTACTGGAAATTATGGAATTTCCGACCACCTGAAAGTGATCTTTAAATCATCGAAAGCAAAAATGGCCGGAAATAGCAACAAAGGTTTTTCTGGATATCAAAAGTGGTCGGAACAAAGCTTTCAACTGATCTAAGATCACTTTGAAGTGGTGGGAAATTTCATAATTTTTAGCGGTGAATGGGCGAAAAAGGCAAGATACAAGACAGAGAACATATGATTTTATTTTAGGACGACGACAACGACACAACATACGTAGAATGAACACATTACATGCAGCACAGACATATATAAATATAAATATATATTGGATTGGGTGATCTCTAGCAAGCAAGGGCGGAGAATTTGCACTTCTTGGGCAGGGTCATGGCGAGGTTGGGGTCGACGCCGAGGGAAGGCAGCCAGGAGGAGTTCTTGTAGGAGCAGAGACAGCCAAGGTCGGCGTGGGAAATGGCGGTGCAGCACGCGGCGGAAGGCGGCGGGGGATTCGGCGGGGTTGCCGCCGGCCGGCAGGACATCAGCGCCTCCCTCGACATGTTGCAAACGGATTGGGCATGGCACACCTCGCCAATGCCGCCCAACATCACAACAGCTAACACTATTATCTTAACGTTGCTTAGCTTCGTGTAAGCCTCCATGATTGTCTCGATCTATCTATCTGTGTTTTAGCAGGGGTTGAGGTTTTTGTAGAGGAAATGAGTGATGATATCTCTACTGTGTAGCTAGTGTGCGGTCCGTGAATGCATGATTGCATGAATATGTGAATTATTTATAGTAAAAAAAGTAGTATGGTGGGAGTGTCACGAGATGAGGTTTTTGTGGTTCTAAATTTTTCATAAAACAAAAGTGTTTTTCATGTAGAGAATAACAAAATAGAGCTGTCAAAACAGAACATAATCTTTTAAATCCGTCAATATGCATGACAGGTCCAGCCGCTGTAGACCTATTTTCTTTAATATCTTTTTTCACTTTGTCGAGTTATATCTTAGACCTTATGAATCAACATTTCAGGTTCATAAAAAAAAATATATTAAGTTAATTTTCAAGACTTAATATTAATTAAATTGTACATTTTTGTATACAATGAAACCAATTTAAACTCAAACTTCCAATATGCTTGCAAAGAACCCAACCTTACCCTGTTCGTAGAAACAAGTCCCCGCTAACCCACTTTGACAATACAAATTACAAGGGCATCAATCAACTTGAAGCTACTATACATGAGATTTTTTATAGCAAGATTTGCTTTATGAGACCACTCATGTATATAGAAAAGTAAATAAATATTTGCACATACTTAGTTCAATGGTTTAATATGCCGTATTTAATTTGAGAGAAGAAATCAATATTCGAACTTCGACGATAGCAGTGTAGAGATTATGTCGAAAGTGAACGAGCATTTGATCATGTCTGTTGAACCATTAAATCATCGTGATTTTCATCGTCCAACCAAATATTCTGTCAAGTCAGAATGTGAGGGCTTTTGGGTCGGAGATTCAGGGAGAATAAGAAAAGTAAACAAATGTAGAAGTTGGGTTAAGAGTTAAGACAATTAGTTATGATTTAAGTTATGATTTTTGCTAATAATGAACCTTTAACCACTACTTTTGACCCGTGGCAATCACTAGTCTTGTAGCTCAGGAAATTAATCTAGAGTTAATGTCTAATAAAATTTTCTCTTTTGCACAATATGAACTCGTTATTGTTCTAGATACTTTGTACCACGTTTGGTTCACGTAATGAATTTTGAGAGAATAGTAATATTATTTTATATACTAAAAAAAAATAAAAAATTATTTCATTGTGAATAAAATAAGCAAGAAATAGAACATGAATTATATTCTATTGATTGATTTGCAGAAGAAATAGACTTTATGAATGTTATTGTAGTGTTTGGTTGGTTTAAGAAATATAAATAGAATATGTGTTTAAAGATATAAATACTTCTCCTATAAAAAAATATAATAATAATAATAAAATAGTCATATAAGTAACCAAATTTTGTTTAAAGAGCCTTTAATAATATTCAAAAGAATAATAACATAATTTTTTTTCAACAAAATACTCAAAATCAAAACAAATGTTCTTAATATAATGTATAATAAATTCCAAAATAAACGAATAATAGTAATAATGTTCATAAAATGTGAACCTGAATAATGATTAATTGGCAACAACGAAGTTTCTTTTCACGGTAAGTTGATCAGGATCAAGGTTGAGAAAAAAAATCATTTTATTAATTATTATTATGATCAATGAGTTTTATCGAAACAATGTCTTTTTTTCATCGTATGTGAAACTATCAACCTCTTTTAATGTATAATCGAACTTCTAAAACATATCTATGTCACGAACATATTGAAGACCATAGCTAAAATTCTTATCAACTTATGATATTGTATTTCTTATAAGCTTGGCAGCATTAAGCATATTTGTAGCACACTAGTGCCTTTACATTGCATTATGTCATGAATAATGCCTCATTCTTTTGAACGATGATCTTCACTCTTTAATATGGACTCATCAGAGAAGAAGAAAAGAGAGATAAAATGATTAAAATATCTTCATTATTTTACTAATTAATATTTTTTGACGAAATTTAATTGAAGTGACCAAAATTAATAAAAATTACATAATCAATATACTAAATTAACACTTTTAAAAATCGTAGAGTACAATTAATATGACCCTTATAGTTAGAAGACAAAAATTGAAATTTACACTTTAGATTAGTTAATTTTATTATGACATGTAATCATAAACAATTAATCCAATAAACATTGACACGTGGTGTTGACCCACCACTTCCACTTCGGTACAAAAATGACCCCAAAATATTCTCACAATAATCACAACCAAACAAGTAAAGTAGTTACCCTTGGTTAGACCGTATACTAATTTAACATTAAAGTATAAAACTAATTCTCTGATTTTAATTTTATCTGTTCTGAAGCACAAAAAGTTAATACCGCTCCCATTAAAATTTGAACTTATAATTTTTTATTTGAGAGAGTAATTTCATGTCACCTAACTACAAAATCATTGACATATGTATGACAAATTTAACCGAAAAGATATTGACAAAAATTAAATTTATAACCTTTTGAATGACAATCATATTCCATCTACTCGACTATCTCTCCTTCAAAGGTCCCACATCTTGTCTCGATAAGTTAAGATGGTTGATGTGTATATCTTGATAACTCAACGAGCTCTTAAGTGTGAAAATTAATGCTTAAGGCCAACAAAAATTCCACCACATTTAGTATAATTTTATACTCTGAATGTCAAAACTCGATCATACGTCCTTATCCATATTGTCTTATACTCCGTATTTGGATAAAGTACAGTAACGTAATTTTCACAAAGTTCCGAGGCGATTCTGTAATTTTGCCTAAGTTTAAGGAAATTCGTTAATAAGCTTACCTCCTCCCCTGTCTCCGTTCATTACCGCCACCCTAACCTCCGCCACCATTTTCTAACTGTTTCTACTGACTCTCTCTCTCTCTCTATATATATAAATACATGTATGTATGTACGAGGAGGTGGTTGAGAGATGGAAATATTAGCTGAAATACTATCGGAGAGAGAAGGTCTGTAGTTTAGATAATTCCGGCGAGATCCGATCATTCCGGCGAGCTTCCAGAATCGCTGTCCCGAGGTGCGCGGCTCTATGTTACAGCGATGGTCTTTTCTCGGGTTATAACAATCGAGAAATGCTACATTCCTTTGCTGTTACTCACTTTAGATCCAAAATATGGCTTCGCAAGCGCAAAAAACCTCAGGCTTCTTCGGATAATCCGTAAGTTAAAGGTATAGCGCGGTGGAATCTGTTGTGTACAGTTTCTGATTTAGGTTTTTAGTGATTGAACGTATAGATATATGCATAGAGATGAAAGTGAGGTTAGGAAAGGAGGATTGAATGATTTGAAGGTGGGGAATGAGAAGATGGAGCAGTTAGAGGAAGTTGAGGGGGTGAGATTGAGCGAGGCGGAAGAGGATGATGAGTCTTCTCAGGAAATTCGATTGCCGGCGGATATAGAATGGCAAATGCTTGATAAATCCAAGTTTTTCTTCCTGGGTGCGGCCTTATTTTCGGGTGTTTCCGCGGCTCTTTACCCTGTTGTGGTGTTGAAAACCAGGCAGCAAGTGGCTGAGTCTCGGCTTTCCTCTATAGCAACTGCGCTCTCTGTGTTGAGGCATGAGGGCATTCGCGGGTTGTATAGAGGATTTGGGACTTCCTTAATGGGTACAATTCCTGCTAGAGCGCTTTACATGGCTTCTCTTGAGGTTACCAAGAGCAATGTTGGGATTGTCACCATTAAGCTTGGCTTCCCGGAGGCAACAGCAGCTGCTATAGCCAATGCAGCTGCTGGGTTGAGTGCTGCCATGGCTGCACAGCTAGTTTGGACCCCGATTGATGTGGTGAGCCAGCGGCTCATGGTGCAGGGTACTTGTGCTCATGGCACATCATCGTCTTCCTTGAAATATCATAATGGGATTGATGCTTTTAGGAAAATTCTTAGCACGGATGGGCCGAGGGGATTGTATAGAGGATTTGGGATTTCGATTTTGACTTATGCACCTTCTAATGCGGTTTGGTGGGCATCTTACTCCATTGCCCAGAGACTTGTTTGGAGTAGTTATGCTTATGGTTATTACATTTTCAAGAAATATGATGAGGATGAGAGGGTTGTAACTAGTATGGACCCTCTCATACCTGATTCCAAAACTGTAATGGTGGTACAGGGGCTCAGTGCAGCCATTGCTGGTGGCATATCAGCTTTGATTACAATGCCTCTAGATACAATTAAGACAAGACTACAGGTTCTTGAGAGTGATGACAATGGCCGGAAGGGTCCAACTGTTGTGCAAACAGTCAGGAATTTGGTCAGGGAGGGTGGATGGGCGGCTTGTTACAGAGGCTTAGGCCCCCGCTGGGCTTCAATGTCCCTGTCTGCTACCACCATGATCACCACATACGAATTCTTGAAAAGGCTTTCCACAAAGAATCAAGATTGCTGGACTGCAGCACAATGATCATAGAGATGATCAAAAGCTCAATCCTTGGTATTACCTCTCTCTTCAGTTCTTGTTTTTTTTTTTAAAAAATTCTTCTAGTCTTCAGTCCATGTTTACATTTTTGTCATCATCAATTATGCTCAGAACAAGAAAGATCAAAGATCATCATGTAAAGTTGCTTTATCTATATATACAAAAAAAAAGTTCTAGAGAGTCCACCTAACTTTGCATGATCTGATGTTCTAAAACGACTTGCCTTTATCATTAGTCTTTATTTCTTAGTATTTGGACACCATTGTATTCCTATCTTGCAGTGGTGATATCAAGAAAAGGTCTCTTTCACCATCAACTTGTGTGCAATTGGCCAATTAAGTCTAAAAGGAGTAGCTTTCAATCAGCAATTGGATAAATGGGTTTGGTAGGGTACTGGTATTGATTGACTTGTATGCCCAGTTGGATTAATGAATTGAATTCAGCCAATCATAGAAGATAATTCTTGAATCCAACTGATAGCTATGGTGATATTAACATGTTGCTGTGCAATGAGATTTGGTTTATGTACAAGGCAAGCATATACTTTAGCTCAACTATGGCAAAGGCCCTGGGATTATCAACCACTTCAACAGATATTTTGAGAGCAAGGAATACAAAAGTATCTTTGAATGCATTGTATATATGGGTAGGTATCTGTTCTTATATTCCTGTCCTCTAACATTGTAGACAGAATTGATTTGCATAATAAATGAATCACATGCATACTTGCCTACCCAAGAACTTCTCTTTGAGCATGTGTGATTATTTCTATATTCTTCAGGTCTTCTACAAAATGGTTATTCTTGGAGTGTTGTGTTCAGTTTATCTCACATAGCCTGAAACTTTAACTTTAGGGAGCGTTTTGATTAGGTTATTTAGACAATCTTGAATGTGACTTGTGTAAGGTCACGGTAAAGAATGTGAGGTTTCTAAATTTTGTTTGAGTTCATTTTTAGTAGTCACATTTTCCCCACACTTTTAGGTTTTGTGAGTTTCTAGGAATGTTATATTACACTTAAAAACATTCCTGGAATGAATATAGATGCTTGCTGGTATTTCAAGAAAAGTAATTAGTTGGGGACAACCCTAACAACCTTAAGCTGATTTACCTCTTTTGTTTGCTAAAATCACAAGGCGGATTTCACCCAAAACGCACATTTGAATCAAATAAAAGTAGTTAGTTGCCAAGGATAGAAGTGGAATCAACTTAGAAGTAACACAATCTCCACAGAACTTCATCTTTCAGGAGAAACTTGAAACTTGTCACAATAATGATACACTAGCAGTAAAATGAAGGCTAAAATTCTAAAGAATGTTCGAAAATGAAAACTAGTTCTGCTACACTACAAAGGTACATCCACAATTAGGCTAACGTGCATGACTAATACAAAGAAACTGATTGACACAGCATCATAATCACCATCATCATCCAGTGTTGTCTATCGAAATAAAAATGGTTTTCTACATCATCATCAAGGGCGAGCTCTCTTGTTGCTGCAAGACGGGCACTTGTATTGCTTGATGTGTTCGGCTCTGGCGGGGGTGATTTTCACACACTTGCCATGGAACCACTTCTCGCATATGTCACAGCATATCCAAAACTCATCCGATGCATAGTTCTCCCCGCAAGCTCCACACAAGGTCTCGCCATGCTCCTCTTCCTCCTCGTCTTCCTCCTCCAATCCCCCCTCCTCTTCGTCTTTGGTTGGCGGTTTTGTGTACCTTCCCTGAGATTCAGATGCCCGCTGCTTTTGTACCCCAAAGAAAGGCAATTATAAATCAATAAGCAAATGTCAACTTGTTGCGACAATCAATACCACCACTAAAACATGGTACAAGTTGGCATAAATGGTTTTGCCAAATAATTTAATCCAACCCAAATATATATGCTTTAAAAAAGTGACTTTTACCGGTTTAGGATTTGACTTTGATTTGTTGCTACTGTGATTCGAGACGGAAGATTTCTCCTTCTGCTGTTTCTTTGCAGCGCCCGTCACAACTTCAAATACTGTAGGCATATCGTTTATCATGTTGAAGAGTCGTTTCCTGCATAGTAGAATGATTTACAAAACGCCAGCACTACTCACCAATCACTAATATATAATAAATGCAAAAGTTCGCAATAGTAATGACTAACGAACATCGCAGATGTAAAACACACTTTCTGCAGTTTGTTTTTCTCCGAGCTCTAAGTACTCAGCAATTGGTGTCAATAACTCTATAGTGAACAACATTATTCTTACAAACCATACAGATGTATTGATTTTTACCCCGAGCTTAATAGGCATGAAATCTTTACACAAAAGCTAAGAAGCCAAACGCAATTAGGTTGCAGAAAACGAAACATAAACAATCAAGAAGAATAAACGCATGCTTCTCAACATACACAGCCATAATTCTTGATTTTCGCGTACCTGTCAGCTTTATCAAATCCAAATCTGGAACCGAAATAGAACGCCACGGCAAGCAACCAAGCATCGCTGTGGACAGCAACTAAAGACAACCAGTCCTTTTCCTGCATCCCATCTCTCGCAAAGTTAATCCCGAGAGCGGGCTCTGGAAGCTCCGGAGGCACTTCTTCCGCAGGCAAGTTGACCTCCCACTGCTCACTGGGAAACCCATACAAGCACAAGTTCTCCTTCTCTGCGTATCAATGAATATGCACACATTACACAAGATGATTTAGCACCACACCAATGCCTGAAACTCATTAAATCAAGAAACACAACAAAAAACACAGCATCGCTTATTGACCATAAACATACATAATTGTTGAATCCCAGTAATAAGGACTAGTGTGAATAAGCATGCCAAGTGTCTCTCATACAGTTACTTTCAGTTATGAGCAACCCCAGCTAAGTTGGTAAGACAGTTAGCTCGGTAATCACAAGGTTCCAAGTTTGAGTCTCGTGAGAGCTACCTAATAGCCTTCTTTGGTTGATAACTTAGTATGGATTACCTCCTTGCGTTCCTTTACCAGCTAGGTAAGACAGTTGGCTCGGTAATCACAAGTTTTGCTCTTGTATGAGCTATCTATTGGACTTCTTAGTTAACCTAGTCTAGTTTACCTCTTAAGGTAACAGTTGCAAATTTTCGGTAAATTAAAGTTACTTTCAGTTAACTTACACTCAAGTAACATAGTACAACCAGAACCAATAATAGCTCAAGATTCAACAAACCCACCTCTATTCAGTCAATAAAAACAGTTAAGGATTATAGACAAAACTCCCATGAACAGTTAAGAGTACAGTTGAGAGTAAGAAAAGGCAAAAGATAGTAACTTTCTATTGGACGAATGAATAAAAATAGAGAGGGCAAAGGGCCGTTTACCTGGGTCACACTGCTGATAAAAATCATTGACATCTGAAACAGACAACACAAAATTAATAGGCGAAAAGACACCAAAAAATAAAAAAAATAAAAAACAGTTTTTTTTTGTTTTGTTTTTCAGAAAGAACCTGTAGTGAGGGCTTTAATTAAGCCGTTCCGGCGACCCTTGAAATCCTTAAAGACTTCCTCAACAGTACGAGGGTTGTACTGTCCGCCTCCGCCTACGCCGGCGGCGGCTACTCCTCCTCCTCCTACGCCAACCGCTCCCTCCATTTCTCCAGCTAAGCTCAGCTGCTTACTTACGAAGCTTCAAGAAACAAAATTCTGTACAGAAATAGTAGAGTAGGGATAAAAATAGGAAGGGAAGTGGATATTAGAAGGTTTTGTTATTTGGGTAAGACAATCCGCTGAAAACTTGCTGCTACTTCTGCAAGTCTAGAGAGAGAAAGAAGAATGGGGCGGATTTGAATCTGAAAGAAGATGACGGGTTTAACTAGATTTGAGAAAGAGGCGATGAGTCCGAGACCCATGTAATAACCCATAATACTTCCAAAAATAATTAATTAATTTTATTTATTTATGTATTCTTACATTTGGTGTATGACTAAAAAAATTTGTAGTCACTATTTGGGTAATTAAATTTTATTTTTGTATAATAAGCAACGTTTAAATTTATGAAAAAAGTATTAGTAAGAATTAAATTTGTAATGTTTTAGAATGGGAATTACGCTCGAACACATTTTTAAATAGTATATTAGTATTATTATATTTTTGTTTTTTGGCAAAGGTTCGACCCACCTAGGAGATACGGAGCCCCGAGTTGTTGTGGTCAACACAGAGACAATAGCAGTTGTCCTAATAACTGTCCAAAGGGACTACACGTCATATCTCAAATCGTTATTCTTTTTTTTTCTTTTTTTTTTTTTTTTGGGAGAAAAAATCGTTTTTCTTTTTTGTTGGTCAAAATCCATTATAATTTCAAGTTACTGGTGTAATTTTATATCTCATTTAATTTATGAGAACTTATTTTGAAATATTCATAATTTTTTATTAGTATTTGTTTTAAAATTTTTCAAATATTTTTCACTTAAAGAATTTAAACCCCACCATCGGGATAAGAAAGTTCGTAATTGTTACCTGATAGTGTTTTTTAAGTAAAATTTATTTTGTAACTAGAATAAATTAAAGCAATCTAAATTGATTAAAGCTGACTAATTCAAAAAAAAAAAATCAAATAGATTCTACAATTTTATCTACTAATATAATTTGATAGCCGGGCTGCAGGGATGACTATCTATTTTCAGCAACAAACAATATTGAACCGGGCGGTGGCCTGGCATCATCCCCTAATTAACCGCCGGAGCTACCTGTCTCACCGGAGTTCACGCCAGCGATAGATACTTTCACCGTCGGCAACTTGCAGGCATTCCGGCAAGAGAGTTGTGATGAGATGACCTTCTTCTTCACATTCAAGAATCGGCCGCCTGGCCCTCTAGCCCTATTCAAAGCGTGGATATGTCGCGACTCGTGCAGATACGGCTGCAGAACAAAAACAACTCTAAAAAGACTGAATCCAACCAATTAACTAGTCTAACACGTACTATTGTACCTTTCGAAGCCTGGAAAGGCTGTTGTGGGCTTGAAGCTTTGCACGGCATTGCCGGCGCCGGAGAATTGCCTGGTACTGTTTAGCATTAACGTAAATATGTTCATCTTGAGGAAGGTCATCAAGGGGGAGTGGGATCAGTCGAGTGGCCACCATGTTCAACACCCAAGGAGGAACATTATTATTATGGCATGAAGCAGCTGATTGATGATGATGGTAAGCTAAGTATGGAAGCAGGAGCATATATATATAATATATAATTATATATATAAGAGATGAGAACAGAAAGAGACTACCTGTATGTGTAGTATTATTGCATTTAATACACTAGTGTAGTTGTGTATGCTATTTATAGAAGTGTTTATTATAAACATACAGCAGTGGGAGCCACAGATCAAGCTAAGCAAAACCACTACCCAAAGATATATGCATGCCAGGCCATTTGGTAAGAACAAAGTTGCATTAATTATATATTATATATGCAACTAACCCCAGGCCCAAGTCTAAAGTAATTTTATCCGCATTGACAACTCAGTTGGTCACAGAGGGAAGTAGTTTGGGAAGAATGATCAGGAATTGAGTCTCAACAGCGACAATGTGGGAACAACCTATGTGTTCAGCTGAGTTCACATCCTCCCAGATGCTCTGTCAGGCCAGGGTGTGGAGGGTTAGAGTTAAGGATTCAACCTTTTTGGAAAGAGAAAGTCTAAATTACTAATGTACGTTATTTGTGGTGAATTAATTAAATCTTTTACATCAAATTTGATGGAATGATATTAACTCATTATTATAATTAGTGGTGGAGATGATAAAGTAAAACTACTATACTCATTATTATCACATTCCATTATGCGGTAAGAATGAAGTATGTGAATCAATCAAGTCAGCCTAAACTTGGCAATTCAAGTTACTTCAGCTCTGATACATGGGGTGGCTTTTCCTGATATTTATAGCCATCGCATATTTGGACATCATATCAGTGTCAGCTGCAAATTAAATGCAATTCTATGGGCAAATTTTATGCTCCTCAAGTGATACCACAACCAATCAATTAGTTGGTCAGATAATTAATTTGATAATTACGAGATAGAGTTATTCTTTTAACAACTTAGAGTATACAATCGAATAATAAATGTGGGTTTTCCTGTAAATCAAATTGATATGTGTATAATTTCTTTTCCAACATCATTAATTTTTAGTTCTAACTTTATAAGATGCTTTGTTTTTTTTTTTTGAACAAGTTATATTTTCTATTACCAAGCATCCTAGCTAATGGGTGATAAAATATAGTTATGATACTCAATTGGCACCACAGAATCTCTCTGCATCACTACATAATTGGGCTGTACAGAGTATAATAATAATTAAGTTATTCTAATGCCTAATCAGCCAGTATGTTTGATGATAAATGGCAGTTGACAATTGCAAGTTGCAAAATAATTATTAAACCAAAAAGTTCATTTAATTTTCAATTAGCAAAACAGCACATTGAAACCGGCATTGATACGGATGGAAAGTATCCATATGCAATTACGCAGCATATGCCCATTCAATTACCTCTTAAGAATGCATTAATTAAGGTCTAAAAAGTGAAAAAAAAAATATTGTACTATGAACTTATTAAGCATCCATATTAAGCTATCAACCACTGAAATTGCAGTTAATATATGCTAAATCTTTCTATTCATGGAGCATCATCCCTTCTTAAAAATCAATTACTGATAATCTCATATTCTCAAATATCCAGATCAGCACCAACAAAATTTCTGGTAATCCACCAAATAGAAAGCCTCAATAGTCAATAAATCAAACACAGTATTTAACGATCCTACTAAAAAGTAAAAACATTATTATAAAATTGTAAATGACCAATCCCAATTCACAATGAATCTAACAAAGACGGCACGGTTGTTTACATTATGACACTTGTAAGAGACAAAGTAAATTCAGCAACAGCATAAGAAAGGTTAACTAAAGTCGAAGTGCAAAGCATCAGCAACCACAGCTTTAGCCGGGGAGATGAACTTGTACAACATGGTATAAGATAAACTTAACCTACCTAGCCAATTTTGGGGATGATTAAAATCGGTGATAAAGAACACTTGAGAGACTCCATCAAGCTATAGCTTAAATCCTACAGAACCATTATATGATGACTCAAATGACTGATTTTCCACATTGCCCAGAATGCTTAGAGAATTGTTGGCTGGATACATTATCCAATCCCGGTGTTCACCCTAAAGAACTGTTCTGAGCAGTCTAATGTAAAAAATTATTCCTACATCAGTCAGCAATGCGTTGAGAAGTTGCAGGATATATTGTGTCAATTGTCCAGTTAAAAATCTCCTCTCCTGTATGGCATTTCCTGTCGACATGCAAGTAGCAGTCCGATTAGTGACTAATAACAGATTAAATCCTGGACAAGAAAATCCAAGCAAAACCATTTCCACCCTTTACTTCTAATGCACACAAACTAATCTCCTGCTCTGAGCACACAAGTATAAAGGGTGCACCGCCACTAGAAAAAGAAACCAGGGGAGGGACTGAACTACTTAAGTCCAGTAACTCAGAATCCATAGTCAATTATAGATTTAATTCTATGCAACAAGGCATACATCCTGGTTTGAAAGGAAAGTTAATAAAGCCTTAAGAGTGTCAAGGATCAAGAAATTGTTCTTAAGAGAAGGTTGGCCGGTAGAGAGATTCTAGAGCCCTACACATGTGATCATAACCAGTAGGGAAACATCAATACACAAATAACTACATTAATAATAATGATAATGATTACTAGATTACAATAATAGCTTAAAAGATTTTTTATATATATTAAAAAAAAAATCTTACAGGAGGGTAGGTTGGCATGTAGACAACTTGCCGAGGGTGGCCAATTATCATCTGCTGCCCATACTGCAAAAATATTGGCCCATATAAAGTTTCACTTTAGCTCAGAAGCATGAAGAATACTAAGTCAAATATTCAAAAATAAAAATCCCCACCAATTGGAGACAAACCTGAGGTCCATTTGGATGAAAATATGGCTGCGGCGTTGGTGCAACCTGATGATTAAACATAACCGGCTGATGTCCAGCATAGGATGGTCCAATCTGCAAAATGCATATCATCAGAAACAAACTAAACATTTCGAAACAAGTATTATAATAAATAGTAGTGTTTGGTCACTTCAAAATCAGTCACAAGGAAAATCATTTCAAATAGAAAAGCAACTTCTAAAATGTTTAGATTCTTAGCAAACTCTCAACCAGTTTTTGACATGGTGACAACATGATTTGATTTAAAACATGGCAAGATTACATCAAAGGAAAAATAGGAAAAAATAAAATAATAAAAAAAAGTCCCAGTACAGCAGACAAGTGGGTCAAGTGGTCAAGGTCACACCCTTTGTCAGTAAGTGTATAACTACTTGTCACAACTCACAACCAATCATATACCAAAAATTTGTTAACTGATGAATGAAATCTATATGATATTCTTTTATTCTCAAGCAAAAGAGGGAGGAGATGTAACATTCACACAATGAAATAGTATCTGTGAATGACATCCAACACATATCAAGTAATTCTTAACTTTAGCTAAATTCACAAGCAACTCCGTCTATCTTTCACACTTTACAGTGTTTATTTAGCTCCTAGGGAATGAAAATATAACTACCTATAAACAGAATAGGCATACCAGAATCACTTACCCCAACACCCACAGGCATGCCATGCATGTGTTGAACAGGAGACGCATTTGTTGGGTAGTAGAAGGAACCATCTGAAACTGGAGATGCAGGTCTTAAAGGTGATTGGGATGGGAGAAAACTCTTTGCATTAGGATTTAGTTTGAACTCCTGATAACATTCAGCACAAATGGATGGTTAATAAGATTCCTTAAACACTAATACAGCAATACACTCTGAATAAAATAGGCATTAAGTGAATCTGTGGATATATTTTTTACTAGAAACATACATTTAAATGATAGTTTCTTTTGAAGGAAAGAATGAGAGCTTTAAGCTACTTGCCTTAGCATGTGGATTCAAATTTGATTTTTCTGAGGACAATGAACTCACAGATGAGCTATTTGATAATCCACTACCAGCTGAAACTAAGGCAGTACCACCTCCGTCCGAAGTAGATACAACTGAACTGTGGGTACAAGAATTAGCAGATTGTGCCGTTCCTCTAATCTTCCCCTGGCCCTCAGGCATATCTGAAGATAATCCACTCATATCAGAGGGTTCCTTTTTAGTTTCATGCGATCTACAAGTAGCTGTCCAAAAAATAAAAATAAAAATCAAGGAAAGCCATTTATAGCTAAAACAAGTTTGGAAAGGAAGATCAAGAAGACCATTATATCACCACGTGTTAGTTTAAATAAGTTAACTGCCCTAGAAATACAAAGCTAAGATCATATAGTATAGTTACCCTCAGATTTTAACACTTCACTCCCTTCTTCAACTGGCTGCACAAATTAAAATGAAACGAAGTGCTTTTATCATCAACAACATACAAGCAGTGAAATGAAGTAGAAAGACAACTGCACAGGAAGAAATCAAATTTAGTCTCACCATTTGCTTTCCAACATCTGTGTTAGAGCAACTAGTTCCAGTTTGTTCACTAATCTGAATCTCATGAACCCTGTGTAATGGGGCTCTCAATTAGAGACATTCCAACAATTAGATTACTATGGAAGCTCAATTAAAGAGGCACAATACAGTAGCCTTTTAAGCCATAAATTTTCAGTCTACTTATTGATCCTAACATATCAATAGAATGAAAGACAAGAGAGACCTGCTATCATCCATAACATAAACATGTTCAGCCGACAGCTGTTTTGCCTGATTGTCACAACCAATCAAAGAGATAGCCCCACAAGTACTCAATAGAGACAACTGAGCTTCATCCTGCACATTAGGATGTAATCAAAATAAACCAGGACACCTCTGAAGAATATACAAAGAGCTCCGATATTAATATATCATATACTAGGCAAACTAACAAATCAAGCCTTAACCAGATGATCTGAAATGAACAAGAATTTGAAGTTGAGCACTGTAGGGACACAAAACTAGGATCCCATCAACTACCTCACCATTACCCTTGATAAGAGGAATACTCCTCAAATTTAAACACACAAACATGGAAATTTACTGGCTCACCAGATGGTCTTATACCAAGTATAGATACTTGTCCTATGGCTTCATCCTACAATGCTATTGCCATCAAACATAAAATCTAACTGACAGGAGTTATACCATAGATGAAGTTCGTGATGGTTCTTGAGCTCCATCATTAGATCTTTTGCTGCTCATGCTGGTGAACGATTTTACCATGACTGAACTAGAGACATCTTGAAATGTTTCATCATTGCGCGAATCCAACAAAATGTCCTCACAATCATCACAACCACTATCATCAACCCCCCTAAAGACTGATGAATATCGAGTTTCCTCATCAATTTCATTGTTTCCGTGAAGTTGAGCTCCTCTTTCCTGCAACAAGAGAAAGTAAATAAAATAGGGGGCTGAGATAAATAAATTGTTTCAACAAAAGGAAGGCTACTGTTCTTACTTCAGCCAGGTGAAGATCATGGGTTTCCTCGCCTTCTATTTCTCGTGCAATTCTCAAGGCTTCTCTTTCGAGATCCCTCGTCTGAGGGCCTCTCTCAAGCTTTGTTGTATAAAGTTCCTCATTGAATGTGCTCTTTACTCCAAACAGTGTTTCATTTACTTCAAATTGATTCCAGCCCCTAATAAGAATGTGCATTAAGCTCAAAAAAGTTAACACAAGAGGGCACAAAACATTCTGTCTTTCTTTTCACATAGTGGCAACTACTTCCGAAAAGGGAAAATGAGAGATCAGATATGTAATTCTTTGTTCATTTGTTGAATGGTAATAATCCTTCCAAACCTACTGATTGCTAAGTGGAGGTGGTTATACAGTGAAACAAATCTCATGTTCAATTCAATAAATCATAGTAACAGCTAAAAATCACAGGAAAGGGTACTTCAACAACCTATTCCAATGGCCATCAAATATATTATCCAGTTCAGGACACTCAGGAGTGTCATCATCAGGTACCCAGCGTTCCAACTCTCGCTCCACCTCAATAGACCGAGATTGCGATATGCATGAATCAGTCATTAACTCATGCTGCTTTTCCCGCTGGTACTCATTTGTTACATCATCTGGGGTTAAATGCACACCCTGTTTCAAACAAACAAAAGATGTAAAATCTTATATATTTACCTATGTCATAAATGAATAGCCTGATTACTGGATCTGTATACAAACTTTATACTACTCAATAATATTGTGAAATCTATATAATGTAATTGTTAATACAGAAGGCAGGAAACCTTAGATGTAACTTGCACAAGCTCTTTAGCTGGAATTATGAATGTCCTTGATGCAGGCTTGCTAAGGGATTCAGAAGTATAGTTCTGTCCACGAGAACCATCTTTTACCAAGCGAGCCATTTTCAGAACAATATCTGCAACAATTTAGTGCAAGAGAGAGTGTAATTACAATTATCATTGTATTGCAAAAGAAGTTAACAACTAAGATACCAACAGAAAGAAAAATGACCAGATGATTGGTTTTTCCTAACATACCAAAATCCTTATCCGCATTAGTTGCATGAAGTATCCCTGAAAAAACTGAACCATCCAACACCTGTACTTCCACTTGATGTCCAATAAGGCATGCAGTTACATAAAATAGTCGATCACGTGGAGAGCTTTCAAACCCTCCCCCTTTACCTAGAACATCTTTTAAGTAAGAGCTAGTGACATTAAATGAACATAAAAAATTGTTTAGGCAGAACCTCTCACCTGCACTTGTCAACCGGATGGAATTTGCTTTTGCATTCTGCAGCTTACGACGGCCAAATCCATTGACAGAAGATTTGGTCTGCACAGCTTGCTGCATATTCATCCTCAAAAGATGATGGATAATATGATCGACAGGAGATTCAACTAAGATTTAGCTAGTAACTGCAAAGAACAAAATAAAAATTAAGTTACCTTTGGGGAAGTGAAATATAATGAATGTTGTTGCAATTAAAATATCAATGAAGCTATTTCTTCTATTTCTTTCACACTTTCTTCATTTGAAAGTTAAGATGTGATAAGATAAGATTCCAATAGGCATTCATATAAAACCATATGAATATCCTCTCATCAAGTGAATCTCAAAGGAAAACCAATCAACCATCATAAGGTTTTAATAGAACCAAGAAGAGTGAAGACTACAATAAAGGACATCAACTTCATCAATTATGTGAATCTGTTTATGGGCTTGCAGTCGACTAGATTAATTCTTTGGCTCCCAAGTTTTTATGGTCCGACCTACTATGGAATATGGAGCAGCTATTTCATGGAATCCACTCCATACAGTCATTTTGATGTTGGCTGTCAGGTAACCACAACTTTCTTACTTTATCAGCACTAGCAAGAAATAATCTCATGACTAATGCTTGAGACTGGATTGTTAAGAGAACCAAATAGCAATTATCCAATAGAGAATAGGAAACACATTAATCAAGAAAAATAGAGTTCTCTTACATACAATGACTAGAAGTAAGAGCAGTACCTTGAATTGTCACTGAACAAAGTGCCTGTACAGCTGTCCGTGAAGGTTTACAGCATGGGTATCATCACTGCAAAATGAGGTGAGCAAGATGTGTTAACAGATGCAGCTTTGCTCAGTCATATCACAGAGGCTGAGACCTACAGAAGGCACATAGGTGCATGCATGCACACACACACATAAACAAACAAAAGGTTCTCCATAAAACTGTTAAACCTACTAAGCCAGATTGTATATGCAAGGAAATATAGTTACAGAAAGCAGAACACAGCCAGCAACATCATTCAGATTCATTATATTGATATTTAAACAAGAATAATGACCAAAAAGAGCAACACAGAGAGAAAAGGACCAATTAAATTTCAGCTGATAATGTTTCATTCTAAGGAGAAAAGTATTCCATAAAACACAGGTTCCCTCCTTATCTCTCATGAATCAACAACTTAATGCCAACCTCGACAAGCTATCATATAACAAACAGATTTTAAAACGAAGATAAGGGATCGCCTAATCAAAAACTTCTAATCCATAATGAAAAAAACTGGTTTCAGCAGACGACATTAAAGAAGAAAATTTAAAATATTACGGAGTAACAAACAACAGCCAGTTGTAATTGCGATCTTAATAGAAGAGGAATGCGTAATTTCCTGAGTTTGACTAGAAAACCCTAGATAAAATGATCGAAACCCTATGATCTAGGAATTGCACATACACGTACATATTATGCATAGAGAGGCAGTGCTCACCTGTGTAATGGTGGATTGGTAGAGGATGACGGAAGAGGAGAATATGCTCCGAGAGACGACACAATGGGTTTGATCGGAGAGAAAACTTTGGATATGAGAATAGAAATTTTGAAGAATGGACGTCAAGTCTCAGCGAGTCCGTAGGGGTTAGCGCCGGAAAGAGCCAACTATAGACCGCAGAAACCGAAATGAAATGCCCCGTTTTGTCGGGTACGGGTTTCCGACCCATATTTACCTCGATTTCAATTTTCACATTTTCACCGCGAAGATATAAAATGCTGATCCTGATGAAGCCATAGTTGACTGTTATATCCTGGAGGGTGTGGTCCAGTAGAAATGACTCATTCATCATTGAGTTTGATTTTTATCTTTGGGTATAGAGTAATTTTAAATTTTCAAGATAGTTATTCTATTCAAAAAAGGTGTCGGAATTAGTCATTGTGTCGGGTGGAAATCCTGAGTACATAAAAAATAAAAAAAATAAAAAAATTGACTGTTATTTACTCTATACATTTGTTTTAATGATGAGAGAAATTCATAAATAAAGAGGTAAATCAGCTTAAATTGTTGATCGGCTCAAATTGAGAAAATCAATAGGCAGCTCGCCAGCTCCCGCCAAGAGTTTTACTGATATTTACATTTTTTTACAAAATAAAATTAATCAAACTCCGTTGAGAACACATCCCAAGTTTATTTTGTCATCATTATTGAGCAAATGATCTCTAGATAATAGTAATGTGTTGATCGAATACTGAATTTGTGGCTTGTGTGGTGCAAAATTTGACAATTTGGTCATATTCCCAAATTTGGATTGGTTGGTTCTTGATTAAAAAGATTTGAGAAAATGACTCAATAAATCATGAGATGATTGAATATACTGTGGAGAGTTCAGTAACAGAAAGCACAGAAATCATTTGCAGCACTGCATAGATTCAGTGCTCAACTGCTCACTAGCTAACAATGTATGAACATTTGAAGCCAGGTTTAATCAAAGTACAACAAATTTTGTCCTGTCGTTTATGGAGTGACATGAACTTTGTTACATAAGAGAAAATGCAGATTTAAGCTCACACTCCATCCATCATCTTGGTCCAGAGATGAGCAGGAGCAGCAGATTTCAGACAGCAGACCACCACCATACAGTATTTCTGGCAAATTTTTATTTTAGTAGTCTCAACCCTCTAAAATCTAAACCAATGCAATTGCCATATCAGACAACAAACAATGAGAGCAGTAGAACAAGAACCGAACATCTGACATGTGCTAACCGGCTGTGTGCATTTTACAGTTCCAGGAAGTCTAAAATGATGCTGGTGCCTGGTGCATTTTAATGCCATAGAACATAACAGCGGGCATCTTATCATGCAACACTGTCACCATCCAGTAGTGAGCATCACCAGACTATGAACTCAGAATAATGAATGTCAAATTAGCAGATTGAGACGAATAAATTCTAGATACAACAGCACACTCACCGTCTTAAAGAGGTAAGTTAATTTTTTCAGACCACTTGAAGATGTCCGAGTAAACATGATCACCTCCCAACTCTTCACCTGTAGCACCAGCAGCAACCCTCATTACATCTTCGATTAAAGCAAAATTTCCCATGATATCTACATGGGCACCACTCTGGGTTCCACGACCTTCAAGAAGATTTGCTGGGGGAGCATGATCGTATTCCCTTATGTAAGTTTTAATTCCGGAAGGATTAAATTTAGTTTCCCCACGCCATCCTTTTGCACACATGAAACCTGCACTTAAAACAGGAACTGTCTCATCACCATCAACAGTAAAAACACCATCATTCAAGCAGTTTTCTGGATTTGCATCATCTGCTGTAGTATCAATTTGAAATGGTATGTCGCATTCTGCCGCAGATGAGACTTGTCTGTAAACATATGCTCTTTCAGTTGGAATGCCGACTCCATACATTGAATAGATCTCCATGTCAGGGGCATTTGGTAACCTGCAGAACAAAAAATAGTCAGGATGAGAGTGCAGTTATATGTATGTATGTATGCTTGCGATCAAGTGAGAACACCCCCTTAGGTGAGAACCAACGTGAATGCACACAATCTACTATGGTCTATGGAGTAGATTGCGTGCATTCATGTTGGCTCTCACGTTATCACCTAAGGGGGTGTCCTCATATAAATGCTAATCTATATATATATATAAAAGTTTTATATCTTTAAAATATTTTAATACAGAAGTGATAAGGCTCTAAAAAAATAAGGAAGGGCAGCTAAAGAAGAAGAAGATCAAAGTTCAGCAACAGAATCAGAGTACGTTTTAAAAAAAAAAAAAAAAAAAAAAAAACAGATTAAAGCACATTGTATGACCTGTCCTCAAAACAACCTATAAAAAAAAGTATAACAACAATATTTCAGACAGAGACATATATATTCAAACTGATGGAGATGGAAAGCACACATAACAGTGATGAATGCACTTCAAATCTACATTCAACTCATCCTGTGGAAACCAGGTAAACAATGCCATTTCACCTCTAAATACTTTTGGTAAAGCAGGTTTCTGGAAATAAGTATGGAATCTTAAGGTACCTGGTCAGCCTTAGACAAGACAAGCCAATCATTTTTATTAAAAAAAAAAAAAAAAAAATTCAGTTGAGAAAACTCCAGAAATTACTTTGACCTTAAGAAATGTGCCAGTTACCATAAATGGATTAAACAATATCCAACCTCCAACACCCACAAAATCTCCTTTGGGTAGGCCTGTGTTGGAAGTTTAGGACTATCTAGATCTGTTTTGAATGATAATGACTTCTTTTTTCTTTTTTTTTTTCATGCAGCATGAGGGAAGAAGTGTGAGTGTAGACCGAAGAATCCACTATACTACATTTATGAAATTAAAGTTGATCTGCTTTGAATGTATGGGTTACAGAATAACATGATAGTTTGTTTGAAAGGTCTCAAACAAGAGTTCTCTCACCTTGTTTCCAATGGATTTGACCAGTACTTATAATGCTCATACTTTGGATCATCTAAATTTTCAGCAATCCCATACGAAAAGTGAGCACTACCACGTGCCATCATTCTTGGTGCAACAAATTGAAGCAAATCCAGAAGGTCATCCGCTGTATAGGCTTTATATTCTGTAACTGCTTTGATCCCGCCAATTCCCATTTCATGGTACTCTGTCCACACATCCTGACAGGTGCTGTTTGCAATGTTTCTTCCCTTAACAGCACCCTGCATTCAAATAATCACAAATCACTTCCTGCAAGAAACTAAAAACATAAATCTTTCATAACTTCAGTTTGAATAAGTAAATTTCTTTTTGAGTCAAAAAACCAGAAAATTGCAAAATTAAATATAAGATAGAGATGAGAAAGAAGCTGCTTCAACATCCTCTTTACTCCTCCTTTTTGTCATTGTCTATACAAGAACTAACAAATCATCAACAGAATCCCCCTGTAATATTCCCACTACTAATGATTATCGCATTACAAATTGGGACCTATCTTTTCCTAACTCTAGCACAAGCACTTGAGTATTCTGCTTAATTCCTAGGCATGACATATGCTTCAGAACAGAGCAATAATTAATGCACGCTTCAAGTATCAAGAACCAAACTTTCAATACTTCACGTGAGAGGATGGCAACAAGTTACAGGGTATTGAAATGGAATCACAGAAAATACTACTTTAGTCAGACTTTGTACTGATAAGCAAATAGGAGGATTCACCACATACAAAGGTCATAAAGGCCATTTCAACTATTAGTGGAATCAATATGTTGATCAAGACTATGGTAAGTTGAATTACTATCTAAAGGGAAAATCTGCTAACAGAAAGACTTGTTAGATAACAACCCCTTTATTACCCATCACCCACCCCTGATTACAACACATCCTATGTCTAGATCCCAAAATCAGACCCCCCCCCCCCCCCTCTCCCCCCGCACCCCCTAAAAACAAATCAAATCTCAAAGCCACACAACCAATACAAATTTACAAACCATGACTAGATCTCAAAGTTGCATTATTTTCCTAAATGGGAATTTCATTCTAGATAAGACATCATATCAACAAACAAATCACTTGCTTCAGTAAAACTACATATTCACATCCTCTTTAACTTCCACCCTCTTGCTTAATTGAATTGAGTATTGGCATGTCTAATTTAGTCATGCTCTTCAAAATTGGCAAGATAAAGGTATTTTTTTCCCATTGCCGGGATGAAAAATACAAAAACATATCAATCAGAAGAAATAGGTGAATATATAATAGTAATGCAAGTTTTGAAAAGAAGAAAAAAATACTCTGAAGTCAATCCTCTTTAGCTCTGATAAATCTGCCTTGGCAGCATCCTTTCCAAATGAAATCATCCTTCCATATGTCACATTACTTGTTTTAGATTCCACATTTAGATTCCCATCGTGACCTGAAATCTGGGTAGTGTTACTTTTACGTTTTCTCCTGCAAGGAGAATGGCCATCCTCAGGAGACCAGTCAAGACCACCCCAGATTGTGTTCCCTCCTCTTGGTATCATTGACATCGTTGAATCCCACGTCCTTGTCATCTTCATAACATGCAGTAGTGTTTGAATACGGAATATATCCTTTTCCAAAACACCTGGTGCTATTGCCCTAAAACCAAGGAAAATTATCAAAAAACCCTGGTACATGCAAGACAAGTTTATGAATGAATGTGCTTCATAGAGCTTGGATAGTAAAGAGATTCTATTCATGCAGAGAATATAATTCAGAAACTAAAAAAATCTTCCCACTCAATGACAATTTAGCCTTGTATTATGAAACCACTGATCACACTGTCTCACACCAAATTTGACTTTGTCGACTACTATGATATGCACCAACCAATCAACCACCAATATATGCTTAAAAGTACTGCTAAGATTTTGGTACACGCCCAAAAACAAGAAATTATCAGAACTATATTTACAATTGATTCTTAAGGTTACAATTTAGTTTACTTGCCTAAATTGTTGGATATTGTTTTTGTAGCGTCACAGAAAACAAAGAGCATGTATCAAAGTTTACCTGGCAACAGCAATATCCCTTGCTTCAGCTGAGAATAGTCCAGCAACAGATTTTGGAACGCCTAAAAACGGCCCACCAATGTTCATTACAGCTTTAATATGTTTGGCACACCAATCTGGTCCACCTCCGCCACCCATTGGAGCCGGTGCCTCCACCCATTTCA